CCAGGGGAAAACGAAGGGTGAAAGTTACATAGGGATTCGTAACCGTCAGATCCCACAAAATCTTTTCGAATTCTTTCGAATTTCAAGAAATCCCCGCCCAAATAGCCCAATCAGACAGAGACACGTGGACACCAATCATCAAAGATTTTAGTCGGCGACGCCACAAGTGCCGCGCACCGCCTGGGGGGCATGACACACCCGCGAGGAAGAAAAAACAACCCATCCCAAACTCGAAAGTAGCGCGCACCAATGAGAGAGCATGACTTACGAGCGTAGCTCAAGGTCACGCGCACAACAGGGGGGCATGACACACCAACTTCGACCGGCGCCATCCTCAGCCTAGACAACGCGCACAAGCGAAGAACTCGCGATAAACAGAACGCGCGCACCACTGAGGACACGAAGCGCGCGAGGACCAGAGGGACCCAGACTCACCCAGAGTGCGCCCATCCCAGCCAATAACGCGGGAAAGATGGAAAACGCCCAGATCCGAGTCAACCACACGAAGATCGAACAGGAGGCATTCGCGGAATACCCCCTAATGGGGGGCAATTGTTGGGCATGTGACTCGGATCTCACCACACTGAGGAAACACCAAGGATGCTCACGCCAAGGCAAAGCACGCGAGTCACCCCGGAGTCCAGCGCGCGAGTCGCGCCGGAATCATGCGCGCAGGTAGAGGCCACCCTCTTGGAGGCGCGCGTACCAAGGATGCTCACGCCAAGGCAAAGCGCGCGAGTCACCCCGAAGTCGAGCGCCCGAGCCGCGCTGGTAGAGACCACCCGCGTGGAGACGCGCGTAAACACTCAATGACGGCGCATTGCATAGCCGTGGTCCCTCATCAAGTATTCGTAGAAGCGGTGCCGCGTCACCCAACGGGCCGTCACCATCATAGTCCTAGGTATAGTCCTAGGTATAGTCTTGCCTCTGTCAGGGGTAGTCACATCAGGGTCCTAAAAGTATGGCCTAAATCCCTGATGTGTCAGCGGTCACATCATTGTATCCACTTGTAACCCAACCACTCACCCACCACCATGTAGCCTATAAATATGGCATTTACTCCGGTGGGTGAGGGGATCGGATTTTTCAGACTCTATCTCTAAAATCATCTACTTCTCTCTCTAAAATATTTCTCTCTCAATCCTTCTTGTAATCTCCTCTGTTCTTCCATCGACGATTATTCCCTCACTGCTTACTCTCCTTGACCCATTTTCCCGAGTATCCCTCCTACACCCAGTTAGGCTCAAACAGATTTGTAGCCTCGTTTGAATTTTTGGCCCCACCGTTCGCTATATATAACTAGTTTTGTGATTGGCCTGCCGACCGGTTGAGTTTTGTTCATTATTTCTGTTAAATTCATTTCATCATTTGACCTCATTGTTTAAATATTTTATGTTTGGATTCTTTTATGTTATTTTCATTCCGTCTATGAAAATGCTTGTAGTCTTTTGTAAAAAGCGAAGCACCAAGTCAGTGGTTTTTATTTATTGATGTAAGTAATACATATTTTGAGTTAAAATTAATTTAGTCAATCAATAAATATTGACTCTTGCCAAAACTTATACTAAAATTGTGTTGAAATTTTCTAACATTTAGCATATCAACTAATGATGCTTCACTTATCTAATTTTAAATCATGTTCTCGATGAAGTTGTGTAAGTCTTTGTTTAAGATATTGTGTCAAGATTCCTAGACCAAGTCACTGAATTTTTTTTAATCTTATGTAATATACATCCATCTATCATTTTCAATGTTTGGTCTAATCCTCAAACCATGCATGATTGCTGTTAATGGGCCCAAAACATTCACAAATTTTTTTATGGAGAAAGATACATGATCACTATGTAATCTTATACCCTAATTCTCTAAACCTTAGAATCTAAATTCTCAAATGAGTGAATCCTAATCACTCAAATGAGTGAATCATAGATCCTAATTCTCTAGATCATAAACTCTTAAGATAAAATTAACTAAGAAAAATTATTGATGATTCTTACTCACTGAAATTAGGGCTGCAAATGAATTGAGTTGTTCACGAGCGGCTTGATGTTCGGCTCAAGAAAACCTCATTTGAAACTTGACTATTTTACGAACAAGTCGAGCTTGAGCTAAGCCGTGTTCAGCTTGTGAGGCTCGCGTTAATGTGAGAAACTACTCATTAATTCAAATTTTATAGCTGAGTGACGCATTTCTCAATAAAACATGAATTGTTTCTCCAAAAAAAAAAACAAAATATAAACATGAGTTCACCAATATAGACTGTATGGTGCTCGCACTTGTGCGCGAGCCCTTGAAGTTTAAGTCCGGTACGACCCATGAAGCATTCATGCTTGTACATGGCCGATCCATATACATTGTCTTCATGGTATGCTCTAATTGTGGCATGCTAGCTCGACCATGTGCCTAGGTATAGTTATATGTATTATAATAATTAAGTTTCAGCCTATTCACAACACCAAGATAAAAATAGTCATAAATGCACCTAGTATTCGATTTTGACTACCTGATGAAATACTACATTTGAATAAACTACAACTGATGTGACAAATAATAATTATACCTCTAAATCATACATAAAATATTTCAAACATCACAAATATTAAGATCAAATTAATTATTATAAAGAGTAAAAATTGTATAGTGAGGTTAATTATTAATCATTTATATGTTAATGTCCTCTAAACTGATCAACACATCCGATCCAAAATTGACGAAATGAACATCACATTAAACTCGATATCGTCTCATTATTGTCGGGTCCATTCATGCCCGATTAGCAAGAGTTTAACGGTTAGCAGTTAACCAAACTAAAATTTTAGAGAACCAGTCACCTATAGTTCGTACAAAATATTATTGTTTCGTATTAGTTCTGAATTTTTTAATTAATTTAAAGAATTCTACATCGCTTTTGCATATTCAATATTGCAGTTCGATATGCAATATTTCAAACAATGAAATTTGTGTTGCAATTTTAAGTTTTTCCTTCATTGTATAGGTAATAAAAATTCTAAATCATGTATTAAACTTTGCTTTTCATAAGATTTAATAGGCTAGCTAACTGTGAAAAGTCCTCTGCTTTTCAAATCTTCGCTTAGTGCATGTTTACAATTTAAGAAGATAAAACAAATTTATTTAGTTTAATTGGTTGTGATTATTGTTTTTGTTTGAAGAGACCATGGTTCAAATCTTGATATTGATACTTTTTCATATGAAGTAGATAATAATTGTGATGACAAAAATACTCTTCCTACTTTCACTCTCGCTTCACAAAATTTGAAATAGAAAATTTTAAAACATTGAATATATCTTATACAAAAAGTTTCTTCAACCAAGTAAGAAACGTATTTTACCTGAAATTAGTATATCTTATAGAAAGTGATTAATTGTGAAATCGGAACTCAAGTAACATTTATTCAAATATTAAATAATAAATTATATGTGTGGTTCAATTTAGACAAAATACATATGTGTAGCCAAAACATGGATCTTTATGACAAATATAGTAATGTTTTGTCACAAATCTACACATAATATAAAGATAAATTAGGCACTATGACGAAAAAGTGCTTCCTAGAATCACTCTCGGCCACTAAATTTGAAATGAGACTGTAATTTTCCAATTTTATCATTATATTATGTGTAGATTAAGGTTTGAACTCCAATGATAACATTTTTAATATATAAACATGAACTGGGGTAATGACAAAAATATCATTCCTAAAATCACTTTCTGGCCACGAAATTAGAAATTGAAAAATTCCAACCCATGCTTCTTTTATATATTTTATAGCTTATGGTGGGTTATCTCATTACTAAACTTTGTGATCAATTATCAATATTTGACTTTTTTTTTGTTGACAATTTGACTTTGTCAAAATCTGACTTATTGCTGAAGTATCGTAAAGTGACATAATAATTATTCCTCCGTACTTGTAGTTCAATGTATCAATTTAATTATATAGACGTAATGTTTGAGTTTAGAATGTGGATTCCACCTTCCAAAAAAAAAAAAAAAAAAAAAAGAGTGTCGATTCCACACCTCCGGTCCTCTTCTCTCTAACCAATCACTAATTGGAGGCTCTTTGTTACATATTTTACAATAAATCTGGGCAGATTTACACTGATTTTGAGAATTTGGACAAAAGATATTTGTGAGTTGTTTGGATGAGGTATTTGAGTGAGTTATTTGAATCCAAATAATTTATAATGAGTTATTTGAATTTAAGTCGTTTAAGAGGTCGTTTGGATGGGTTGTTTGGATGAGTTATTTTGACCCAAATAACTCACCAAAATAACTTGTTTGGAATCGAATTGGTGGAATAGATTATTTAAAGATGAGTTATTTTAAAATAACGCAAAAATGAGTTATTGTAAATAAAATAACACATCCGAAAGTGTTATTTACAAATAACGCATTCTGCTTACTTTCTCTTTCCACGCTGCCCCTGTCTCTTTCTTCCTTTGCTCCTCTCTCACAAATGACTCCATTACCTCTTCTTCTCCCTCTATGTTCCTTCTCTCAATTTCTAGCTTCCACCTTCCATCCTTCAACTCCTTGTCGACAACAATTATGAAATTGAGAATTTTAACTTTCCATAGCATATACGAAAGTGGGGTTTCTTTCGAATCGCAAGGAAGTAGGGGTGTTCAAACGGTGTGGTTACCGTGGTAACCATTTTAACCAGTAGTATTTGGCTAATTTGGTTTGGTTAATTACGATAATTGGCTTGGTTGGTTAAAAAATTTAGCTTGTTTGGTTTAGGTGGTTTGGTTTGGTTTCAGACACTCCTAACCAATCAACCCAAATTAACCAGTTAAGTAATTTGTCTGATATATATTATATACACATATATAATACTTTGCATAACCACTCAAGAGTCAAATGTAAGATAATTGTATTTGTTACATGTATTTACGTTAAGGGTTAACTACAATTATGTGGATTGTTATGTGTAGTTCATTATATAAATTGCAAATTGATGCACTAACTGAAAATTTTTCTCACTTAATGATAATGTGGTGTTATATTGGTTATTTTGGTTAACCAATTAACCAAACCGAATAAAATTTAGTTTGGTTAATTTGGTTGTTGTATTAGTTTGGACGGTTTGGTTATGATATTGTATTCCATGGTTGATAGATTTTAGATTTATTTGGTTTGGTTATTACCATGGTAACCATTTGAACACCCCTACAAGGAAGAGGGGTTTGTCGGCGGAGTACGCAACGGCGATCGGATTCACATGTGACGATAGAGGTTTCAAAAGCTATGGCGGTTGGTCGAAGGAGGCAAGAATTGAGGTTCAGTAGAGCTGTGAAGCGAGTGCTATCATCTAAACTGGGTTTCGATTTTAGATGCATGCGCGCGGGTTGGGGAGAAGAGAAGATGCATCGGGCAAGAATTCATCGTCGTTCTGTCTCTCGCCGCGGCTGGGAGCTCCAATCACGATTTGGATTGGGGATTTGGATCATGGCCTATGTCATGATTTTGGTTAAGGATGTGAATCGTGGGATGCGATGCGATTGGTCTGGGTCGAAGGTGGAAGGGAAGCTGGGCAGGTGGTGGTGGAGAGAGGGATTCGGCGTTGGATGTGCTGGCAGAGCGGTGGATCTAAAAGCAAAGAATTCTCTTATGGGTCTTCTCAATTTTGATTCAACTTAAGCCTAATCTGTGTATGAGTCTTCCTTTCTTGAAAGATTATGTTGTGGTCTTGATTAGATCTCTAATCAAATATGGACACCCAATCAAAGACAATTTGAGGACATGGTCGTGGGGATTGGATTTGTGTAGATGGTTGTGGTCTTGATTAGATCTCTAATCAAATCTGGACACCCCAATCAAAGACAATTTGAGGACATGGTCGGGGGGTTGGATTTGTGTAGATGGAGGAGTTTATTTTGAGGACAGTATAGTATTTTCTCATTTAATGGTACCAAATACAAATAACTCACAACTTTCTTTCATCCAAACAAGACATTTTTATTTTAAAATTTATCAAATAACACACAAATACCACATATAGAGAAATGAGTTATTTGATCTCACAAATACCACATTCTCAATTAACCTATCCAAACGACCCCAACATTTTGCCCACACGAGTTATTTGGGTTGTGAGTTATTTACAAATAACTCAATACGAGTTATTTGAAATAACTCATACCCTTAGTTATTTCGAAATAACTCATTTTGCTTCTTTGTCGTTTCCAACTACCGCATGCGTACAGTTCAACCAAACGAGATACTTTAATCCAATTATCACTAAAATAACATCGAAATACCACATGAACAATTAATGAGTTATTGGACTCTTACAAATACCACAATGATAATTAATTCATCCAAATGACAAACCAAACGACTATTTTGTGGCAACTTTGATACTGGTCATCCGACATACTCCGTCGAAGAAAACTACACACGTTGACGAGACTATCTTGGAGATGTTTGAATTTTTTTTTTCCGTCGGTGTCGTGTCTTTTCTCCTCTGAGCTTTTTCAGAGCTGCCTAAGTAGTGGCTTAACAAGCTCTTTCATCGAGAGTCTGGTTACACACGAACTAACGTGTTCAGTTTGAATCGGTCTTGTAATCGTGTCTAGTCTTTGTCCCATGCCCTTTGGCTTGCTTTATATTAAAAAAAAAACCGAACGACTATTTTGTTATTTATTTGATATAATATTGAACATCTAAATTTAGTGACCGATTTGGTAGGCCCCAAAATTTTGATGATTGTTAATAATATTAACTCGCCGCTATTTCGCCCACCAGTGACCAGTCATACTCGCCGATACATATATACTGCATACATACGGATGTTTCATTAACGAACCCGCCAAGTCAGACTTCAAAACCCCGCGGCAGCACCGCCGAATTCGGTACTCTAACCTCCGATTCCTGGCTTATATCGAAATCTCCCGCAGAAAATTATGCAGAAGGACTCGCTGCTCTCTGTAGCAGAACATGCACATCCCGCCGCCTGGTTTGACGCCGGAACTGGAATCTACAGCAGCCCACACGCCGCCGTCGCTCTCCCCGCCGACCCTCTCCTTGACCTGGTCTCCTTCATCTTCTCCCATTGCCGTCACAACGATGCACCCAACACTTCCTCCTCCTCGGCGGTCGCCCTTCTCGATTCCGCTTCCGGCCACTCAATCTCTTACCAAGACCTGTTCCCCCTCGTCAAATCCACGGCCTCTGCTCTCCACAAATTGGGCATCCGCAACGGCGATGTCGTCTTGCTCCTCCTTCCCAATTCAATTTACTTCCCCGTCGCCTTCCTCGCCGTGCTCTACTCCGGCGCCGTCGTCACCCCCATGAACCCTCTCGCGACCGTCGTGGAGATCGAGAAGCGCATCGCCGATTGCGGCGTCCGTTTCGGATTCGCTTCACCGGAGAGAGCTACGGCTCTGCGGGATTCCCCGCTAGGGATTCCGTTCGTCGCCGTTCCCGAATTGAGTTCTGATTCTTTCTTGTTTGATGCCTTCCGCGGCATGATTGCTCGCGACGTTGATTCGGATTTCACGCCTCCGGCGGGAATTCGGCAGCAGGACGCGGCGGCGATTATTTACTCTTCCGGAACAACTGGCGCCAGCAAGGGCGCCGTGCTGACGCACGGCAACTTGATAGCCGCGGTGGAGCTCTTCGTGAGGTTCGAAGCGTCGACCTACGATTTCCCACCTTGGGAGAACGTCTACCTCGATGTGCTTCCCATGTTCCACATCTATGGCCTCGTTCTGTTCGCCGCCGGGCTGCTGTCGTTGGGATCCACCATTGTCGTGATGAAGAAATTCGATGTGGATGAAGCAATCAAGGTCATCGAGAGGCATGGGGTCACCCATTTCCCCATTGTCCCGCCGATTCTGGGTCCCTTGGTGGAACGCGCCAAAGGTGTTTGTGAAAATGGCTTAAAGAGCTTAAAGCAGGTTTCCTGTGGCGCAGCTCCTTTAAGTGGCAGCACAATCCAGCACTTCCTCAATACCTTCCCTCATGTTGACTTAATTCAGGTAAACCACTGGCGCAAAATCAAAGCGATAAACAGAATACTAAAATCCAACAATTTCTTATGTCACTTGCTCTCCAAGAACTGTGCTAGTTTTTTTCTCAAAGTTCATGCCTTTCTGACTAGCAGGGATATGGGATGACTGAATCGACCGCAGTGGGAACTCGAGGATTCAACACGCAGAGATTTCAGAAGCACTCTTCAGTAGGACTGCTAGCTCCAAACACTGAGGCCAAAGTTGTTGACTGCATCAATGGCCATGCTTTGCCTCCAGGCGGAATTGGGGAGCTGTGGATGCGAGGACCAGGCACCATGAAAGGTAACCAATCAATCATCAATACCACTTCTTCAGTGCTAGTTTTCGTCAGCTATATAACTCTTGAATCCTCCCACAGGGTACCTAAACAATCCGGAGACTACAACTGAGACGGTTGATAAAGATGGTTGGCTTCGTACCGGTGACATTGTTTGCTTCGACAACGATGGCTATCTGTACATCTTCGATCGGATGAAAGAGATGATCAAGTACAACGGATTTCAGGTACGTGTAGCTCAAACGATCCGTGTACCCTTTTAGTTTTCTGCTAATGTGACTTAGATCAAAGCATTGAGAATTTCAAATTTCAGATAGCACCAGCTGACTTGGAAGCTGTACTGATAACCCACCCGGACGTACTCGATGCCGCTGTAACAGGGTAGGTGGGCAATTCAACAGTCAGTGTATGCAATTAAATCCCTTTTCTGCTGCTGATTTTTCTTATTTGCACCATCTTTGGGCTAGCAGGGCGACACACAAAGATGCCGGAGAAATACCGGTGGCCTTCGTGGTGAGGAGGCAGGGAAGCAATCTCAGTGAAGAAGGTGTCATCAAACATGTAGCCGCCCAGGTTTGATCCCCACTCGCCATTGCTGGAAAAGAATGAATACAGTGGTCAGTGGAGAAGAGAGGGAAAGATTGGTTAAGTTGGTTTGTTTCTCTGCTTCTTGTTGCAGGTGGCTCCATACAAGAAAGTGAGAAGAGTGGTGTTCACAGAAGGAATACCAAGGTCTCCTGCTGGGAAGATCCTTCGACGCCAACTGAGGAACATGATGATGTTCACTCCCACTCCCAGACTCTAGTAAATAATATATATGTAATCCATTGAAACACCTCATCCATGGCCTCGTCGCCGTTTGTCTTACATTTGTTTACTGGCAATAGCATTCTAAATTTGCTGCATGTAACTAATGAAATCATTCCAAGCTCTTCTAGTCTATACGGTCAGATTGGAACAGGACACTTCCAAAGGTGAGAGCTGTTATATTTAGTACTAGTAGTATGAAATTTGGAAATTTGTTAAATTTTGCAAAATGTACTCTACTTAACTTATTGTTCAACTTCTTATATGAATAGATCCAGTTTTTTTCTTTTGCTTAATGTTCATGGTTGAGTGAGGGGCTGAGGGAAGAAGCATGAGGGAAGAGGCCAATGATAGCGAGAGGGCTAATACAAAACATGGTCGGGAGAGAGAAGCGGGCAACTGGTCCCGGTAGGTTTGTGATGGAGATTAATACAATTGCAAAAACAATTGAATTTGTGCTTCTGTGCTTTTTATTGCCAACTCAATTTTTTTTGTTATTCAACGCACATTCATTTCATTTACCTACATCAATGCAATTAATTTGCAATTACATTTGTACTTTTTATTACCAACTCAATTTTTTGCAATCCAACTCACATTCATTTCATTCACCTACAACAATGCAATTCACTTGCAATTGCATGTGTCGATCTAACTTATTTTTAATAAAATAAAAGATGTATGTTTATTATTTATCCATATTGAAATGATAAATCTATTGCCATTAATTTAAACAAAATTCATATACTCAACAAATAAAAGTTTACTATTAATTGATGAAGATTAATATAGTACTTAATTCAACGAAAAAAAATATAATACATATGAATTTTTTTACTTATGAATTTGTTTGCTTTAGTTATTCGGGCTAGCGTTATTTTATAATAAGCTTGTGTGTAACTAGAAAAATTGACGAGATGCCATATTCAAATTACTACTCTAAATGAAAGAAAACTATGATTATTATATTTTTTATGATATATAATATTCTAATGAAATTTGGCTCAGTGCTTTACTATGTCATGGATTCGCTGCTGGCGAAAGTTAACGCTAAAATTAATTGAAATGATTTATCAACGAAGACAGTTGCACAAAAAAAGGCTATATGAAAGGAAAATTCACGATCTGCTGAAAGACGAGTGTTTTTCTTTCATAATCTGGATATTTATATTATTCTTTTACGTGTATTTTTGTTTTATTTCGGGCTAGTATTTCTTTATATTTTTTTTAGTTTAATTATTATGCATTTGAAATTGGAATGTACCATGGAATGGAAATGACGTAATTATTTATATACATCAAGGTAAGATAATAAAAATAATATTATTATTTTATGGGTGGCCGCCTATTAAATTAAAAGTCAAAGGAAACATTAAAAAAAAAAAAGACAACACAAAACTGAAAGACTGAAACTCATTAGGCAGCAACCAAGGTTGTCAACCCGCGGGTTGATCTGTACCCGATTGAGTTAGTAGGTCAATGGTTAATGGGTCATCTGTTTTAGCCCGGAATAAACCTGACAAATTACAACCCGACCCGAAAATCGCCCGAAAACTAGAAATTTTTGTAACCCGAAATCCGAATGACGCGAACCCGATAACCCGTGATTTTTTGGGTCGAGTTGGGTGGGTTAGCGGGTCGACCCGTTAGACCCATTCCATTTAATATATTACTCACAAAATATGATAAAATCACTCATAAATTGGTGAGATGTTTTAAAAAATCACAAGGATTTGAATGACATGTTTGAAGTTTAAGGATAATCAAATATCATGTGTTTCTTGTAGTAGTATTACTCTTGTGATTGTTTTTTGACGATTTGCTCAATTTCTATTTCATTTCATTAGTGTGGGAGGATTTGAGAATATGTTAACTGACATGTGTTAGGTAAACTAATTGTCATGCATATGTGAAAATTGTGTTCTTTAAGAAAATATAAAGCATGTTTGATATTGTTTCTGAGAACGCTCATAACCCGAAATTACCTGTAACCCGACCCGAAACCGAATGGGTTGGGTCAATATTTGACCCGAAATAAGCCAACCAAACATGACCCGAGTCGTAACCAAAGTTCTCAACCCGAAATTACTAACCTGACCAGATTGCCACGTCTAGCCCGGAAATATGGAAATAGTTACTATATTGTACTTATCCTCATAAATTATATCAAATCTCATCTAACAAATGAGTTATAATATATAATATTTCACCAAATAACATATTGTACTTAGATCCAACATATAGTGAAAATTCACACACACGTTCAACCTTCTATTTCTTTCCTCCGTTGGGTCTATTTTTCCCAAAGTCAGGCGGATAGCCAATAAGTCGGAAACACTGCTCCTTTAGATTCCCGAGTTTATTGCAGTTGGTGCAACACACACGCTCCTCGGATTCGTGATCCTTCTCGTTGCGTACCTAGAAGGTGGCAGCCTCGATAGTTGGACGACGACCAGCAGTGATTTGGCGCTGCTGTTCTTCAGCCTCTACTTGTTGATACGCTTCGACCAAAGTGGGAGTGGGCCGAACGGTTAGAATTGGCTACAAACTACCGCGAAATTGTCATCCAAACCAAGAAGGAAATCATTGAGCCTCTCGGCCTCCTGCTGTTCACGTAGCTGCTTCCCAACATCACAAGTACAATTCCCACAGCTGCAACGAGGATTTATACTAACCGATTGTAACTCATGAACCCCGAAATCGAGGATTTTTCTTGCCGAAGAGATACGATCTGACGGCGGAGCTCATATACTCTCATCACCGAGCTGGCCCCAAAGCGTTGTCTGAGGTCCATCCATATTTCGTGCGCCATCTTGGACGTGCACACACAGTTTCAAACCTCCTTGGTCATAGCTGTCTTCAGCCACCCTTTTACCATCGCGGCGCATTGGTCCCAAGCGTCCTACTTGGCCCTAGTATCCGCGGCAGATCGGGGTAGTGAACCATCAATAAAGTTCATATTTTTCTTCGCAATAAGCGTCTCGGTCATATCGTTGACCCACTCCCCATAGTTCAAATCAGAGAGTAGATCACTACCAAACAGCTGGTCGGGGTTTTCCGAGGGATGCAAATAAAACGGCGAGTGATGCAGAATGATCTCAGAATCAACCGCAATTCCTTTACCGCCTGAGGTCTCCTCGTCTTCAGTCATGATCTCAAGAATAGATCACAGCTCTGATACCATGAAAATAAGTAAAACACGGAAATAACGGACACGAGATTTACGTGGTATCCCTAATCAATGGAACATGACTAATCCACGGAGAGCAAGCTCTCAGTTAGGGTTTTCACTAAGCTCCAACAAATAATGGTTGTGCCGTCTAAAGTTACATGGTCGATCGGCCAATGACAAATATATATACCCTTTGACAAGTAATTAGGGTAAAACGTAGCCCATAAGGGAAAATAACAAACTGGCACCATAATTAACCAAACATGATTAATTACTACTTCTCAATACACTTATATAACATATATATTCAAATGTTTATCTTCGCATTCCAAAGATTGAGCTAGGCGAAAAGAAAATCAGAAAATAGGCGCATTTCACAAACCAAAAAAAAACCCTAACCTGAAGGACTTTTAGTGGGTAAGGGTAAAATCTGAACCCGAATATTGAAGGTAATGGGTGGGCATGGTTTTCTCACTATCCAACCCGAACCCGCCCGATTATACACATGAATATGTATGTTGTCTAGAAATAATCATTATTTTTCTCTAACATATTTTATATTTAGCATTTAAATATAATATTTTCATGAAATTGTGTTGTGTTAATTAATTTTCTTCATTCTAGTGAATGATTGTCGCACTTTTCCTATAACGTAATGTGAGTATTCGTGTGAATGTTAACATATCGGTTGGAGTTATAAGGATAAATTATTACCCATGAATAACCGTGGATACCCGAAATCCGAACGGGAATGGGCATGGTTTTAATTATCTACCCATTTCTCGTGTGGGTATAAGTATGGGTAAAACCCGAATTACTTTGGGTAGGGTAACGAATATGCACTATCCGACCCTGACCCAACCCGTTGCCATCCCTGCTCCAACCAGGTATCTTGTAGCGATCGACCCAGCGAGTGCGTACTATCCATTTTTTCCACCGCACCAGGATCAAAGTAGCGGGTCGTACCGCGGGTTGACAACTTTGGCAGCAACCAATACGAAGTTTCTCGATTTATGTCTTAGGAAGGAGCTTGATTTATGGAGATGGAGAGGCCAAAGAAAAATTGAATCATTTTAATTCAGGGTTCTTGATGTTTGATCTTGAACTGAAAGGTAGAATCGCAGAAGGCAGAAGGAAAAGAAATGGCGTTTTCGAGAAATGAGAATCGGCTGCGGGCTGCATCGAGTTAACAGTTAAGTATTTCTGCGCCCGTTTCCAATGGGTCAAGACTCAAGAGGCTTTTTGGGCCCAATCTCCAATTTCTCACGGGTTGGATCCAGTCCTTAAGCCTATAGGCTTAAGGATTTTCTTAAACATTAGCTGGCCAATAGGAGAAGGAGAGAGAAACTGAAAGTTAATGATTGAATAACTACCTTAAAGGGTAATTTAGTGATTATAATAATTAATTATTATCATTAATAATAAAAAAGGAATTTTATTCCGGCAAAACCTGCTGCCGCTTTGTTACCCGCCTCGTTGCCCGCTTCAGTGCACCGGACAGCCCGCTTTCGTTGACGCTTTTGCTTAATATAGCATCTTCGTCGGCCCCCGCCGTCTCTACCAACTGCTCCGTGTCGCACCACCAGTCATTGAATCCATCGCCTATCTTGAGGCAACATGAAACCGTCATGGCCGCTGCATATTGGGATGGAGATATTGCTTTGCGTTGGTCTATCCTGCATATTGGTATGGAGATATTAATTTGCGTTGGTTCGTCATTGTCCGTTGGTGCGTGCACCAGCAGCTTGCCGGCGGCCAAAGCTTTCCTTTGCGTTGGTCTATCCGCCGGTGTGTAGGTTGTTAATAACACCTATAATAGTATTGATAATAATATTGTGATTGATTAATAATTAGCATAACACGTGGAGGGCTTTTTTTGGCAAGTGAAGCATCTCTAATTTGCTCTAAAACGTTAGTAATAGTAACACCTGAAATAATATAACTAATATGTTCGTTTAACAATAAAATTCTACTAAATTAATAACAACAAGTACATTTATTAATAATTGATCATTATATTATTAATAACATTATAAAATGGGATATTTCCCCTTTTGCGATTAATAACACATATAATAATGTTAATAATAAAGTTGGGATTGATTAATAATAGTGGTGGTAAGCATCTCAAATTTTCTTAAAAATGTTGATAATAGTGGGGGATGGTTGATGATATTACGATATATGGTTGATAATGCTCAATGATGGTTGATTATATGTATTGTTCTGGTTGACGTGGGAGAATTAGGGGTAATGAAACATTTGATATAATCAATGATGCAGATCTGAATGAAATTCCTTTCGATGATAACTTGGAGGGACACTATAATAGCAACATCGATGTTGTAAATTATCAGGAGGGACGGCAAGCTCCCGTACGGATGTCCACTGAGAGAGAGGAAGGTGGGTTGTTGTTCAATACAAATATTAAAATGGTAACAAATTATGTCTTTTGTTTTTGTGTGTGGTTGATGGTGCATGTTTCATAAATAGGGATTGGGAACGAGTTGTTCATGAATGATGAAAGTTATGTACCGATCATCGATCATGCAGATCACGAGAACGTCATTAAAGCACAAGGTAATGTCATTGTTAAGTGAAAATTCATATTGTTACTATTGTTACTATGTACGTGTAGTAAATTTTCTTAAAAATGTTGATAATAGTGGGGGATGGTTGATGATATTACGATATATGGTTGATAATGCTCAATGATGGTTGATTATATGTATTGTTCTGGTTGACGTGGGAGAATTAGGGGTAATGAAACATTTGATATAATCAATGATGCAGATCTGAATGAAATTCCTTTCGATGATAACTTGGAGGGACACTATAATAGCAACATCGATGTTGTAAATTATCAGGAGGGACGGCAAGCTCCCGTACGGATGTCCACTGAGAGAGAGGAAGGTGGGTTGTTGTTCAATACAAATATTAAAATGGTAACAAATTATGTCTTTTGTTTTTGTGTGTGGTTGATGGTGCATGTTTCATAAATAGGGATTGGGAACGAGTTGTTCATGAATGATGAAAGTTATGTACCGATCATCGATCATGCAGATCACGAGAACGTCATTAAAGCACAAGGTAATGTCATTGTTAAGTGAAAATTCATATTGTTACTATTGTTACTATGTACGTGTAGTAAATTTTCTTAAAAATGTTGATAATAGTGGGGGATGGTTGATGATATTACGATATATGGTTGATAATGCTCAATGATGGTTGATTATATGTATTGTTCTGGTTGACGTGGGAGAATTAGGGGTAATGAAACATTTGATATAATCAATGATGCAGATCTGAATGAAATTCCTTTCGATGATAACTTGGAGGGACACTATAATGGCAACATCGATGTTGTAAATTATCTCGAGGTTTAGCACGAAACCAAATCCATATCCCTCGAGCAAGGCAGCACGATGTGAACTGATATTCTTAACCATCTTCAACACTTGGGACATGCTGCACCTGATACTTAATCTCCCATCATTATTGTTCTCTACTACTGAAGGTTGTACTGTACTTCTATCTTCATGAGAAACCGTCTTACGTGACGTGCTTTTAGTTCGAGCCATTCCTACAACTGGAAACGTTCACCAATACATAAAATGTTAGATAATGACCCAAAATAAAATTAATAATCAAAATAAAAACTATTAATAACTACCACGTACACCATATCAAGAAAAATGACGTCCATGGAATCATTGATAATGACGTTAATATATGAAAACCCATAAAGATAATTGACAACTATCGTTTGAAACCCAATAAAATATAAATCGATACCAAATATTCACAAGTCAAAGCAAATACAACTTGACGTCAAAGATGCCGACCGGAGCAGGAACTCACGTCCGACGTCCAAGCAAGGGGAGCTTCACGCCGACGTCGGTGGTGTTGCTGCAGAGGAAAGCTTTGGCCGCCGGCAAGCTGCTGGTGCACGTCCGACCAAAGTACTGTCAGTAATATGGGCACAGTGAAGCTTGGGATGGCGTCGTCACTGTTGCCGCACGGAAAATCCACCGGCCGGCTGAGAGCTAGGGCTGCAACAAAGAACACACCGGCGGCAGTAGCAGATGGAGCAAGGTACACACCGGCGGCAGTTGAAGATGGAGCACGGGAAAAAAAAACTAATTGTATTATATATATACCTTAATTACCCTTGATTGTCTGATTGATATATATATATATATATATAACAACCTACAGCCGAAGGAAACTTTAATTACTCCTTTTTTTATTATATTACTTTTACTTTTTATTTTATTATAATACCTTAATTACCCTCATTAACTACTACCTAATTAACAACTACTAACTAATCCCTAACTACCACGTTTTAATCTAATGGCCAGGATTAGTTTAAGAAACTCCTTAAGCTTTAAAGCTTAAGGACTAGAACCTACGTCAATTTCTCACTCTTTGGGATCACGGGATCCAAGTCCAATTCTTTTGGGATGACATATTTAATGAGTATTACGGGTAACCAAAATACTTAAATGGATTTGTGGCATGGTCTATGAAACCGTATCGGAGATCGTACCGGAAAAGTCAGCGGTAGGGTATTTTATGGTAAAATTGTGGTTTAACCGTAGTTCAACCGTTATACCGGTAAATACCGCCTATCGGTTTAGCCTCCAATACTGGTATTTCGTGGTTTAACCGCCGGTACGGTACGGTTTCATGGACACTAATTTGTGGATAACCCGCGAATATTCAATTTCGAAATTCTTCATCCCAAATATCATCTCGTAGTAAATATTATGAGTATTATAAGTATTCGTAATCCTCAAAATACTGGACGGGTATGGATATACCCAAATACTCATTTCCCTTAGGGCTAGAAAAATAGACCAGACCGTTTGAAAAAACATGGACCAAACCGGACTGCACAGTTTGGTCTGGATCGTAGATCGGTAAGAACGGTCTAGTCGGGTCCGGTCCATGGTCTGTATTATATGATGTTTTGATCTTTTGGTCTGGTCTAGACCGCGGTTTATCGCACCAAACCGTCGACCCACTTGACTTCCCAATACGTAGCACCCCACTCAACCACTCTCCCCATTCTCCCAACAAGACTCAAGTCACAACCCTACTTTTGAGAAACTCGTCCCCTTTTTCATTCACAGCCACATTTCACCAAAGAGTATCGACGATCGTGTCTCCATATGACATTATGTTAATGTTTATGACGTTATGGAGCAAGTTGGGATGCTTAGACTTTGTATTTTTGTTGTGTACTGAGCTTTAGGGTGTCAAAATTCTTCATGCATGTTGTAGTTTATGTTTTAAGGCAAAAAAATATTTTTTTCTCGGTAATTGACTCAATTTTTTGTATGGTTGACTAAACAAATTGTTCATTTTTCGTTCATTGTACTCTATCTGAACCAGACCGTACATACGTGGTCTGGACCACACCAATATATAATGTGGTTTGATCTCTAGTCTATACTTCAGTCTCTCGATCTACACCATAAACCATATATATAGTTTGAATTAGGCCGCACCGTTTTCCATCCCTAATCTCCCCCCTTTCCACCCCTAAACTAAGGGGTCGTTTGGATGTGGAAATTTGAAAACGTTGGAATTTGTCTGAATTTCCATGTTTTACAAAACCAAGGAATTGACTTGTGGAAATTGAAAAAAATTTCACGTTTGGATAGGGTTTAGTTTTGTGGGAATTGATGGTGTGGAATTTGGAAAAAGAAGTAAGAAAACGTGGTAATGTCAAATTACTAGGGGGAGGTGTAGTATTCTCAATTACCATGAATGTGGTAATTGAAGCCAATTTCCATGGTCCAATTCCCATACCCTTTTTGCTCTCCCAAACGTGGGTTTTAAACCCAATTACTGCGTTATGTGGTATTTGGGTCCAATTACTGCATTGATTTCCACGTCCAAACGACCCCTAAAATTGACTGGAGGAGCCGCATCTTCTCCTCCTCCCACCAGAACAGCCAAAGCCGATATCTACGTGGCCATACAAATAGGAAAAGCCACACCACACACAAGCTCCAAGTCACCAACCACTGCTTCTACTGATCGATAATAATGGTTACTCCTGCTGCCGCTGACGTTGCTCACCTTTCACTTTCGCCCCCCTTCAATTCTCCTTCTCCCTCCACCGTATGGCTGGCCATCATTCTCCCTTGTCCATCACTTCACCCCTATTTCACCACCAAAACCCCCAATGCTCCTTGAAATGGCCAAATCCCTTCACAATTAATCAAATTTTCACAAACGCTTGGCCAGCATCCACCTCTCTTGCACTGATTCCACGTTCTTGCAAATGGGTCCTCCGGAAAATCGCTCCAATCTCCATACTTCATTGATCAACTCTTTGGGCTCTGCTTCAGATGGCGGTACAGCATCGCCCACTCTCTCCAAAACCGTATGTATTCTCAATTTTGCTCAGCCATGCCAACTGGGTTTGTTCTGTGTTTTGATTGCTTTGGCGGGAGTGAGTGATTTTTGCAGGTAATTGGGGTTCTGCATTTGCTTGTTTCGCTTGGGATTGTTCTGGCCGTGGATAAGTATCTGAACATGGCGTTCGTGGCTGCTGCTATCAAGTTCCCCAGTGCGTTGTTTGGGATGTTCTGCATATTCTCGGTTCTCATCATTCTCGACACCGCTGTCCCAGCTGTTGCTGCCGCCGTCATGAGCTTCTTCGAGCCTGCACTTCTCTTCATCCAGAGATGGCTTCCATTGTTCTATGTGCCCTCACTTGTTGTTCTGCCTCTCTCTGTGAAAGATATCCCTGCTGCTTCCGGTGTCAAGATTTGCCTCATTGTAGGTAACCGGAGCCGTTTACTTCGCTTGAGTATGTTAATTGTTACCACGCGCTCAAGATCATATGTATTCGGTGGTAACACTTGTATATTTTCCACAGCGGTCGGGTGGCTGGCGTCTCTTTGTGTTGCGGGATTCACTGCCATTGCTGTGAGGAAAATGGTTAAAACAGAAATGACAGATGCTGAGCCGATGTCCAAGCCCTCTCCTTTCTCTGCAGTTGAGCTGTGTGTTTGGATTGGAGTCTTTTTAGCATCTTTTGGTGCTGCTTTTTTGTATCCAACTTTGCTGGGGACGAGTGCTAGAACTTGCCTCCCCTTCTTGCTAGCATCGACAGTTCTAGGCTACATGATTGGTTCCGGGTAAATTCTCCAATGTCTTACACAGATAATTGATTAATGGGAGAAAGAAAGTCTCCTGCTTTTAGGATCATCAGGATCTGGAATGTGATTATTCGCCTCCCAATTGGCCTCCCATGGTTTTACAGGTTGCCCGCTGGTCTGAAGAAAGTTTTCCATCCGATCATCTGTTGTGCACTATCTGCAGATTTGGCGGCATTTGCATACGGTTATGTCTCCAAATGTGGATTCGATCCTGTTTTAGGTATGGGTATTGCTGGGAAGGATACACGAATCAGAGAATGTCAACTATTCATAGTTCATCTGCAGATTTCTTATTATTCTTTTGTTGCACACAGGTTATTACCTTACGAATGCAGCAAGTAATCCTGGAGCTGGAGATGTACTAATGGGATTTTTGGGATCTGTTATTCTTTCCTTTGCCTTCTCAATGTTCAAACAGAAGAAGGTAACTAGATGTAGGACTTTTCCTTATTCACCTTTTTAGTTCACAGCATTCGTTCTACGGCTAAACGAGAGCCTAAACCTTTTTGTACTATCTTTACAGCTAGTCAAGAGGCATGCAGCAGAAATATTTACCTCGGTCACCATTGCAACGCTGTTCTCGTTGTATTCGACAGCTTTTGCTGGGCGTCTTCTCCAACTAGAACCGACTTTGACCATCTCTATTATTCCTAGATGTATTACTGTTGCATTGGCCCTCAGCATAGTTTCACTGTTTGAAGGTAAAAATAGACACTTTGCTTCACTGCAGAGTTTCAGTTTTAACTTATCCCGAGCTGAACATCCTCCCACAATATATGAGGACAAACCAGCTCTTTAAGTTTCTCTCTTCATTTTACTGCAGGAGCCAATTCATCTCTAACAGCAGCGGTGGTTGTAGTAACTGGTCTTATTGGAGCAAATTTCGTGCAAGCAGTACTTGATAAACTGCAGTTACGTGATCCCATTGCTCGAGGAATTGCCACTGCTTCCAGGTGAGTAGGAAAAAACAATCCGAGAGAACATTCTAAGCAAATAGATGCTTTCACATGATGCCAGTTTGCTGATAAGCATAGCTTCTGTTGCAGTGCTCATGGACTGGGAACCGCAGCATTGTCAGCCAAGGAACCCGAAGCACTGCCCTTCTGTGCCATTGCATATGCTCTCACTGGGATATTTGGTTCCATAATTTGCTCTGTTCCCGTGGTCAGGCAAAGCTTGCTTGCAATAGCTGGCTGATGATAGAGTACTCCGAATTTCGACATAGCATATATAGACAGAGACAGGCAGAAAGCGGAGGCATGCTGCAGTTGGTTGTCATATTCTTTAGTAGCTGGACATACTGGAAAGAAATGCCTTCATTTTTCCTGTATGATGTATCCAATTCATCTATTGCCCTTTTTGATTCATCCTATTAAATTGAATCTAATTGTATAGAACAGATTCAACGAAAAGACAAAATAGTTACCCTATTTTGGATAACCTGCTCTGGAATTCGAGAATTTGGTCAGGAAGCACAAGACAGTACCATGGATATACGCAAATTTAAAGATCCACGAATTATAAATGCAGATTGTATGATAGCAATCATGTCAATAATATCCGTAAGAGCGTCGGCGCTTGGCCCATTCCCACAAACTCCATGTCAAACTAATCTCAAAAAGAACCGAAATGTGTTCATGGTTCACATCCTTAAGACCTTAGCACTACTATGGAAAATTTCCTATCTTGCCTACCAGTTTTCAGTAACATGTTGCATCCTTCTTTCGGAACTAGATGCTAGGAAATTACAGGTAGCTCACATCAGCCCATGAAGTTCATGATCACCAAATGAAGCACCAAGTTGCAGAGAATAAAATCAGCAAAAGCACGCTCAGGTGCCACATCCTGTAATTGGTTCGAAGGAAGCATGCATTAATTACCCAAAACGACCCATTGTTTTGGTTTGATAACATCTGAGCTCTAGAAAATAAGTGGAGAACAGAAGAGAACTGTTCTTTCCAATCTTACCTTGAACTCCTTGTTGTCCTTGTTCACTTGGATGCGCAGACACACTGTGGAAAGAACAACAGTTTAGCCCTGAGTTCAATCTCTCTATTGCAAACGGAAAGTCATAGTTCACTTACCAGCAAGGACTGCAGTCCCTATGCAAGAAAGTACCCCTGAGAGGAAAGAATTAAAAGGAAATGACCCCACAACGGCCATGTACACTACCTGTTTGTCAAAACACAAATTATAAGACAGTCGATCCGTCAAGCAAATCTCTCAGTCCAACCTAGAAACAGCTGATAATTATCCAATCTCTTGAACAGATAAAGTATAAGAACAATTCAACGGAAAAAAAAAAGTATAAGAACTTATGCAACAACTGCATCTACTCTGACGTCTAGCCTATTAGCATGCTACACCGCAGTTAGAAGTTTAAGCAAATCATAACATGCATGAAAAGTTACCTAGTTTGAATCCATTTTAACCAAATAAATCTTCTGCCAACAAAAGCCTTGATAATAAAAGCCTTAAATTTGTAGAAGATGAGAATAATTGGCTTCATCCATTACAGATTCCAAAACTAACTATCCAATCTCACCCTAAACAAATATGGGCAAACACTTCAGCATCAAAATCTTCTAAGAATTCCCACCTACAACACAGTTAAAACTTCACTAAGCAAACTAAGTAAAGAAGGAAAGGAAGAAGCCTAACGTCCAGGTCTGAAATCAGAACCTCTGTTCTTTCGTTTGTATAGAACCAACTATTTTAATGTCCTGCAAACGAGAGATGCATGTTCCAGGATGTAGGCAGTCTAATTAATCTTGGATACCTCATACCAGTAAGGAACTTCTGATCCAGGAAAAAGAGGGATTCTAATAGATTGTCAAAGTAGAAAGATTCCATACATTATACTCTCCACTTACAATAGATGGCACACAACTAACGTCGTCATAATAAGACGCTAAAACAATGTACAAGGGGGGAAGAACTAATGTGTCGTTTGGATGATAGAATTGGATGAGGCAACTTGGTCAGATTGGTTAAATATGAAGCAATTGGGTCGAATAGTCTCATTTGTAAACACAAAATGAGGATGAAGCAATTGTGTCGAGGCAATTTGAATAGACTCATTTTGCATCAATTTGAATTGAGCAGAGGAGGGCATATGTTATGAAATTCTGCATAGATGAGGCAACTGGGTCAAATTGCCTCATTTCATAAATTCATCCACCCTAACTGGCCCATCCAATCGGCATTCAATCGGGTAAACCAAAGTTCGTCATTCCGAAACTGATTTCTACAGAAAGCAAGGAACTTGGATTTCGCCGCTTTGAAACAAACAATGGGGGTTGGAGAATCAGAGAAGGGTACCTGGATTACGGCGGTGAGTACGGCAAATCCCACGTATACATCGATGATCTGCAGCGGGAAGATCAACAACAAAGGTCTAAGAAAACGGCGGGAATACATAAAACGATGAACAGATTCATCCACCAACAAATGAGGACGAGACATTAGAGTTGAAAGATAGGGAAAAGAGAAAGAGAACGAGAACCTTGAGGTTATTAGGAGTTGCGGCGTAAGCAGAGCGAAGGGACTGGAAGAGAGCCTGCGTCTCCTTCACCGTGGAGGATCGCCCCATTCTTCCAAGTTAACCCGCGAAATGAGACGAAGAAAGAAGAAGACTTTTGGGGAAAGTCGAGCAATCAGATCCAACAAATGCAGAGAATTCTAACTTCAAAGAAGCATCAGCAGCTGAAACACTCGAGAGCCGAGGGTTTGAGGTCAGTACTCTCAACTCTGGAGTGGGGACAAGGGCATACTAGTCATTGCAGCGCTCGCTCACTCCCTCTAAATTACAAAAGATAAATAAGGAAGAAGCGTCGAGAATCCAACGACAAGAGGGCCTTTTTTGTCACGATATGAACAGCTCTTGGTAATTTAAAGACATGGACGATATCATAATTTCTTGAAAAAAATCTCAAGTTACACATGTTTTTTAAAAATTTCTCAAAATACACACGTTATCAAAATAATTCACAATCTACGCATGTTTGGGCCTTCACTGTAGCATAGGAGGGCGGTGATTGCATCACCGCATGAAAGAAAGGCGGTGATTGCATCACCGCATGAGAGAAGCACGGTGATTGCCATCACCGTTGTAGAGGAAGGCGGTGATTGCATCACCGCTCTAGAGAAAGGCGGTGAAGGCCTGACCTGCGTCGAAACTTTAAACAAACGTAACTTTGTGCTCGGTTATTCGATCGTAGCGAAATTTTTTTTGATTCCGCATAATTTTTCGAGATCTTGCAAGCCTCATACGCCGTAGGCGGTTTGGTCGCGCCTTCGTCGCGAAAATATGTCATTTTCTACTCCGAACGAGCCTTTTTTCTATTTCGTCAAACTTTGAACGACCATAACTTTGTTCTCCACAATCCGAAATTCATGAATTTTTTTTTTATTTCGCATAACTTTTTAAGGTCTACAATTTTTATCATAGATATAATTTCGGAATGTACTTGGATTCCTGAAAAGGGAAGGTAAAGTTATATCCAAAACCCCGTATATAAAAAAAAAGTTATTCGGATTCAAAAAAAATCGCTAAGATCGGATACTCGAGTGCAAAGTTACGTTCGTTTGAAGTTTCGGCCGAAGTTAGGAGTTGATCGGAAAAAAAAAATTGGACCAAACCGCTGGGTGGGGTGGCGGTTTGGCCCAAAACCGCCGTCCCACCCAACGGTTTTTATAGGTTTTTATAACCGCCCCTTAGCCCAGCGGTTTGCATAGAAAACCGCACCTCCACCCAGCGGTTGCAGTTTTCGTGTAAACCGCAGGGTGGGGTGGCGGTTTTTGAAAAAGGGTGGTATTTTTGGAATTTTTTGGAGTTGGATGGTATTTTTGGAATTCTTTTTTAAAAAAGTGGTATTTTTAAAAGTCCAAGATTCTAATGCATTGTTTGTTTTTCTTGTACCGCAGGAGATGTTTTCTATGCTAACTGAGATGAAGTACTCCCAGGAGCAACTACAGTGATCTATCTCGACTCTTGGAGGATTTGGGAATGAGGAACAAATGCAAAGTATTAATGGAGAGGGCCAATGTTGTAGCAGTAACTGCTGCAAAAAGACTATGGTAAGAAAGAAGAGTATGATGCATTAATTTCAAGGGTTTTCAAGTTCTGCTGCTTTAGTGCTGATATGTTGTACATCCTCCATCAAAATGTTTTACTCGTCGTCTGCTTTCACTGTATGCAGGAGTCCCCAAGTTTATATGCACGACTACAACCTCCCGTCATTTCTTCTCTCATCCGGATACTTCACAGGAAAAAGGAAAGCCGAGTCCGAGGTTCGCTTCAGGTAACCTCGAACAGAACGGTAAAACCCTTTGCTTTCCCACCAAGGCTGTACCCTAATGTCCCGTGCTTTGGGTGAGGGGGAGTGGCGTTAAGACTGGCATTCGTCTATGGGAAAAGAAGAGTGGATGGACTCGAGGTCCCTCTGGATTTGGTAGGGGAGCCATGGGAAAAAGCTTTGGGAACTGTTAGCAACCTGATTAGACCCTTGAGTTATCTTCCGGCATCCGATGTGCTACTGGCGCCACCAGTCAGTGTTGAAGATGTGGCACTTGCGGTGATCAATGCTGTGGGAGATGATGATGTTTTTGGTGAGCTCACGATCGAACAGATCAAGGAAGCTGCTGCTAAAGTAGAGATATGAGAAGCGAAGAAGGGAACTAAGGAACTGAACTGACCCATAAAAGTTGCTCCCTGCTGGGGAAGAAAAATGTAAGGTGGATGAACTGTTGAAGCTGTACAAAGAATTCAGCTCAATTCATGTGAAGTACTAGTATTCTCAAAATTTCGTACATAGTTCACCAGAAAATAGTTTAGTACATTCAGAAATTTATTCAAATCTTGTTTACTTACTTCTCTCTAACTTCTGTTTCCTGCACTAAATTAAATTTTTGTTCCATCGCCAACCAATCACGCATCGCCTGTATTCCTTCTGCTCCAACAGGAATACCTCTACTTCTTAGCCATGGATTGCTCTGTAAGATACCTATTTCAATGCAAAGTTATGAAAAGTTAGTGTTTGATAAATTCTTGTATAATGCTTGCTGTCAAGGAAACAAAAGAGTGGAAGGGAAGATTGAGCTCATACTTGGCGGTGAAAAAACCAGCAGAATACCAAGCATTCAAGACATCGCAGAGATCTGTTCCAGAAGTAGGACCTTGTGCAGTTCCCTGTTCTTCTTCATCTGCGTGAAGGGCAGAGCTGAATAATTGTGTGGAGAGAGCACCCCAAAAAAAAAAATGGTACATAACAGAAACGAGCACCGAAATTAAAACAGCAGAAAATGTTATTATGGAGTATCAATCAATATTTTCGAAATCAAGAACTAGTTTGAGGTTTGCCAAACTCGTTTGACAACATTGAACTACAGATTAAAGAACAGCTCGAACCCTTTACCACTATCACGTGTCATGTGTTAGTATAATTGTCAAACTCAACAGACATCGGAATCTAGGATTCCATCCTCCATCAAGATTGCATCTTTCCAAGCATCATGACAAGAAGCAAGAAGATTATGTACTAGTATCCCCGGGACAAAAGGAAAAAGTGACAGATTCTTTAGGTCTCTATTTTGTAGGAAAAGGCCATACCTTTGACACCATTATTGTCCGAGGTTTGTACTTTCATAGATGACATCGCTCTTTCAGCAGCTTCCATGGCTGTTTTAACCATGTCACTCTCCCCAAGAGGACAAGCTTTTCCACAACAAGTCAACACAGCGGAGTTGGTGCCTAACTTACTACCACAGCATGAAACTACTGGACAATGACTGGCATAAGGGCAACAAGTGGTATATATGCAGGCAGCTGAGCCATGAGTTTGGTTTGTTGCTGGGGCTGAATGGTCTTGAGAAGTGGAGCAGTTAGCTAACTGGGCAGCAGAACTAGAACCTTCAGCAGGATCTTGGTAATAATAGCCTCCTAGTTGTTGAAGCTGTTCTAGAACCTTTTGCCTCTTCTCTTCCAGCTCATAATACTGGCTTAGTAGCTCGTTATAATCCTCCGTGGCTTGTATATTAGAATGATCACCAACTGTAGGTGCGTTTACATCGTTTGCAGTATCTATGTTTTGTTCAGCTCCAAGTTGATACGCGAAATGATTTTCATCCGATGGTGCTATGCATAATCTGTCATTGATCTCTGCTGTAAGTTGTGATGCTACTTTCCCAGTTTCCTCCACCTCCCTGATTTTGCATCACGTTAAGGGAGAGAGAAGTGAGGGGAAATGGAGCTTTTGGGAGCAAAAGAATTAAAACTAGCAACATTCAAATTTAAAGCCATAACTCCATTGCAGATTAACTTCTGTCTACTGAAAGCTCTCATAACAAACTAAAGCATGAAACTTGCGTAGCTTAACCTACCTGGCTAATCCAAGGCCTTCATCCGCTACAGGAGCAGGATCCACACTGTCAGCTAAACCTTTTCCACTATCAGCTGAATTTTCCTGGCCTTTCTTGCCATGATACTTCTGGAAAACAAAAAACAGGAAGTGATTCATTGGATATGGGCATTTAAATTTCTTCAAACTTCTTCAAAATTTCCACACTAGTTGACGAAAAGCTGATAAATTTAAATTTACGGCTCCGAACTAGCATCCATTTTCCCCCGGCCATAAACCCATGAATCGCTCAACTCTCAGCACTCAATAATACATATACCGAATTAAACCCAAAGAAGTTAAGTTCGTTGAAAGGATGAACAGGAAAGAGATTAAGGAGAAAGAGAGGGAAAGAGTGAAGCTTGACCTTGTACTTGGAAATGGCGTCGTCGAAAGCGTTGAGAAGAGCAGAATCGTCCCACATTTCATCTCCTTTCCCCATTTTCCCCGTACGCTGTCTTCGCCAGTCTGCGGTGGCGGCAACAATGCCGAGGCTGAAGCCTGAAGTAGGAAGAGCTGTTTGTTAAGTTTCACCATCGCGCTAAATTATGGACATCCAGCCAGCTCAACTTCCTTTATCTCTATGGGCTTAAGCCCAGCCCATCCAAATTTTCTTCTTCCGTACTTCCTTTTTTTCAGCATGGATATCAAAATAATATCATGATTTTTGTACATAACCATACCGGAAGTCAGGACTACAAAATTCTCCACAGTCAATCAAGGTTTATCGTGTTACGTTTGCACCATCTGACTGTGTTTATTTAGGATTAGGAGACAGGGATGGAGATCGACAGGGGTAGCAAGAAGGGACGGATCTTTTACCTCAAACAACTTCATCTTCAATCATCATCATTGGGGTCCTTCGTCTTAGCATCGCAGGGTTCTTTGTCTCCTGTTTTTTCTAGTCTTCCTTATCAAATTGTTAAATTATGGCATGCTTGGTTGGGTCACCCAAACTCTAGTCATCTTGTGACCATGTTTAAACAACAGTTATTTGGAAATAGTGCCCCTGCTCAGTTTTCGTCGGATTTTTCATGTACTAGTTGCATTGAGGCTAAGATTACACGCATATCTTTTCCTTCTAGTGTTATTGTTATCTCTGAACCTTTCCACTTGATTCATACCGACCTCTGGGGGCCTAGCCCTGCTACTTCACGCCTTGGTTATAAATATTTTGCTATATTCATTGATCATGCTACTCGGTACACTTGGGTATATTTCCTCCTGCTGAAATCTAATCTTTTATATATTGATGCTGAATTTCTTGCCATGATTAAAGCTCTGTTTGATAAGACGGTCATATAGTCCATTCTGATCCTAGTTGTGAGTTTAGTTATGGTCCCTTGTTGAGTCTCTGTAAGTCTCTAGGCATTCTGTCGCAAAAAACATGTCCTGGGGTGTCACAGCAAAATGGTTTGGTAGAGCACAACAAATGTAATGTTTTGGAGGTCACTTGAGCTATCTTACTCTCCTCTTTTGTTCCTTCCTCTTTTTGGCTCGAAACTATTGCCAATGTCGTTCTCCTAATCAACTATCAGATCACCCCCGTCCTTGGTCAAACCCGCCCATATTTTCATCTCTTTAACAAACCCCTACCATACTCACCTCTTCGTGTTTTGGTTGTGTTTGTTTTGTGCTCCTCCCTCATTCTGAACGTACTAAAATCACTTCTAAAACTGCTTGATGCTGCTTTCTTGGCTATAGTGACATCCACAAGGGTTAATTTTGTTATGATCCCAAGCTTCGTCGTGTTTGCATTGTCTGTTATGTGGTCTTTCTAAAAAATTTGATGTATCATTCTTCCCCTTCTGTCTCAACCTCCTTTGTTTGATATGTCTCTTGCTCCACCTTCCTTTGCCGAGGATGATGATGATGATGATGGATATCTTGACCAGATGGATGATTAGTGATGCTCTAAAACACAACACCTAACAATGGCCAAGTGTAACCAATGAAAGGGACTGCAGTATAGTGGCACAAGTAATAAATATCGAATCCACGGGTCTCTAGAGTTACTATTACTCAGCTTCAGTTCATTATCTAGCAAACTAGATTAAGGATTGATTAACTAAACTACTCTACTAACTAAACTAAGTAAAACTACTAATTACAGTTTGGGAACTCACTTAGGTATGATTCCCCCTAGCTCCTCAATTAGGTCCAAGTTGTAATTCCTTTTGGTTATTTTACTGTTGATTAAACTGCGGAAGATCCGACAGTAGCTTGGAATCTTTTAAGCTGACCAAGCCCTCTCAGTCTAACTATCCGGCAGACGACTAGTCTTCACCGGGATAGAAAGCTGAAGCAATAAGCACAGAACTCCACTACTGGAATTGGATTCCAGTACAAAGCAGTAAACTGGCTAACTCTCGTATAGCCAATCTCCTACTACCGAATGATGAGGCTCTAACAACCTAATCAGATTCTATCTATCTCAGGTTGCAGCAGAAATCAGGAAAAGTTGATCAGACTTCAATTGACTCAATAAACATGCACCATTCGATTATAATCAAACAATATAGCATCCAAAACTTCATACAAGAAAGATCCTAAATCATGGAACTAGGGTTCCTCAAAACCTAAGTGAAGGGAAGTTACTCCATAGAGAAGAGAGAGACTGCAGAAATCTGATCTAGATCTTCAATCTCCATCTCCAAGTTTGATTCCCGAGCTCCAATGGCGAAGAAATCCTCCAAAATAGCTCCAAGAATGTTCCCAAGTCGCTCTCTCTCTCTAGGGTTCGTCCCTTGGGTGTTTGGGATCCAAAACCCAGCTCTCCCTTTCCTTTGGCTCTAATCTGCCTCAAAAATCCGATTCTGGGCGAATTACGGGCTGAATTACGGTCGTAATTCTTCCATGCCCGTATTTTGCCCAAAACACGCGTTTTGGTTAAGTTTCAGCGCACCCAAAGCTCCTCTCGGCAGTGAAATTACGGGCATGGGAGGGGAAATTACGGTCGTAATTCTCTTGCCCGTAATTCTTCCTCCACCCCTGTTCAAAGCTTCGTTTCTCCCTCGTCCGGACTCCGAATCAGTCGCCGTTTGAACCCAGACGCTCGTAGTCTCGTCCTCTTTCTTTTCTTAACAAACTTCCATGATAATTTGTCCATAATATGAGGTAGAAATCCATTATTCCTCAGGTCATGCTCGTGTTTCTTCTCCCGAATTGTCAAATGATCTCCGATTCATTTGAAACTTGCGCCTACGCTTCACTTTATGTGCTAGGGCCTGAAATGTGAAAGGAACACAACCTAGCGTAAAATAGGCCTAAAACACGAGAATTACCATCCCAAACGGCTCCAGAATAGGGGTAAAAACATGTGCAATTAACGGCTTATCAAACTCTCCCACACTTAACCGTTTGCTTGTCCCCAAGCAAACCAAGTCAGACACAAGGTAAGCTCACATATTTCGATCAACCAACATTGGGGACAAGTCATAAAGGCACAGAACATGTGAATCGTACTGGTTTTCAAACATCAATACATGAACAACCTCAATAGCAACCTGGACAACCACCACAAAGGACATTCGAGTGCAGCAAAATCGAGTAAAGGAAGAGTCTCCCTTCTGTTCACCAACCAACCTAGACTTGACTCAACCACTTACTCAAAACAGTCAACTCATACATCCAACTCAAGACATCAGAATAGAGACCGAGCAATCTAGGTCCTCACCGGGGTACAAGAGTATATAGAATATGAAAATGAATCACTCACTCTCGACCAGTGGGGTCGGGACAATTTGATGCGAAAAATGCGCATGCTATTTTTCTCAAATCCTAACATCTCTTCACCATGATGGCAGCCTCTAAATGCTAGAGTTCACATATGGGGTGTCACCACTGACTAATCAGGAGGTCTTAGACACAGGTTCAAATGACTGGCTAGGGTCTTGGACACGGGGAAAATACCTTTTAGGTGGTGGAAGTATTCAAAGCACAAGGTTCCACATTTCCAAACCCACACAATCACAGTTAAACAAACCGGTATTTCCTTTCTGCTATTCTGCATTACTCAATATCTCAAGAGCACAAAAGCGAAGGAGGTATAAATGTTAGCATTTCCAAGCCAGACTGCTAAGAAACACTACTTAATGGGCATTATTCAGATTTTTGGTAGTGGCTCTCTTTTGCTTCCAATTTTTCTTTGTTTTTCTTTCATTTTCTTTCATTTCTCAAGAGAACCACCACCTCTGCATATTTTCAAACACCTGCCCAACTTTTTAAGAACTACCTCCCACTCTCACATTATATTTAGGAGAAACAGCAGAGAACAGGTAAAAATCACTCTGTGGAACCTTCTAAAAGATGGAAAAGGGTGACTTTTCATTGAAGACCGAAAGAAAGGATAACACACGGCTCAAAGGGGCTGACTAGGGGGTATGACACACCAGGAAAGTCAATTTGGTCGTGGGCTAATCCTATGCCTCCTTCATCTTAGCTAATGACAACGTGAATGCTACACATCATGGAAGAGGGAACTATCGCACAAGAAAGAAACGAGCAGGCTCAAATCTCACATGGCTACCTATATGCTCTATCTCTCATTTTGATTCCCTGAACTAGATGCATAAGAGACTGTCAAAAACAAGTAATCAATCCAAGTCACAGTTGGTAAGCAAACAGTTGAAAAACTGAACCCCTACACAACTCTACTGCACGTCTCAGTCATCATCATAGGTTGTCCTAAGCACCATCCAGTTGTCATGCATTAATCCGAAAACCATTCAATTCACCAATCAAAACACAGTGCCAATATGATCAAACAGCCGTACTTGGAGCCCTCAAATCTCGAGATTTGGACAGTGGACTAGGCTCCAAGCACACAAACAGCCAAACATTCACCCGCATAAATAATCGAACACCCCCCCACACTTAAGCACGACATTGTCCTCAATGGAGGAAAGATAAGGAGGGTAGAACGAAGTTACCAAATCAAGGGTGAATGATGATGAACGGGTCAGGCAGTGCATTCCAGAAAGAGAGAGTAATCAGAACACAAACACCACACAAAATCTCACAAAGGTTTAGTTATTGACTCTAAAATCAAATAACAAAACTGACTCAACCGAGGAGAAATAGAGAAAGAAATGCAAACCGACTAGTTGGGTTGCCTCCCAACAAGTGCTTCTTTCACGTCGTGAGCCGGACGATGGCTCCTAAGTGTCGGTCCATGCTAGAACCTCCTTGAAGTTGAGGTTCTCGTCGATGAGGTGGAGTCTCAAGTCACTGGCATGTGGTGTGGCAGGTGATGAAGGCTCATGTACTTGATGCAGATGAAGTCTCCACCCTCGAGACCTCTTCTTCTCTTCTCTCGTCTCATTGCCCCAAACCAGATATGACAGCATCGATTGGCCACCATCGCGTCCACCAAGAGGGACCGATGTTGATGTGGCCTTGGTCTGGCAAAGAGACACTGCAAATGGGTCCTTGCTAAGCAGTTCCTCAAAGTTTGGTGGGGATATCACTTGCAACTCATGGCCGGTGCAGGCCTCTTCCACCTTAACTCCGTTCTCAGCCTGGACGCCAATTGCTTCTTCAACCCCCCTTTCTTCTTCATGTGGTATCACCCCTGGGAAATGATCAAGAACTTCTCCTGCTTCACTTTCGTCATCCTCCACAACTTCTTTCTGCATCCTTTCTTGCTCTTCTTCTTCTAGCACAGATTGGAGAGCAAGTCGCCATGTAATTTCTTCAATGAGATCATCTTGCATCTCCTCGCTCGGGCCCAGCATGTTAGAGCAGAAATAAGGAATTGTGTGATCTGCAACCAGATGACTTTCCTGATCATGATTATCATGGGAGTTCTCTATGATAACTTCTGTATGCTCCTCAACATCCCCATAGCCTTTGTCATCCTCCACCTCTTCTAGCGTGGTAGTAGAAAGGTGATCTTGAGCAAGATGTGAGCAAACTTGCTCCACCCACTCTGTTTGCTTCGCTGAGCGCTGAACAGTCTCCTCCATATCATGGAGAAATGAGGGATCGGAAGCAGCAAGGGCTTTGATTTGAAGATCCATCTTGGAGCATGATCTCTCAGTGTCTCGAGCAAACTGCTCCACGAGAAGCCTCAATTGTTTGTTCGGATCTTCCGGTGAAGTGTAGCATGGCTCTGCAGAGTGGCCCGTGAAGGCTGTGGCTAACTCAAGATCTGATGGCCCTTCTTGTTGTGGGAGGAATTCTTCTTGATAAGGAGATTGTTCTTGATATGCCCAGGGGTCTGGTTGTTCTCCGTAGAAAGGGGGTTGGTACTGGAACCCGAATCCATAGTCTTCTCCTCATTGATTGCTCCAGGGAGTCTCGGGGTAATACCACTCGGATGGTGGTGGATACCCCCACTGGTTGGAGAAGCCATGCGGATCCATGATTCAGATCTGCACCAACAAAAACAAAAAACACCCAAGTGAAAAGCAAGGGTGGAAAAGAAAAGAAAAACGCTAAAGTAACAAACTTCTGCCTTTCCTAATAATCTAGAAAGTCCCCGGCAACGGCGCCAAAAACTTGATGCTCTAAAACACAACACCTAACAATGGCCAAGTGTAACCAATGAAAGGGACTGCAGTATAGTGGCACAAGTAATAAATATCGAATCCACGGGTCTCTAGAGTTACTATTACTCAGCTTCAGTTCATTATCTAGCAAACTAGATTAAGGATTGATTAACTAAACTACTCTACTAACTAAACTAAGTAAAACTACTAATTATAGTTTGGGAACTCACTTAGGTATGATTCCCCCTAGCTCCTCAATTAGGTCCAAGTTGTAATTCCTTTTGGTTATTTTACTGTTGATTAAACTGCGGAAGATCCGACAGTAGCTTGGAATCTTTTAAGCTGACCAAGCCCTCTCAGTCTAACTATCCGGCAGACGACTAGTCTTCACCTGGATAGAAAGCTGAAGCAATAAGCACAGAACTCCACTACTGGAATTGGATTCCAGTACAAAGCAATAAACTAGCTAACTCTCGTATAGCCAATCTCCTACTACCGAATGATGAGGCTCTAACAACCTAATCAGATTCTATCTATCTCAGGTTGCAGCAGAAATCAGGAAAAGTTGATCAGACTTCAATTGACTCAATAAACATGCACCATTCGATTATAATCAAACAATATAGCATCCAAAACTTCATACAATAAAGGTCCTAACTCATGGAACTAGGGTTCCTCAAAACCTAAGTGAAGGGAAGTTACTCCATAGAGAAGAGAGAGACTGCAGAAATCTGATCTAGATCTTCAATCTCCATCTCCAAGCTTGATTCCCGAGCTCCAATGGTGAAGAAATCCTCCAAAATAGCTCCAAGAATGTTCCCAAGTCGCTCTCTCTCTCTCTAGGGTTCGTCCCTTGGGTGTTTGGGATCCAAAACCCAGCTCTCCCTTTCCTTTGGCTCTAATCTGCCTCAAAAACCCGATTCTAGGCGAATTACGGGCTGAATTACGGTCGTAATTCTTCCATGCCCGTATTTTGCCCAAAACACGCGTTTTGGTTAAGTTTCAGCGCACCCAAAGCTCCTCTCGGCAGTGAAATTACAGGCATGGGAGGGGAAATTACGGTCGTAATTCTCCTGCCCGTAATTCTTCCTCCACCCTTGTTCAAAGCTTCGTTTCTCCCTCGTCCGGACTCCGAATCAGTCGCCGTTTGAACCCAGACGCTCGTAGTCTCGTCCTCTTTCATTTCATAACAAACTTCTATGATAATTTGTCCATAATATGAGGTAGAAATCCATTATTCCTCAGGTCATGCTCGTGTTTCTTCTCCCGAATTGTCAAATGATCTCCGATTCATTTGAAACTTGCGCCTACGCTTCACTTTATGTGCTAGGGCCTGAAATGTGACAAAGGAACACAACCTAGCGTAAAATAGGCCTAAAACACGAGAATTACCATCCCAAACGGCTCCAGAATAGGGGTAAAAACATGTGCAATTAATGGCTTATCAATTAGCTACCCCCGACTCCTCTCCTGTAGCTGCTCTAGATTTTCCTGATTCGTCCTCTTCTAACGAGTCTGCACTACACTGGTCGTTTGTAATTCCTCTTCACGTGTCACTTCGTACCACACGTGGAGCTCCTCCTACCCGCCACCAAGACTACCTGGCTTACAGTGTGGTTCTAGTCCCCATTCCCACTCGGTACTCTCAAGCCAAAGGAAATTCACATTGACATCGTGCTATGAATGAGGAGTTTGATGCCCTTCATGCTAATGAGACGTGGAATTTGGTCCCTCGTCCTCTTCCTTTGTGCAAATAAGTGGGTCTCGATGAGTGTATCATCTGAAGATTAATATGGATGGTTCTGTCAGGATTGCAGTCTCGCAGGGTTTCTGTCAAGAGTATGCTATCAATTTTGAAGAAAAATTTTCCCCGTTTGCAAAAAATGGTCACAGTTGGTTCTCTTTTGGTACTTTCTTCTCTTCGCGGCTGGCCACTCTTTCAGCTTGATGTTAAGAATTTCTTCTTGCATGGTGAGCTAAAAGAGACTATTCACATGGAACGTCCACCAGGCTACACTCGTGGTACTGTTATATGTTGACGATATGATCATCACTAGTGATGATTTAGAGGGGATTGCAGCTCTTACGGAAGGGCTCCATGCTTCCTTCGATCTCAAGGAGTTCGATTATGTCTCTTATTTTCTGGGTCTTGAAGTCAAGCATTCTCCTCAGCTAAAGCAGGCATATTGATGATATTCTTGAGATCTCTCGGCTCGGTGATTGTAACTCTATTTCTACTCCGGTGGAACTTAGCCTCAAACTCGGCTAAGAGACTGGTGAGTTGTTACCCGATGGTGGTAAGCATTACCGGAGCGTGGTTGGCAGTCTGATATATTTAATATCTACTAGACCGAATATTGCTTATGTTGTCCAGATTGTTTGTCAATTCGTGTTTGCTCCACGTGCGAATCATCTTGCTACAATACATAGTATCCTCCGCTACTATCGGCATGAAGAAAGTTGGCATATTTCCTCCTTTGTCTTGCCCTCTTGTTCTCCATGCCTTTTCGGATTCAGACTATGCTGGTTGTGTGGATACTCGTTGTTCTACTACTGAGAGTTGTGTTCGTCTGGGGTGACTTGTTTATGTTGTGGTGTTGTAAGAAGCAATACTGGGGTTCGAAGTCCTCCGCTAAGGCAGAGTACAGGGTTATGTCTGATGTCTCTTCGGAGCTTGTCTGGCTACGTCGGCTACATGGTGATCTCGGGGTTGATTGTGATCTTCCTTTCCAACTCTATGTCGACATTACTAGTGAGATTCAGATTGCGACGAATCCAGTGCTTCATGACTCACAAAACACATCGAGGGTCATCTTCAATACATACGAGACTAGGTTCGGGATGGTGTTCTCCTCTTATTCAGTTATTCTGCTTCACTTATGAGGACCAGATTGCAGATCTCTTGACCAAGTCTTCCTGGGTCAGTCGACATTTCTATCTTTCTCGCAAATTGATGATGAGAGATCATTGCCAATTTGGGGGGAGGTTGTTGAGTTATATGTACCTTGGGCTTCAACCCATCTCTCCCATACGTAGGCTCGGTAGTATGGGATAGCTAGGGTTGGCCGAGTATGTTTTGTAACTAGGGTTGTGTTATTTTTGAATATATATATGTGTGTGTGCGCGCGCATGACCAAACCTGTTGAAGCTAAATTGAATAAGAGGATACAATAGTTTCAGGCGTGGACTAGTCTCGTTCATACTGAACGAGAAAACCACGTAAGTCACTGTGTTGATTTCCGTTTCTGTTTCGATATTCCGTTATGATGAACAGTTTAATATCATTCCGCTTATTTGTGTGATACCATCTTCAAACAAATACCAGAAGTAGGTGAAATATGCCCCCAAATCCAACTACTAATAAATGGATTACATCCTTCCTTGGTAGTTGGTACTATTGGTCTTTGATTTGGCCCATTTCAACTAAACCACCATTGAAGCAATCAATAGGAATGGCCGCCCCACCACCCAATAAGGTACAACCTGCAGCGGTTGCCAAATTGGTAAGGTTGTAATGTTGAGCAAATTATGGAATGGAAAATAGTCAAAAATTACTCATCAAAATTTGGTTTAATTTTGACCGGTGTCAAATTACTCATTGAAAATGAAAGAAAAAGGAGAAGGCCCGCTGATAATTTTGACCTCAAAATGGGTTCTTCTAGGATAACAAGTAGAGATGGTACAAGGCAGGCACAGAAGGCCAGCAACAAGCGAAGAAGATGTTGAGAACAAAAACCAAACCAATGTGGTTGGTCGGACCGACCAGCTCCAGCTCAGCCAACGACCATTGTCTTTTTCTAGTTGCAAAGCTTTGAGGATTAGCAGTGTCTTGCAAGCAAGTAAAACAGGGTTAAATTTTTTACCAAAACCCAGATTGATTCATAAAGGGAGAGGGAGGAGTAAAACTTTAAAACTGTAAAAAGGGTAGATAAGCTTCGCGGGGAGAAGAACGACGAGCTTCATTTATTCATTTTCACCTTTTTCGCCATCTTTCCCTTTTCCTCTCCGTGTTTTATTCATTTGTCTGCGTTTCTCTTTTTTCTTCTCCAAAAGGGAGCACTGTTCAACTCTTCAGCAAGGAAATAGTAGTGACTAGTGAGTGAGTAGATTTCATCGTGTCATCCCATCATTTCATTACCCCCAAGCCAACCGAACCTTCTCTCATTAGTCATTTCTGCTTTCTCCCAATTCCTCGTGTTCTTCATCAGGTTGTTCATCATAGATTTCCTCAAAAATCTGTCCGCCTGCAGCCTTCTCATCCGACCGTGTGTTGTCCCTTTCGCACAGGTATCTTTTTTATAACCCTCAATTTCCCCCATCTTCTTCTTCTTCTTCCATCCCCTTTACAAAGTTTGCGCCTTTCCTTTCTTTTTGTGTCTTCACACAGTGGTCTTTCTTAAACACGGCTTAAAAAATCCATCTTTCTCAGCTTCCCTTTCATGGGTTCCTTTTTTCTGATCCGTACTTGGTCTTTCGTGGATGTGGGGGTTTTGAAATCAAATTAGTCGTGATACAGCTCTAGGGTTCCTTTGTTTTTCTGGTCTGCATTGTTTATTGCTTTGCTGACCGTTTTTGACAGTTTCGTCGGGCCGGCCCCTTCAAAGGATCCCACGGTTGCAAATTTTGATTATTGACTTTGTGGCTTGGTGTTGGTCTGTTGAGAAAAGTCAGATGCTTGGACTGTGAACAAATCAAACAAAAATAGAGTAGGACAGTGATTTAAGGAAGAAGGCAACTGGAATTTTTGTCTGGCATAGCTCTCTTTAACTTTGGATGCTTCCCTTGTTTGTTTTGACTGCTTCTCAGGTGGTATTTCCGATGTGCTGTTGAATTTTTCTGGCTTGAAGAAATTCTGCTGACCGGTCGACGAGCACTTGAATTTGGGGTTCTATTCAGAAGATCTGGATAGTTTTCCTAATCATCTCTAGACTTTCCCTAGGTGTTTCTCATTTTGAAGGCTGGAGACAGAAGAGAAAGGAGTCATTTTGTGAATGTTCCTGAGAAATGTTTATTTGATCTATGGTAGTTCATGACTTCTGCCTATCGGGTTGCATCTTGAATTCGGTGTACAATTTCTACTTCTTTATCTGTTGATGTTATGGTGATATGAAGGATGCTGTGTAGTTTGAGTAGGTAGCTCTGAAAAATCTGAGGTAGATATCATATTCTGTTCCGAAATTTCTTTTTGAGAGAAATGGAGCAAACTAGAGGAGAGAGCTGGAAGGAACTGGTACGAAAAATGCTTCCACCAGGTGCTTCTCTCCCTGAAGATGAGGCGAAGCTCGATTACTCCATAGCTATAGAGTACCTTGGCCCTCCAATGCCTTACGAGGTCCCTAAGGTTGAACCTCTTGATGTCAGTTCCCATGGAATCCCAACTGCTGAGCCGCTCGAAGTCTCAAATGGATCCGCTGTGAATCTAGGACCGCCTGTGATCAATCCAATACCTTTGCCAGTGTCTTACATTGCCCGTGTCACAGACTCCCCCGCCCAAAGCCCTCGGGCATCAGCAAGCTCGGAGTCAGTAGTATCAGTTCTCCAAAATCCCGACTCTTCCTCAGCTTCAGCATCAGCTTCACCTGCATCAGCTCGAAACCCTCCCAATCATGTGGTGGCCAATGAAGCGAGGCGAGTGCCAGTTGTCAAGTTCCACTCTGTTGATACCTCTACCCACAGCAAAGGCTCGGATACCGATAGGTCAGTTTACCCCGAGTATGTTGTTGGGGTGTCAAAGGAAAAGAAGAAGAAAAGGAGTAGAGTTTGCTATCGGTGTGGAAAAGGGAAATGGGAATTGAAGGAGTCATGCCTTGTTTGTGATGCAAAATACTGTAGCAACTGTGTTCTTAGGGCAATGGGATCTATGCCCGAGGGACGTAAGTGTGTGACATGTATAGGTGAGCCGATTGATGAGTCAAAGAGGTTTAAGCTCGGGAGGCATTCTCGTGTCTTATCGAGATTGCTCAGTGCTTTGGAAGTTAAGCACATTATGAAATCAGAAAAGGAATGTTCTGCTAATCAGCTTAGGCCAGAGCAGTTGATTGTAAATGGGTTTCCTTTGAAGCCAGAGGAGATGGCAGAATTACTTGGATGTCCTTTGCCACCGAAGAAATTGAAGCCCGGTAGATATTGGTATGACAAGGAGTCTGGTCAATGGGGAAAGGTGAGGAGTTTCTTCTAGTTGTAGTTGATTACTTATCAAGATGAGCAGGACTTTATATAGCTATCATTGTTCCATTTTACAGGAGGGAGAAAAACCAGATAGAATCATTAGTTCAAACTTAAACTTCACTGGGAAACTCATGCCTGATGCAAGCAATGGCAACACTGAAGTTTACATTAATGGCAGAGAAATTACTAAGCTCGAGCTGAGGGTGCTAAAAGTAAGTGTTTTCTTTAGATAGATAGCTGCATAGTATGGATAATAATCTATAGCTGAACTGTCACCTTGTAAGGTCTGTAGTCTCTCTCTAATTTGTGAAGTGGGGTGTCCTGGTTTAGGATTGATTATTATCATTCGTTGTGATCCAGGAGAATTTTAGTAGAGAAATGTTGAAGAGTTTAGTTATGAAAATTTCTTTCTTCTCCAGCTGGCAAAGGTGCAATGTCCCCGTGATACTCATTTCTGGGTCTACGATGATGGCCGTTATGAGGAGGAAGGTCAGAATAATATAAGGGGAAACATTTGGGAGAAGGTATATTTGTGTGAAAACTCATATTAACAATATTTTGGTAAACTATGTACTATCACTTGGTCATATATGAAATGTTGTGGATTGCCTCTTGCTAGATAGGCATCAACCCGGTTTGTCTGCACACTCTTCTCTTTGCCTGTTCCTCATGGTCAACCCGTTGGTCAGAGAGATGAACCTAGCACTTACACTACACTTCCGAATTATCTCGAGCCGAAAAGAGTCCAGAAGCTTCTTCTGCTCGGACTCCCGGGATCAGGAACCAGCACGATTTTCAAGCAGGTAGAAGTTCTGTTATTTCACTGAGGAATGCTTGCTTTGTTTGATTGGATATGTTTCTTGTTTCTTGTGAAGTTGAAACAAGAGTATATTTTCCGATTAATAAGTACACAAGTTGGTTTATTGCTGTGAGTTTGAGCTACTGTTCAGTGGCGGAACTAGGTTGAAGCCTAGTCCCCTCAACTTTGAAATATAGGTAAAAGTACATATAAAATTTGTAACAAAATTTAGAAAATAGAGTAGTCTGTAAGGCTTTAGCCCTCCCCCCCAGTTCCCACACACACATTCAGATTTCTGGCTCAGCCACTGTTATTGTTCCTAGGTCTGGACTGAACATGTTGTTCGAACTATGTTGGTGATGGTGTCATTTTTTGCAGGCTAAATTCTTGTATGGAAACAGGTTCACTGCAGAAGAGCTGCAAGATATCAAGTTGATGATACAGAGCAATATGTATCGATATCTTAGCGTCTTGCTCGATGGACGAGAGCGCTTTGAGGAAGAGTTACTCGCAGAGGTGGAGATTGAAGATCGGGACTCTGAAGCTAGTAAGACTTATATATAGGTGGTAAAGTCAAAGTAAAAAACTGGCTCCTATTAGTTATTTACATTTCAACTGTTCTTTCAGGTGGAGAAGCCGACTCAGTTGAAACCAACAACCAGTGCATCTACTCCATCAACCCAAGGTTGAAGCATTTCTCTGACTGGCTGCTTGACATTATAGCCACTGGAGATTTGGATGCGTTCTTCCCTGCAGCCACACGTGAGTATGCCCCATTAGTCGAAGAGGTGTGGAAAGATCCCGCGATCCAGGAAACATATAAGCGAAAAGATGAACTTCACTTCCTTTCAGATGTTGCAGAGTACTTCTTAAGCCGGGTTAGAATCTCTCTTTGCTTCAGCAACAAATAACCAGGGTGCAATAGATTGTGATGAATGACAAATTTGCCATATAATGTTTCATTTTTCAGGCAGTCGAGGTCTCCAGCAATGAATATGAACCCACTGAGCGAGATATCCTCTATGCAGAAGGCGTCACCCAAGGAAACGGTCTAGCTTTCATCGAATTTTCGCTCGATGATCGGAGTCCAATGTCCGAAGTGTACACTGATAATCTTGAAGCTCTTCCTCCTCTCACTAAGTAATCATCTTCTCCTCTTGCTTTCCTCTTTACTTAATCTTCTCAATGATCTCAACATCTTCACACGGCATCCTGATCTCTTGTTTTAGGTACCAACTCATACGGGTGAATGCAAAGGGAATGAACGAAGGTTGCAAATGGGTCGAAATGTTCGAAGACGTACGAGCTGTAGTGTTCTGCGTCTCCCTCAGCGACTACGACCAGGTGAGCTTATCACCATCAGAGGGCAGCGGGTCACTGCTCCAGAACAAGATGATGCAGACCAAGGAACTGTTCGAGTCTATGGTCCGCCACCCTAGCTTCAAGGACACTCCATTTGTGCTTGTGCTCAACAAGTATGATCTGTTCGAGGAGAAGGCAAACCGGGTCCACCTCAGCACGTGCGAGTGGTTCTCGGACTTCAGCCCGGTGAGACCCAACCACAACCAACAGTCCCTGGCCCAGCAGGCGTACTACTACGTGGCAATGAAGTTCAAAGACCTCTATGCGTCGATTACTGGGCAGAAGCTGTTCGTGTGGCAGGCCAGGGCAAGGGACCGGGTGACCGTCGACGATGGGTTCAAGTACGTGAGGGAGGTGCTGAAGTGGGATGAGGAGAAGGAGGATAATTACTATGGTGGGCCCGAGGATTCATGTTATAGTACGGATGTTAGTTCATCTCCATTTGTGAGGCAAGAGTGATAAAATATGGTTTGGAAAGTGTTATGCCTTGTTAGTTTAGGGAGGAAAAGGTTAGTACTAAAGGGAAAGGGAAGGGTTAATAAGGCTAATTGCTTAAATTGTAATTGATGTCATTGTTCCTGTTGTAATACCAATCTCAAATGCTTGTTTCTTGAGTGAGTGCATGATCTGATCTGGTTCATATCGAATTTGAATGTAAATAACAAATTAAGTCTTTTAACTCCCCACTCCTTCCATTAATTATTCTCTTCCTCCTATCAAACCAAACTACCACATTATTTATTCAGACCAAAAGGGTCTTTGCATCTTCCAGTTTCAGCCATAAACAACCTAAACTAAACCTCGTATTGCACAATATCTCGCTCAGGACTCTCATTCCAACAGTAGAATACATTTCACTACAACAAATCTGGAGATACCCCCTACTGGATGCTCAATGCAGAAACACCTGATGTGATCTCACTGCTTCTCGGATCACCACGTTCTAGGCGAACACCACACGGGTCTTCTCGTACTAGCAATGCCAGAACATCGAGCGAGCTCCAAGTTGCTGCAAGATTGCTGCTGCTAGAGTTCCCCAACGTCACAGCGAATACTGCATCAAACCCACCAGCACCGGGGACCCCTGCCAGCAAAACTCCTTCCATGTTCATCGTAACATCCAACAATTTGGTCTGGGATTCTGGCTCTATCTGCAAAATCACAGGCCAGGAGGCTGTCAAGCATAGACATGAAGGAGAAAATAGAAGTAGAAAAGATATGGCAGTTACAACCTGACCCAATTAGTCATTTTCTTGATTAGCTTATGAGTTGGACGATTGTCGTCATTTTTGGAATTATATGATGGGAATGAAAAGACAGTAAACACGATTAGCTTACTGGAACACCGGCAGCTTCTCCCATCTGGCGCATATGCTTTCTGATGTCAAGCATTGCCTCTCTTGCTCCCAGTAATGCTTTCGCAACAGCTTCTTGCTTGTGGTCAGCAGCTTGCTCTACCCACTATAATACGAGATTCATGTTATGGTTCAAGAACCAGTGATAGACAATTGTATGCATAACCTTATGCAAAAGCAAGCTGATGGGATACCTTGTCAATCTTTGTTGTGCTGCAGCTGTCTATCACAGATTTATATGCAATCCAATGCTCTTCTGCAAGTTGGCTTAAAGCTTTAAGTTGTGTTTCCAGCATTGAATTTGCTGCGGACAATATCTTCCATGTTTCTTGAGACTTCTGCGGATCAGCTTGCTGCCACTTTTTAACTGCACCTACCATTGATGGTGTGGATGATCCTCCAACTCCTGGTTCCCCAAGTAACTTCACAAAAGAATCACAATGATCATTGTGAAGGTTAATACAATCAACATTTACTAAGCCACCAGATGCTTGAGCATCCAGACTTAACTACTTTGCCAAATGACACCATAGAGATTGCCATGAATGCAGGAATCAACAGGTAGAGCCAAAGATGGGGATTAAAAGAGTGAATTATGTACGTGTTTTCTGTATGAGAGGTTTTCCTAGTTCTTCGATAAGGATTGGTATCATTAGATTTGTATGATAGTCCGATCATTTTATCCAAAAATTTAGTTCACATGTTCATGCACAAAATACAAAGAGCACCGAAACAGTATGCCTGAAAATACAGTTCACATGTGTATACACAAATGGTATATTTCTGAAATACTTTACCAAGGTCATCAATGGAGGCAAAGAGAACTTAGTCCTCTCGTGGTCCCAGTTTCCACTCAGAATATCGACTATGACCTCCTGTAATGGCATTCCTCTCACTGCATCCTACAAGACAGATTTAAAATTAAGATGGAGAGTCTCATTAGAAATCAAGGAATACCACTGTAAAATACAGAGCAAAACATGTTCATCCTGTTTGGTGAGGGAGAGAAACCTGAGCAGATGAAAGCACAGAGGGTGAAAAGCGGACATATCTCTGGCTACCGTAAACTGCAGAACTGACATCAAACCCACTGCCAACTTTGCCTTGCGCAATACAATGAGCACTTTGAGCTATGATATGAACCAGATCAAGATCTGCAGTTTCGTTATAGCTGGAGGAAGAAAGATCAACTAGTCCAAAGTACTTGAGTAGAGCAGCAACCACAGCAGTGGTCATTGCTGCAGATGAGCCCAGACCTGTCTTTGCAACTTCAGGCCTACACTGTTGACCACTTGCATTCTCATCAGCGTTAAAAGTGATAGACTTGAAAGGAGGGAGTGACGCCAGTGATTCTGATGTCAAAGGGAGACCATGTGCTTCTATCTGAAACCCAAGCAATCAGGTCATTCCATAGAGAGAATAGAATCATTGAAGCAGAAAGAGCTGAAAAATAAGGACGAATGTTGGCTATGCCCTGAAAAGGGGAAAGATTCTTTGAGAGGCTATGCATAGAAATGAGATAAATCTACACCACAAACCGAGAATGGAACGAATACCTGGCTTCGGTATGAATAAAAGTCATTACCACCCAAAATTGTGATATCAAGACCTACATAGACAATCAAATTCCACACTTATATTGTCAAGATCACAAATTCTCCCAGTGTTTCGAAAGTAAGAAAGGACGTGAACAGGAAAACATCAGGATTCTCAAGCCTCTTCTTTACCTTGCAAAAGTAGCTTGTCTAAGGCATCCTTCTTACTTCTATCAAAGGTAGCATTTGCAGCCGCAACAGCATATTCTACCGCATGTTCAACAAACGGATTTCCTGAGTCACTAAAATTGGAAACAGCAGAGCATCCATTAAATCAAATTTCCATCTCAATACTTCCTAATACCAACAAATCCATGCCAATACTTCTTTCCTAGATGAGCTTGAACCACTACTGACATCCAGGAAGAGACTCCAAAAGGACTTGCCTGGAGGAGACTCGCTGAAGATTAAAATTCTTAAGAGACAACTTGTACATGCTCTCCCTATTGAGCTGGGGAGAAGTCAGCTTGACATCAGACCAACCCTGGCAACAACAAAGAAAAGGGTTTAGAACGAGCATTGAAGAGGATCAGAATGAACACTGAAGAGGATCAGAAGTGACTGAAATTGGAATCTAGAAAGGAATCTAGTTTCCGGCAATCAGTTCAGCGTTGAGAGAATCAAATTGCATCGCCGGCCAGTCGAATTCGGTTCAGAAAATCCAGAGATCGACAGAAGAGGGGGTGAAGAAGAAATCGAGAGAAACAGCATCGAAGCGGGAACTCACCCAGGCCCAGCTCTCAGGGCTGAGCTGATCGAAGAGAGGTTTAACAATGGCGTGGAATCTAGCGTTAGTACTCAGCACGATCCCGGCATTGGGCCTCTCCAGTATCAAGTAGCCGCCAGTCAGCAAAACTTTCCCGGGAGCAGAAGCAACTCTGCATCACCACGACAGCATCGAATCGTATCGGAAGCGATCGCAATGGTCGCAAACGTTAAGCAGAAAGAGAAAAAATGAGCTTACACGGCCATCTTCTTCAGCCTAATCTGAATTCCCCCCCGGAATCAGCTGTCTCGGCCTCCGGATTCGCTTTATAGAGGGAAACAGTTGATCGGCGCAGAAAAGGAGCAGAGTGACGAGAAGTGTCGCCCGCCTTTTGCAGGGCCGCTTTGTTTTATAGCTCGTAAGAAAACACCGTGAGACAGTTGTAGCTGCTGCAATAGTCAAACTACTCCGGCTCTGGTACTAAAACGTTTCATAATTTCAGTCTTCAATTGGGGACTAGGATTAGTTTACATCATGATGCCTCAACCTTTAATTATATAGTGATTCTTTCTGTTCAACCACGCAATTCTCATTTTGGAATTTCCCTCCTCTACTTTTCTTGTATTACAAGTCTGATATTCGAACCTCGTCGGGCCATCTCGTGTGTAACATACTCGCAAGAGTCGTTACGATGCGATTCACGATAAGATTTCCAGAACTCGTAACTTGCCTCGTGACTCTTACGAGGATACGTTTGCTGTACATATTTCGAATTTGATCTATGTTTCGAGTTCAAAGTTCAGAAGCTCCGAGATCTTGGGGGTAACAGAAGATTATTCCTCAATACATGAGCAAGAACGCTGGCAGGCGAAAGTAGATCTACAGCACAACCATTGTATTTTGCATGGTTAGAAGAATTGCAAATGCCATAATCACACAGACGAAAGCTCGAGAATGTAAAGATTAGACTACAGTAAAGCAGTATCCTCCAAATGTTTCAAAGCGAAATGGAAATGCTAATTTGGGTAACAACCACCTCTGCAGAAGTAGAAGACGATGTCATCTGTTCTAATGTCCTCTACTCTTCCCACCACACATACGAAGCCGCTGATAAACGTAAGTTGAAGTTCGAAAGGCCACACACAGAGGTGATCGCCGCAGTTTTTCGTGAAACAAAGGTGCGAGAGGATTGTCCAAAAAAGGAAACCGTATACAGTTGCCCTGTCCCTGTCCAGGCAAAGCAAAACTACCACTAGTCTCTCCCTTTCCTCGGTGCACACTATCAAGTACGTACAAATGGGACCATTGCAAATCAAACAGACCTCCCCTAGAAGAGAAAACGGTGCGCCCTATGGATTTATGAAGCAACCAGATCAGGTGTTTCGGCTTCGATGGACAACAACGCTGTGTGCACTTTACCCAACCAGCCGTCCAGCCGATCTCTCAACGACGTGATTTGTGGAATCCCCAGAACTCGCGGCTGCACCCATGACACATATACTGTCCCTTCCACTTGGTCAATTATACCCTCGATCAGATGGACCTGCAAATTAAGAAATCCGGCTCATCAATGCAAAATACAATGTTGAAATCACCTAACTAATCCAGTGTCCTGAAATTTCCCAACCAATGGCAGAACGCCTTCGAGTTAAAGAGGCATGCACATGTAAGAGACCAATGGGGGGAAAGTGCCAAGATAACACCTATAATGTATGGATATTTAAATATATATTCCTCAATGTCTGGATATTGAAGAAAGAGAAAAAAAAAAAGAAGGAACTTACAGAGAGGCTCTTCATCAGAAGATGTTCCACCTCTTCTATTGAGAGGTTTGTGCGCCCAGCAATGACCTTTAATGGAATGGTTCGATCTTCAGACGGACGGCTGCAAAGATGACATAGAAAATAGAAATCAGGGAAAGTAGCTATGTAGCATCAAAATTACCCGACACGAAAACCCCGGTGAAAGTAAAGCCAGCATATTGATATACCTAAAGATAATTTCCATAAGGCACAGAATGTTGATCTTTTCCAGTAGCTTGTTCTTGTTTTCAACTAACGCTGGTTGAGATTTTAGGGCAGACTCATGCACATGCCATAGTTCTTGATACCGAACTAAATCACCAGCATTAAATGCTTGGAGAATATAGTAGAGCCACTCCACTTGCGTGCCAAGCAGACTCTTTATCTGCAGCAATATTCAGGAGATTTCAAAAAACAAATAAGGGAAAGAAGAGGGGGGAAAACCAGAGTCACGGACAACAAATGGAAACATAAAGAACAATTTCCACCTACTGTTGAACAATCACAGGTTATTCTAGTTTAATCAATAAGCCAAACCTATCTGTTACATTCAAGATTCAACTCAGAATTTTATTTCTAAGGAGACAGACTATTGTTCGAAGGAAATCGAAATCTTATCATAGCTTCCTAAGTGGGGAGTGGAAAACACTGATTAACTTTTGCTACTTTCCGAAACTCAAGAGTTAAAACTCTTACAATAGGACTATTGTTTGAAGGAAATCGAAATCTTATCATAGCTTCCTAAGTGGGGAGTGGAAAACACTGATTAACTTTTGCAACTTTCCGAAACTCAAGAGTTAAAACTCTTACAATAGGATGTGCAAGCAGCTCTCCAAAGTTGTAGATATTATCTCCCAGAATCGCCGAAAGAGACAGATCAAATGCCAAATCCTGCAAGAGGATAGGATAAAATGTTAGCACCAACAACAAACAATCAAGTAACTTATAAAATGGTTGACAAATTTGAACCAGAAACCAATAATTTCATGGAAAAAAAATGAACTACTAATGCAACCACTGAATCAATCTAGTTCCTAACTAGTTTTGTAATAGAAGTATTGGAGCTTCAAATAACCAACAATTAGAAACAATATATCAAGAAACCCATAAAAGATAAGAAAGGTATCCAGATTGCCTACAGCTGGACATGTTTATGTTACTCACAAAAGTGGGTTATAAAAGTCATCATATTCAAATTAATAAATTTTCGTTCTTACAAGAAGCTGAACTGTAACATAGTCTCAAATTAAAGACTGTTAAAACTCCCTTGTATATGCTTCAAAAATAAAAAGAATGATCTGTACAAAGAGACAATTCACAGTTGATACAAACAAAACTATTCTATGCAACTTATTTACTTACAAGAGTGAGTTTAACAACAGAAGCTTGAAACCATCACCAATCACTCAGTTTATGGTAGCTTAACCATCAGCTAATGTCAAAGAAAGTTTATCTAAAGACCCCTTCAAGGACTATAAAATAGATCTGAGTGCTTAAACAACTACTAATCAACACGTATGTTTGAAATTACTAAGGTACCTGGATACCTTATTGGAGTCACATTAAATAGAATCCACAAGGTTGAAGAAATAGCTTAGCAGCTCGCACTAAGTTACAGAAATTAGCACAATTATCTACACCACAATAAGCAATATATATTGGTCTATATGAATTAACTTTCCTGGAGATGCAATGAATACTTGACAGAAGTTTTCAGTTGGTCTAATCATATTATGCGATATAATTAGAAGTCGGTTAGACAAGAATGGATATACAAATCTTAAAACACTATTTCTACTCCAAAGCTAGCACCGGATCCCGAGTATTGGAATTTTCGAGTCTTGATATCAAAGAACAATTAAAAGATTGGTTAAAGGATCCACTGAATTAAGTGTTTATATACCAACAACAAGGTAAGTTAAGAGAACATACCAGCTTGAATGAATCTGAGAGGGACTCCACTGATGTGTACGCCAAATACAGAAGTGCACTTCTGTAGAAATCAGCAAAGTCTTGGCGGTATTTATGGAACTGAGATGAAACCCAATAATAACTGGCATACACTGAGGGATCGATGTCAGTCATGCTGTCCAGTGTACTCTTCCCATCTTCTAGAAGCTTCTTGCACTCTTTCTGATCGCCTTGCTCAAGCTTGAATATGGCTACCTGCATCTTGATATAAAGTATCGGTTCCTCTATACGTTGCTCCCTAGTAGCATGGAGCTTTTCAATCACGCCATCAAGATACCCAATGGCAGCCTCTTTCTCCTGATACTGCCGGGAAACTATGACTGTGAAGTGGGCAAGCTTAAGGAGATTGATCTTCGTCTCAAAATCGGTGATGAAGTTGTGATATAGCTGTATGAGAGCATCACCAGCCTGCCATTTTGAAGAGGCAACAATGCATCAATGTATTGGCAAATGAATCAGTAGCCACAGCCCTAACAAAGATAAATAATCCCAAGGGACATGAAACCCACTTCGGCTCAAGTTCAGAGACCAATTCGACTCAGTAGCTTCAACCTCAGAGCACAATCCTCAATTAAGAAACACTCAATCAGCTAGCGCCACATTCAACTCATCAAACACGAGATGCTCACTAGTCCACTCGAGCAGAGAATGAAGAACCCTAAACAACCCCCAACCAGAAATATGCAGCAAGCAAATAGGGCAACAAGTCCTACAAGGAGATCTGCAAACCTAACCGACTTACACTAAGTTCCAAACGCCGGATTGAAGAAAGAAAAATGCAGCGGAACAGTCACAGATACATAGCAACGCAGAATTCAATCGGGCGAATGTGGGTTCGGAATGAACGGCGGCGGAAATCAAACCTGGAAGACGGCGAGAGCAACGAATTGCTCGAGCTTGAGAGTGAGCTGATGCCAGAGCTTCTTCTGGTACAGATCCGCGAGGGAATTGTACCACTCGGCGAGCTCAGGTTGCGCGTTGCGCTGAGATTCGAGGTACTGTAGAGCACTCATGGCGATGGCTGAGAATCTGGTGTTTTCGCCGATGGCGGAGAGCAAGTCTTGGAGACGAAAGGGAAAATTGTAAACCCTCTCCGCTTGCTCTCTTTTCAACTTCAGCTTCTCTTCTTCTCTTTTTTTTTTTTTTTTTTTTATGAGACTTCTCTTCTTCTCTTTTTCCCTTTCTGTTTCGGCAAAATATAAATTCTAGTATTATTCTGTTTCGTAGGCTCAACGAAACGAATCAGACGGGTCAAGTACAGAAATGATCACTATACTTGAGTTTACTAACAAAACACTCATTAAACTTTCATTTTAACAAAGTTGTCTTTAACACTATGTTTGGCAATAAGGGAAGTGCAAATTCGAGGGAGTGCAAGTTGAGAGATAAATTACATGATGGTGCAAATTGGTGGAGTGTGTAAGTGGATGGGTAAATTATTGTTTGGATGAAAAAGTACGGGGTTACAAATAGTGTGAATAGTAAGGGCTAAATTACATGTTTGGTCACTCAAATTAAACAAATCTTTCACTTGTACCAATCCAAATTACTTTTCTTTCTTATTCGCCACTAACTTTACGTATCGTTTCATCGTTAGTCACCGACCATTATACTCCGTTAGATTTATCCTGTGTGGCAGTCAACTATAAAGTTTGACCGTTAACTAGATGATGTGAAAATTTAAAAAAGAAAAAAATTTATTTATTTATCCACCTCATCATTTCACTTACTTTGTGTATATGATTTATCATAGTACTTGTTTAATAAAAATTAATTAAATTGCAAAAATAAATAATATGATTGATTTATCATATTCGTTTCGTCAACATGCACAACCTCCCGTCCACCTCATCATTCACCAGCGCCGACGGGTCGAGGAGGGAGGAAGGGAACGGGTTGCGTGGCAGGGAGGAGGGAGGCTTCGAGGGGGTTTTGGAGAAGCAGCGCCGCGCGGGAGCGGGTGGCATCCGCGGAGGTGGTTTTGTGTGTGACTGCTCACTTTTATTGGAAGTGATTGTAAGTTGCAGAAGAAGGTTTTATCCTTTGTTTCCCATCACAAGTCACACTGGAAAGAATATTGTAGAGAAGCTTGCAGGAGTTCTTGAAGAATGGAAGGTTATCTGTTATGCATGACCATGGACATGCACATTTAAATGGTGTTCTCAGTGATTGCATGAGAACGAAGCTAAAGGAGTGGGAGTGTGATTTAATGGATGGGAAGTATCTGCACTTTCGATGTGCGGCACACATCATTAATCTGTTAGTGCAAGATGAACTGAATGTGATAGGAGGCGCTGTGGATAGAGTTTGGGACTATGTGAAGTGGGTGAAGTCATCACCAGCTAAGTTGACAAGGTTCAAGACTGCCAAGCAATTTCCGAAGGTGAATTCAACTAAATTGGTTTCTTTAGATGTACCGACCTGGTGGAACTCCACCTATATCATGTTAGAGTCAGCATAAAGGTTTGATGGAGTGTTTTCAACTTTGTATTCAAGTCCATAAGACCATTCCTTTAGAGATTATGTTGACTCAAGAGGTGGTCTTCCAAATGAACAAGATTGGCAGCTGATTAGGAAGTTGATGAAGTATCTGAAAGTTTTCAATGACTTGACCCTCCTAGTGTTGAGTATATGAAACTAAATATGTTTTATGTAGTTTGACCATTTGACCATCCTGTTTGTTTTACTCTAATTTTCTGTGTTTTTTTCTCATTGTATAGGAACTAAATATATGACTACCCATCTCTTCTTCAAGAAGTTTGTCCGAACCTATGACATCATTGAGGAATTAAAGAATGATGCAAATGAATAAATTCAAAGGATGGCAGAAAAGATTGAGAAAAATGTACAGAAGTATTGGTTTGAGAGTCTTGTTATGGTGAGGAGAGCATGAAGGTGAATCACTTAATTTATATAGCATGTGTACTTGTTTCTAGAAGTAAACTTGATCTAGTGTCCGAGGTTTTGGAAATAATTTATGGGAGATTTAAGGGAAAAGAAATTGTGAGTTCCATTACTTCGGAGATGCGCCAGATGTTTGAGGTTTACAAAGGGAAGTATGGATCAAAAGCACCCTCCTCTCCATCTGAGTCTATCACTGATGATAGCGTTGTTGGTGGTAGTTATGCTGAAGGCGTTGGTGATAGGATTAAGAAGTTTAAGGAGAGGCTCAAGAAGAGGAAAGTGAAGCACTTCTGCAGGGGACAAGAGGTAGCTCTGTAACTGATGACATTAATGAGGAGAGTGATGATGCCAAGTTTGACATCTTGGGTTGGTGGTCTCGGCACTCTGGAATATATCTTATTCTTGCTGAGATGGCTAAGGATATCCTAGATGTTCCCATCACTTTGTTTCCTTAGAGGCAACATTCAACTGTGGCGGTCGGATTCTCAGTCCATTCAGGTCCTCTTTGAGCGATACAATGGTGGAGGCATTGATTTGTGCTGAGATTGGATAAAGTATCCAACTACCGGATCTGGAGAGATCGACGAGAAGGAATATAATGAAGAGAATTTGAACTTGGAAAGTGGTGAGTTCTAAAACTCTCTTAATTACTTGTTGTTTCAAAATTTCACTATTTCTTTCCACCTAATTCAATGTATGAATATCCTAACACTTTGTTTTCGTTTTTCTTGCTCAGTTACACTTTCCAGTCTAGAATGGAAAGTGCAAGTGATACTGACAATGTTGCCAGTGCATATGCAAGTCTCAGCATTCCAATGGAGGATGAGCAGGAGGGTGAAGAAGAAGTGCCCGAGGAAGAGTATGAGCAAGATGGATATGACGATTATGGTCATGACTTGTTGGGCTGATTGAAAGAAAAGGATTTTGCAAATGTTGGTTCTTCTCCTGGTGTTGATAAGTGATGAATGATGATGATTTGCTGTTAGGGATGGCAATGGGTCGGGTTGGGGCGGGTTTTGTCAAACCCAAACCCATGGGTTTATCCGCCAAAAAAACCCGGGGTAAAACCCGTTGGGTTTGAAAAACTCAAACCCAACCCAACCCGCTGGGTATCCGCGGGTTCATGGGTACCCGTGGGTTTTTGTGGTAAAAAATTTACGATAACAAGTTTATTTCAAAATAAAAGTTTAACATCAATTTTCTCATACAAATTAATCATACAAAAAAACACCAATCTAGAGCATACAAGCAAACCGCAAATGATCAATACAAATTGTTCAAAATTAAAGATAAACATCTATAAACAAAAGATTAATTGAAAGCTTCTTCCTCGTCAACTAAGTTTCTTCACTCTCCACTTCATAATATCAACTTCAATCTAAACAATCAGAAAGAACAAATTATACATGTCTCCACAAACACAAAGAGTATTAATTGTTTAAGGAAAATATATTATTTAGAATATTAAACATACCGGGAAAGTAATTATATGTGTGTGGGCGGGTACCCATGGGTCGGGTTTACCTAAACCTAAACCCAACCCGACCCAGTGAATAGTGTAGCGGGTTTAAACCCGAACCCGGCCAAAAACCCGTCAACACGGATTTTACCCGCGTTGACCGGGTTGGGTCGGGTGGGTACACGTGGGTTCGGGTTTTGTTGCCATCCCTATTTGCTGTTGACTTGTTGTTGCTATTTGGATCTATTGTGATTTGTGAATTGTGGAATTTATGACTTTATTTGAGACATGAATTATGTTGTCTTAGATGTATTTTCGATGCAAAAGGGATTGAGACTTTACTTTGGGCGATTGAAATGTAGCAATGTAGGTTTGAGCCTTTATTAGTTTTAGGAAATTTAACTGATTTTTTTATGCAGGTGGGACTGTTGTCGGGTCCATTACCGGTCGGTTACCCGACTAAACCGAACTTGCCAGCAATATTTCGGTTGCACGGCTAACCGAACAAAAAATCAGTAAACAACTGGTTGGTGGTCGGTTAACGGTGCACCCCTTCTCGGTGGGTTGTCGGATGGTATAAGGAGGTGGTTCGTTTAACCGATTACCGGATATTCAGTTTTTGGTTAAACCAAAAGCGATAGACCTCCAACCCTACATTCATCATCAAAGGGACTAAGTTCAGGTCCTTAAGGCCTCTTTTTTAAGGACGAACTTAAAGCCTTGTGATTGGCTAACTTAAGATTAGGTAGTTAGTAGGGAGTTATTAGTTAAAAAGTTGTTAGAGGTATTAAGGAGAATACAATTAAATTAAAACATTAAAACATGCGTATTTTTTTCAAAAACCCTAACTCATTATTCCTCCCGCAAGAAGAGCAAACCGTCCGTCTTCCCGACTTCTCCGGCTGTCGTCCCAACTTCTCCGTCCGTTGTCCGGTCGTCCCTTCTCCGTCGTCCGGTCGTCCCTTCTCCGTCCCGAGTCCATCAGTCGTTGTTGCCGCCGTTGGCCGATGATTCGAGTTCTCCCTCCCGCTGAGAATTCTGGCAAAGCACAGCAGCCAGTCGTCGTGCCGACGATTCGAGTTCTCCGTCGTCGCTTTCCCTTCTCCGTCCCGAGTCCATCGTCCGTTGTTGCCGTCGTCGTTCCCGTTGTTGCCGTCGGCCGACGATTCGAGTTCTCCCTCCCGCTGAGTCCACCATCGCCGATTCCATCGCCCTCAGTCTCTCGTCGTGATCTCGTTTCAACTCGGCCTCTCAGTCTCTCGTCGGCGGCGTTATAAGGTATTTTCTCGTCTCCAATTTTTTTTTGCCGATTTTTTGTGGGTTTTTGGCATTGCATGGGATCTTGGGTTTTGGCGCTGCATGAGATTAGGGTTTTGTTGTTGCATGGGAGGAGTAGGCGTTGCACAATAGTAGGTTCATTTTTAATTTATTTGGTGTCTGTTATTAATGAATTCGTGGACGTTTGCAGAGTTTTATCCTGTCCATTGTTAATCAACCTGTTCTCGTTCTCAAACTTTTGGCATCTATTATTAATCATTCCGTGGGCGTTTGCAAACCGTGATGTGTCTCTATTATTAATTAATACGTGTTCGTTTTCAACTTTTTTGCCCTCTATTGTTAATCAATCTGTCATGCAAATCATTTATTTGTGTCCATTGTCAATCAATTTGTATTTGTGAGGTTTTACCGTCGCGTCGATGCATGGGATTAGTCGGTGCACAGTAGTATTTATTTTTAATTTTTTGTGTCCATTGTTAATCAATTTCTGCTCGTTATGAACCTTTTTGCTATCTATTATTAATCATTCGGTGGGCGTTTACAAACTGTTTTTGTAAACATTGTTAATCAATATGTTCTCGCTCTCAACCTTTTGCTCTCTATTATTAAAGAATCTGTCGTTTTACATGTAGTATTAACAACCTTTGTTCATTATTAGCGTTTTTTCAGCATTAGTAATATTTTGAACGCCATTATCAATTTTTTTGTAGTGCTACACGATATGCCACAATCCAAGATCTGTAAGAACAAACTTGTTATTGGGACGCTACATCCGTTGCTTGCCATCGAAAAGAAACGCGACGGAATTGTCAACGTAAAGGAGGAGTCTGTGGATTGAGTAGTTGGTGGATTGAGGTTTTCGAGATAATGTAACGGAGTTGTCAACATTTTCAACCTTACATATTAGTTAATTGGCTTACATTATTAACATTTTTTTGCTGACGCTACTATAGTTATCAATAAAAAAGGTGCTTTTATGGTCGTGTTGTCAACATTGTTAACCTCCGCGACTCTATTATTAATTATATTACTGAAATTATTAACAGGTAACTAAAACCATATGACAATAAGGGGAGCCTCTGATTTGAGATTTTTAGAGCAACGTAACGGAGTTGTCAATGTTGTCAACAATACATATTAGTTTTTTCACATACGTTATTAACATTTTCTGGTGATGCTATTATTAACGTTCTCAATCAAATTGAAACGAGATTTATCAATCATATTGTAAACATTATTAGCCTACCACATCATTAATATTAATTAAATCATCGGAATTATTAACCAGTAGCTAAAATGTTGTCACAATAAGATTAGCTTCTAATTTGAGGTTTTTAAAGCAACGTAACTGAGTTGTCAACGTTTTAACAGTTTATATTAGTGTTTTCGCCTACATTATTAACATTTTTAGTAACGCTATTATTAATGTTCTCAATCAAATTGAATCAAGATTTACTTGTGTTGTAAACATTTAAGTGACGCTATTATCAACTTTTAGCTTAGTATTGTTAACAATATACAATATCATTATTAATATTTTCTACATAATTTAAAACAAATGACGAATTCATTATTAAGAAATTCTTGTCATTTTTCAACGTAAACAATAATATTATGAACTAATCCGCCTCGACGCATCTTCTCCTCCTTCTGCAAAAGCTTCCGTCAGGAGGAGTGACAGCGGGAGACCGGCAAGTTGGGGGCGACGACCGGATGGAGAGATGTCGGATGGCAACGGGACGACGACAGAGTTAGGCAGGATGCGGCGGGATGGGAACGAGGAAGCTGACGGGAAATTAACGGCATGATGGCGTAGTGACGACGGGAAGATGGTGACCTGACGACGTGTCCACGGGACGCCGACGTCGGGATGACAACGAGACACAAGCGTTGGGCTTGCTGACGAAGCTTGGTTGTTGGGGAACGGGACGACGGGTGTTGCTGAGTCTCCGAATGGTGTTCGAAACGAGCTTCGCGCCGAGTGGATGCCGACGGCGAGAAGGTTTAGGGTTAGAGAGGACAACCGTCTTTCTATAATGGCTTCGGCCGTCTCTTAATAAATCATGGGTTTCATTTTCGTTTTTCATTTTAATTATTATTATCATTAATATTTACTATATTCCTTTCTTGTCCTTCTAGGTAGTTAGTCAATAATTAATAATGTTTTTATCTCTCCTCTTTCTATTGGCTAGAATAGGTTTAAGATCTTTCTTAAAGAATGGGGCTTAAGGACAATGATCCAACCCGTGAAGAATCTTATGGGCTTGGTCTTGACTCTTGAGATGCGGCGGCAGAGCAAATTGGTTGTAAGTTAATAAAGCTCGCACCACTGGGAGCCCATTGCCGCCCATTTTCCCGCTACCCATTCCCCATGGACCTTTTTTTTTATGGGAACGGCCACCATTTTCGAAATTTACCCACGCACTCACAAATCTCCCTCTTCTTCGCCGTCTCTCTCTCTCTCTCTAGCTCGCTCACCTGTCTTCCCACGGAGAACCGAAAGTGGAACCAGAGGATGAGCGAACTTGGGGTGGAAGATGAAGAATGGGAAGTAGATTTCCTCGAGGCGGTCAACCAGGCCGAAGAACTCGCCAAGGCTTGCTCCTCTTCCTCTTCTTCCAAATCCAAACCCTCGTCTCCACCCCCCGCCACCGTCGCCTACTTGCCGCACCCACCTTCGCAGCTTCCGTCCTTCCACTATCGCCAACCTACGCCTTCCCGTCCCGCCGCCGTAAATTCTTCTATCAGTTACTCGCCTCCGCGGGAGCTAACTCAAAGGCCCCTCAATGGTGGATCCTCTTTGCCCCGCTCTTCTCCCCCTTCCGTTTCTCCCCCGACCGATGGGGCCAAAGACGAAGAAATTCAGCGATTGAAGGTTCTGTTTTAGGGTTCTGGGCTCCTTCACTTTCTAATTTTACTTCCATCTGCATTTTTTTCTGGGTTCCTGTTGTTTTGATTATTGTTCTTGATTTTCTGAACCCACAGAAGGACTTGGAACGGTGCTCTAAGCAATTGGCTGTAGCGGTAATTCCACCTTTTCTACCACCCCGTTTAACAGTTTGTGTCCTTCTACTTGGTTAGTTTCTTGGGCTTATTTCTTGCCGCGTGATTTTGTTGCAGGAGCATGAATGCTCTGAACTAAAGAAGGAGAGGGTTAAGAAAGACGAGCAGCTTAAGTACTCACGTTCTAGTTTCGATGTTAACTCTTCAAACGCTAGGAACTTGTGAGTAGCGATATTCTCCTTTCATGGGTTTGAAGCTCCTTGTAGTCTTGGTGGATGGTTTAAGTGTTTTATACCGACAGTTAAGTGATACACATTCTGATGGTTCGGTTTTGCAGTTGCAAGGAAAGGGAAGGGTTTGCTGGGAATGATGCTCATGGAGTTTGTTTCAAGTCTGGAGATGCTAAAGTTGTGGAGGACCGTCATAGAGATAGATGTAGTTTCTCTGATTGGTTTTCTCGTTTATTTCTCTGTTTTATTTCTTGGGATTTCGTACTGACAACATTGTTGTCCTTTGCTGCTAGTGACTTCATCCTCCAAGGCTGTTGGGATTCAGACTGATATAGATTGTGATCCTGTAAGAGAAAATGTAGGCAATCGGGCATCTTCTTGCTCTCCTTTTCCTGAGAACTTGCTTTCTGTGTGGGGATCTACAAGCCGCCAACAGGCAGGGAGACATCTATTCTCTAAGTTACTGACAGCCTGTCCAGCAGAATTTCGTGTTCTTTTTGGGAGCATGAGCTTGAGTATGTCCGCTGCAGTTCCAGCAAGTGCATCTTCTGCTTCGGTTGTGAACCATATACACAGATTTGATACATTCGATGCCACAAGAGTATCCGATTTGTATAATGTCATGATAAAGGTAATGCTGGTATCTGTGCTTGTTTCCTGATCTGTAAACAGGTTTCAGTTTTCTTTTCATGAACCACGTACACTGATACACATTTATGCTCATCAGTTCTTTTATGTTTGGCTTCATTTATTATAATTTAGATAAGCAATGGGCTGCTGAAGATGGAGGCTTTTTTTGGACCCTTGCTTGATCTCTGTGGTGTTAAAAATGTAAGTTGCATAAATTCCCTTCCGAACCTTCTTGGAATCTGATATGCGGATTTGTGTATTGAATATCATTGCATCATCAATTGCTTGGTTGCTTTTCATGTCTTTGCTGTTTATAACTCTTTCTAGAATTTCTTCATACCGAGCTAGTTGCACTTGGCTTTATTATTCGTGCTTTCTTCCAGAGACTTCAAAGTTTTTGTTGATTGATGATGGCTTTGTGTATCTTAGTCTAGCTCAATGGGCCATTAGGAGGTTATGGAGTAAAAATGCTTACATATGTTGAGCTGGACACTTTATTCTGTTCCTTTATACCTGTCCAGTTCTGACTAGCTAACTTTTTGATGCAGGTAGAAATTTCACGTAGCTGTTTGTGCATACTGCATGTTCTTCTGAAGCATCTTTTGAGTTTCGGAAGGGAATCGGGAAGAAGGTAAAGCTGATGCTTGTCTATTCTTTAGTTTTTGGTCAGTGATTTCTTTAATCGTCATTTAAAATATCCGTTTGAAGGCTTGATAATGTATGCTTAGTTAGATAATGTTGGTTCTTTTTGTAACAAGTCTCTAGTTTATGAACTAAGGATGGAAGTTCATTCTTGACGTTTGTGAACTTTGATTTGATCTTCTCAGTGCACTCTACTCAGGGACAATGTCAAAGTTGAGGGACTTCACCATGACAACAGCGGGAAGGATACAACTTTGTTGAGTGTCATTCAGGGGCACAAGGAGTCTTATGATGTCTCGAACACATTTGGGATTAGAAATCGTGACCCCCAAATTCTTAGTCAAGATGGATTTGCAGATAGCAGCTTTGCATCTCCTGTGGCATGTGTAAACTGGCATTTACTATTCGAAATGATGCTACAAATTTCCACGGAAGATATTGAAGTACGGGTGCGGTTTGAGGCAATATCTATCCTGAACTTGGTTGTCATGAGAAGTAATGCGTCTGCGGAAAGGGAAAAGTGCGTTTTTTTTTATACCATTCTGTTGTGTGTTTTCTGTTCTTGAGCAATACCTTACTTAATGTATGTTGTACAGGTTTGGCACTAAAAAGGTACTGGAGAGCATAGCACGATTTCTCAAAAAGGAAGCTGGCTTGTCCGTGCAAAAGGAAGCTGTTCGCCTGCTGTTTTTGCTCCTAAACTGTAAATATGAGCTGAAGCTGTTTTATTCTACCTACTCTTCTGTATTAGTAGTAGTATATATGCAATAACCTTGCTGTCTTGATCGGTTGTTACACAGGTCCCAAGCTACTGGTCAGTTTCTGCTCTAGTTGCAATCAGCAGAGTGCCAATGCTGCAAAAGATGCGGAGACTGTCTCTAATGGCAATGTATGCAGTCTCATCCTCAGTGGCTTGGCAGAATGCATTTCTTGCCGTGGCAATAGTTTGCAGGTTTGTTTCTCATTGCAAGCATGTTAACTTTACTTGTTATGAATCTTCTTTAGTGGTGCTGATATATGCAAGCCGTTTCCTGTTGAAATCCTTGTTAATTTGTTCTTTTATTGAGAAAATTTTCACAGTACTTTTCTCTTCCATTTTCCCCTTCTCTGGATAGATAGCTGATTGGAACTTTGTCACTCCCCTTCTCTGTTTTCAATTGTGGATTCTTTTATTATTGCAACGTAAAGTTGCGCTGGACTACAGCTAGTTGTTTTTTCCTCCTCTCCAGGACATAGAACTTTGCAAAAGGGCTATTTCTACACTGGCATTCGTGGCTGCTTCTGAGAAGTCTGGTTATGAAATTCTTGTTGGTCGCCGACTAGTTGGAGGCGGGAATTTTCTTATGCTGATCTTGCAAGAATTGGCATCCGAAACCAACTTCGAAGGGTCATCAGTTTCAGTGGAACCTGTAGAAAAAGTTCGAGCAAGGTACCTATATAAGTATTCACCATAGTTTTCTCCTTTCCATGTCCTTGTTTCATTGCTTGACAAACGCCATTTGGTTTCCACAGGACGATGCTAATTAGGGAGGCACTGATACTACTTAATAGACTCGTCTCCAACCCAGGTTCCTCGGCAATAGTGCTGCGGGTGTTAACAGGTAGCAGAGACATGGCGAGCTTGACGATTGAGGTTGCAAGCAGGTTGTCTTCAAAAGAACAAACGCCAATGCCAGGGTACTACTGCAGCAGACCAACGTGGCAACCGATGGAGTCCGAAGTTATGGAACTGGCTCACAAATTCAAGAGAAGAGTGTTTGCTTACTTAGGATCCATGGTTACTTGAATTGGACCATGCAAAGGTTTTTGAGCTTTCTGTTCTACAGCAGAAGATTATTCCGGCTGGGGCTTAAATAACAAGCTTTCTTGCTTGACTCTCCACAATTTTGGCGGCTATGGTGGAAAGATCGAACAGTGTCCAGATTCCTTTTTGGGGGTGCTCGCCGGAGACTGACGTTTGTCCCTTCCAGAGGATCTCAGTCTCAGCTTAGTCTGGTGCAAAGAGGCGGTCTTTCTCTTTCCCTGGTTCTCTGTTTACTGTTGTATTATGTATCATGTGATTTTGGTAGGGAGAGAACCAAAAGGAATGAGCCCCCTGTTTCTTCCCGGTTAAGTGCATGAGTTCAGTATTAAGCTCTCCTGCTTACGGTTCTTGAACGTATGAACATCTTCCATTAGACTCTCCTGCTAGCCCCAATTGGACGAAGTGACAAATTACAAGGGAAAAATCAAAAATACAATCAAGCACCTGTTGTAGAAAGCAATATTGGAAACAGGTGAGGTGAGCTCTAGATTTTGTATGACTAACGTGTGGATCCAGTTTTTGGAAGACAAAGAGGTGTTGATACCACCATGGCACCATTTTTTAATCTTATCTAAGATGTGGATCCTATCCATTAGAACTAGCCAGGAGATTGAGGAATTCATACATCACTTCTACTATATTATAAAGCATTGGTGCTTTAATGTACAACTTGAAGTTGTACTATAACGTTAAATGTGTAAGTTCATGTTGTACTATAAAGGAATTTGTATCCTTATATTATGATACAACTTTACAACTTACAAGTTCAAGTTGTACCATAAAAGAATTTGTACAAAAGAGTATATGCACAATACAAAAACCTATTACATCAATACTATATTAGCATTGTAAAATTACTCGGGAACAAATCAGGTCAGTAACCTTATGGTGAGTAACCATGAATAACCCGCCCACATCAATATGACATCAGCATCCCTCTCTCTCTCCTGGAACGTCTTTAATTTTCCCCTCCTTAATCTTTGACGGACGATTTCTCACTTGCATGGTTGTCACGCCGGCCGGCGTGCCACCTGTTGTACCGGATTCAACTGATGTCAATTATAAAATCGGAGTGACACCACCGGTATGATCGGAATGATCGATATACGAATCTCTAAATAAAATGACCTTATTTTAGAGAATTTAATTGATAAAGATTATTTTATTATTTATTTTATGAGTATAAAAGTTAAATATTGATGTTATTTGTTAGATTCAAGTATAAATGTTTAGGTATTAACGTTAAATGTCATGTTTAAATATGAGTATTTATAATTTTATTTGTAATATTGACCGGCATGAACCAGCACAAACCAGTATGTGCCACCGGTTGAACCATTCCACTTGCTAAACCGGCACACTGGCACAAACCAGTTTGACAACCTTGCTCACTCGTTTTAAGTCGAAAATTAATTTTATTTTTCCACAGTTAGATCAGATTAATTGCGCTCTTCAAAATGATATCCACTTTGATGTATTTTTTGGAAAAAAAATTTTGAGTCATTTTTTACCAGTCTATACCATATGGTATTGACTGGTATTGAAATAAGAGTATACCTATGGTTTGAAAACTGTACCATGGTGGTATGAACTAACCAAGACTATAGGATGGTTGAACACATGATAGTAGAAGTATATTAATTGTCATTTACGACTTTTAACATTGTGTACCACAAGATACCACCCCGTACCAGTGTGGTATTGTGTGGTATTTTTTGGTCTTGTAATTTGTTCACCCACAAATTTGTAGATCCAATAGATCATGATGAACTCGTCCCTTCTGTGCAAACGTTTTCAAAAACGAATTAAAAACGAAGAAGATATCATATGGTATGCAGTTGGTACCGAGAGGTCAAGATTTTTTTTCTCAAAAAATATTGAAAATTGATCTCATTTTGTAGAGCACGATGAACTCGTTCCATCTGTGGAAAAAAAAACTCATTGTATTATCACTATTATTCAATTATATAGTGTTTTCCCCTTTTTTATGGCAAAAAGTAAAATTTACGAAAATTGACCTCATTTCGTCCTTCTTGTTTTCCCCTTCTGTGCAAACTCATTGTATTCTCAAAAAATATTTGTAAATCCCATTGAAACAAGAGGTAGGTATGAATTCTTCATGGTATTAGCATTGACTTTAGTTGGCTGAAAGATTGACTTTTTTTTAGGTTTTGATCTCAATTATGAAGACTTTAATTTGTCTTTTCTTTTAATCACACTCCCCTTGCAACATTTTTTAGAGGTAGGAAACAACGTTTTATATCTATATATATTTGGGAGATATTCTTGATTGCACTATATAATATTGCTTTGTTTTAAACAACGAGTGTATTATATTGTTAGTAGTGGAAAACAGGGGAATCCAAAAACCACAAATGCGCCACCAACAAAGCTCCGGCGCCAAGCAACCTCAGCCGGTACCTTTCGTTGCCACGAAGCTGACAGAGACCCTCTCTTATTTTTTTTTCAGTTTCTAAATTATATTAGCTGGATAGTCTTGCGCTTACCTCACAAAACAAAGAGAAATTGAAGCTGGAGAGTCAACAATAAAATAGAGAGGGAGAGAAACAAGAAGGACGAATCGGGGCTGTTTCCGTTTTCTTGTTTGATCTGTTTTCGCTATGAACAGTTTCTTTGCTAAATAGAAAGAAACCGAGAGAGAGTAGAGGAGGGATCTATATTCATAGAGAGCAGCATATCAAAGCGAAGCCTAAAACAGAGAATTCAGTATATTTTTCCGCCGACGATATGGTGGGAATTTTTTCCAGACTCTCCGTCGGACGAGCTTCTCACAGACGAACTCAAAGCGCCCTTGTAAGACAGCCCCTTTTGCTCGAGTCTTCTTCTGTTGTTGTTTTCATTGCAAAGCTGCAAACTTTAGCTTGTTCTTGTTCGTGGGTAGTAACTGCTAGGGCTAGGCTCCTTCGGTTTGTGGCAGACATTTTTTCAACTGGGTTTTTATTTTACAGCAGTTGACTAATTAGAGACTGAACTGTTTGCTATGCTGCTGCAATGGATTGGATTGACTTCTACTCGTGATTGTTTTTTGCTTTCCCACTTCCTTGTATATCTTGTGTTTTGTGGAATGAGCTAAGTGTTAATTAAGACTTTCGATGATGATTTGATGCCTTGATGGTTGAATCAATTTGGCGATGTTCTTTTTGTCTTGTTCTTTCCCCCTGTTTCTTCCTTGTCGCTATAATTGGGCAGTTGGGTAGCTTCCATTAGATACCATTCGTCCGGCACGATCACTGGTATTATGTTAAACAAATGAATCTGTGGAGAACTTGAGTTAAACTTTCGCACATATTTAAGAAGAAGCACATAAGCTGGGGACAGAACGGAGAAGTGCAAGAAGTTGAGCCAATGATTCAAAGTTGAAAGGAGAAGCCTTTTCCTTTTAAGATCATTTACTAAAGATCTGCATGGTATTAGCACAAGAATACGAATTTGTTTCAGTTAAGGGTAGCACCTCTTTGTTTCAGAAGTGGAAATGATTTGTTGTTCTTCTTTGCAATATGTTTTCTTTGAAGAACACCAATTGAATTATTGTCTCACGAATATGTGTATGGTTTGTTGTATCTGGAGCAGGATGATAGGGAAGCTTTGCCCCCTAGTACGGAACTGGCCGGCTCGGAGGCTGTGGCTTCAGCTGTTGCTCCCCATGGGATTCAGGTGACGGTGGAGTTTAAGCCAGTCGAACACCCGATTGAGCCTCTCGACAATGATCAGCCTATTCAGTGTCCAGTACCTGAACCTTCAATTCTTAATGTAAGCTTGAAATGCTTCTTTATGCATCCTTTTTTCTGTATTCTATTGCAATAGACGTTCATAGCTTCCCCACCACTTCAAACCATGTTTGTCGATTTGCAAGAAAGGGCGAAAAGGTTCTTGCTTTGCTTGATGTCATGGGAATGAATATGGACTGTAGATTCTTTTCTTGTGTCTTTTTTACTTGGTGTTCGAAATGGGATTGAATAAGACATCTTGATGATAGGAAGCTTCTCTGCTTAGAAGTTAATATTGTAGTGTCCAAATTCTACGTAGGTGGGACTAACGCACTGGTGAAGCTGCTTGTTGTTGTTAATGAATCGGGAGCTGTATAAATAACTCCCTTTTGAGTAAAGCTCTGTTAGACCTAACCCATAAGAGGGATGTTTTAGAATTGTTCAGTAGAGAAATCTTCAATGGCTCCTAGATATCTCATACACGAAGATATTGCACTAAGACATCATACCATGAACATAGACTATGCTAACATTATATATGACATGTAGAATCATGTATCCTTCAATTGATGCTTTTCAAGTTCAGAGTTTTGGAGATTCTCTAATTAAGAAGTTTGACGAAAATGATCTTCAGGATGGGAGAATATGGAAAGAGAGGGTATCTGCAACCGTGAGAAGACGAAATGACTTGCCAGTCATGAGAGAAGATGGTGGTGGTACCCCTGAACCGGAATCTGCAGGATCTCGTCGACCCCCTCCCATGCGCTCGTCAAATCGGTTGATTCTACCATCGGTCAGTGCCCCTGAACATAATCTACTCAAGCTGCTGGAAGAATGTAATGCTTCTGGAATCTAGAAACACGGAATTGGCGGTTGCCCTACAGATTAACCGTCGATCTCTGCTCCTTATTGTATATTTATTACAGTAAATAGTGTAAAAATTGAACCTTTTGCTGATTGTAAAATCTGTCACAAAAGTTCAGCTCTCTATTGTGCTGACAATTGTTGCCAGCATTTTGGGTGATCAGACAGTTACAATATGGGAGTATTTCTGCAATTGACATGCACTTGTTTCAGTGCATGCTATCATATGATTATCAAGCTATCAAATGACTCCTTGGAAATTCAGCTCTTGTTTTTCTAGTTTGTAACACATTAGAACGCCGATGTCAACAATAAGTACATGAGATGAGAAAACATCATGGTAATTACACATATGAGAAGGCTAATACTAATCCCAGAAACAGCAGGCCTACATAAGATGAAGAGCTACAGAACCAACTTAGGAAGGTGATAAAATGCTTTAGGTTGGTCACGAAGAGTTGGATTAGCAATGCGAGCTCGTGGCTGCTGCCCTCCATGCAGGCTTCCATGATTCACCCTCTTCCACTCTGCTCCTCCAGAATCGCCAGAGCTGTCCGTGAGACGCCATCGCCATGGAAGATGTTAGCACCAGAACCAGAAGAAGAAACAGAAGGACTGAAGCTGATGGTTTAGTAGTAGTATTCATGAAGGCGGGTTGCTACCTTCTTTCTAGCTTAATTCCTTTTAGTGCGTTTTGATATTGGGAAACAAGTTGCCACATAGCTATATATGAGAAAGACTGAAAGAGAGAGTGATAGAGGAATGAGGACTTTGCTTTACTTGGAAGTAAAAATCATGGCAAAAGTTGTTCCACCACACCATCATGTGAAACTTGGTTTGATGTTATCACATGTGAATATTTGTTTGTCCTTTTTCCTTGTATATTGATTTTGATTCTGGATTGTACTAGGGTTGGCTACTTTGTAAGTTAGTGTCTAATTCCTAAGAGTCATGGCATTAAATTTTGGAAGATCATTACTCCTAAACTTTACTAATCCCATAGAAGCAAATAAGCACCAGAATTCCTAGGAGGCGGAGGTTGGAGATGCGGGATTCAAAGTGGTCCGAGGAGGACATGGAATCGGAATATGAACTCGGATGAAAGGATTCGGGATGGGATTCAATGGAGTTCGAGGAAGAGGTGGAATTGGGATCCGGGCTCGGAGGAGAGGAATCGGGATCGATCGAAGACTCAATAGTTATCGTCGATGGTGGATCGGGCGTGTAGGCAAATCGTAGGTGTTTGGGGGTAGTGTGATAATAAAAAATATTTTTTTTTAATTTTCCTTCATTTTATTTTAGACATTTCAAAAATTCGTAATTTGTGAAAAATGACTATTTTTTTAATTAAGTTAATGCTTATCGAGTGGTGATGTGGTGGGCAGACTTTTAGTATGGTACGGTTTAACCAACACAATTTTCAATATGTACAATTTTTTTTAAAAAAGTTTCAACCGAACCACTCATTCAAGGCCTAGATATATAGTCCACGGGTTAATTGCATGGTTGGTCACTGAGATTACAAAAAACGTTCAAGTTTGGTTATTCAAAATATTTAAATATATTGGTGGTACTTTAGTTTACTGAAATCGTTCACGTTTGGTCACTCTCCGTCTAATTCCGTTAACTTTTGTTTACGTGGCAGTCAACGCTAAAAGTTAAACGTGGCAGTTTAAAAATAATAAGATTAAATTTTTTTAAAATTGTCAAAAAATTGTCATCTCATTTCCACCTCATTATTACTTTCATTTAAAATAAATAAATAAATAAACCCTAATTTCTTCTAAGACCAATTAATTATTCGCTTACTCCAAAGTCCCACCCAACCCAAAGAGAATCACTCATTCACGGAAGAACCAACCATCAAATCTCTTCTTTAAGCTCCGTTTTCTCCACTTGCTTCTCCTTTCCTCCAATTCCAATATTCCCTTTTCTTCCAACTCCTGGTCCGTGATTTTTCCCACTCACTACTACTACCGGTGCTTCTATGGCATCCGACGAAAGCTCCCCCGTGCTCTCTTCCGTCGACGACTTCCTCGACCCCGACGCCAACGACGGCTACGATCTCCACTCCTTCCACCCTCACTCAATGCAAGGAGCAATGCAAACCTTAAACGAATGAATGAGGCTATCCTCTTCCACCAGAATTCATCGCGCGCGCATTGCAGTGAAAGGTGGAGCAATGCCAAAAGGAAGCTAGCAGAGAAAGCATCTCTTGAAAAGGTTGCAAGTCAGCCTTGCCATTATCAAATTCCACAACATCCTACAATGTAACATCAAAATTAGTCAATAATGTAGCTTTACAAAAATGCCGCCTTTCCGTAGTTAAGCAGAAGAACGTACCTTGAAGATTGGGCACTTGTGGCATGTAGTACATCTTCTTCTTCTTCTTCTTCTTCTTCTTCTTCTTCTTCTTCTCTCTCTGCTTCTTGTTCCTGGTGTTGGTCTTCTTCCGCTAGTTCCAAGTAGTTACCATTCCGTTGAACCATTCTATCATTGATTGTAATATTCAGTATGTGCTCAACTTTGTGCCAGTCCTGAGCCGTTCTGCTTTCCAACCTGGGTAATAGAAGCTCACAGTCTTTTATTTGCAAAGTCTCGATCATTGTGAGCTTCGGAAGCCAGTCCGGTAAACACCCAAGGCCATGACAGTATGATATCCGCAGCTCCCGCAAATGAGAGGAATGCTGCAGCCACTGTGGTAAACAATCCAAACCCAGGAGTCCCCACATTTGCAGGCAACGCAGGGCTGGAAGGCAATAATACAGGGAAGCGAGATGTTGTTCACTGCTGCTAGCTGGTGGAGACAGAGTCGTCAAGTCTAAGCAACTCTGTATACACAGCGACTCGAGCGAGACAAGTTGTGGATGTAGCTCTTGCGGCAAAACTTGCAGACCTTCCATCCCATCAATTGTTAGTTCTTTGAACCGGGAGTGTGTTGGAGAATGGGGTGGAGGAAGTGAGGCTGCAAACTCGCCCAACAAGTCACTCCTCACATCGCTTAGCCTAACTTTTTCCATATGAACTGAAAAACGAGGATTCCATGCCAGCTTGGGACAGTCATAAACGTCTAGAACAGAAAGACAAGGGAATAGTGGCACCTCAATCTTGGAGGTCGACCACCAGCTTATGAGGTTGTTGCAATGCCTAATGGCGAGAGACTTGAGGCGGGGGAGAAGTTGCGGATTATTATTGTTTGAAGCAGAAGATGATGATGATGATGATGATGATGGTGATGTCGCCTCCTCGATCTGTATGTACTCTAAACCTTCAAGGCTGTACAACTCCAACTCTTCAAGTGAAACCAGTGGCGCCAGCGAAGGGAGATACCGCAGTCCTCCACAACGAGATAGAATGATTATGACCACATTCTTGAGAGAATTAGAAACCCAGCTGGGTAGACTGCTCCCACTGTAATGCTGCAGCTTCAGTTTCTTCAAATTCTCATGTGGCTCCAAAGCCTCCAGTGTCATTTCTTCCTCAGCAGCAGCATTATCACTATCAAGCATGCTCCACTCCAATTCCAAGGCTTGAAGATTTGGCTTCCTATTCAAACCTGCCGCCTTCGCTTCAGCTCTCCCTTTCACCAACCCAAGATTCTTTATACTCAGTGCCCCACCCAGATTGTCGAGATCCTTCAGTTCGCTAATCTTGGCCGCGGTTCCCAGTACAAATGTGGACAGTTCTTTCAGGCGGGTGAGTTTCCCAATCCCTACTGGTAACCCTCTCAATCTCCAGCATCCAATAAGGCTGAGAAACTCGAGGTTGGACAACTTTGCCATGTCTTGTGGGAGTTCCTGGAGCCCGTAACAGAGATCCAATATGAGCACTTCCAAGTTCACCAGCTTCAAGATTTCGTCGGGTAACGTCTCCATTCCATTACGAGAAAGATTTAGATATCTCAGACGTTTCAACTTATGGATGGAGGGTGGGATGACCTTCATCTGACCACCATAGAGACTCAAGGCTCTGAGGCTGGTCATGTTTGAGAAGAACATCTCATATCCCTTCCCTTCTCGCACATTCATACCTTCCCAGTCCAAATTTGCAGGAAGAAAAGTTCTTAGCTTTGTTGCTTGGGGCAACCAATCAGGAACTGGCCATGACTTCCGGCGCATCCCCCCAAAGTCGACCGAAATGTGTCGAAGTCTGTCTAAGTTGACATCATCAACCATCGGATTTGAGGCCTTCAAAGTGATGTTCTCCTCCCCTGCAACTTCCAAAGCTAGATCATGCATTAAATCATGCATTTTACAATTCTTCACGTTCCCTCGTTGATCTTCGTGCGATTCATGAAAAAATGATTTGGACAACATACCCTTGAAATATTCGACTCCAACCTCGTACAGATGCGACGATGGCGATTGACCACGATTGATATACCCTTGCCCCATCCAAAGTTTTACCAGCATTTTCACATCAATCACACAATCTTTTGGGAACAAGCTGCAGTAAGCAAAACAGGGTTTCAAGTGGGAAGGGAGGTTGTCGTAACTCAACCTAAGAGTTGCCAAGATCCTTTTGTCAGTGTCGACCCTGTCCAGGCGTGCTTGCTTGTCTCTTAAAGCCTCCCAATCAGCCACATTTCTCTTCGACGACAGGATGCCGGCCATCGCCCTTATGGCCAAAGGAACTCCCACACATCTCCCCACAATAGCTTCTCCTGCTCGCACAAACCTTTCACCACCTTCCATTGCTTCTCCTTTGAATGCTATATGTTTAAACAGTGTCCATGAATCCTGCTTGCTTAAACCTTGTAATTCATGTGGTTCAACCCCTTTAGTCGCCATCAAATTTGCGACACTTCTAATACGCGTAGTTATGATAATTTTACTCCCCACTGCGCCGACATTCCACAAGAAGCTCATCAAACTGTCCCAGTTGCTGTCATAGTCACCATTGTCCCATACATCATCCAACACAAACAAGAACTTCTTGTTATCCATCTTGTTCTTCAGTTTACTCTTCAAAGTTTGCAATTGAAGATCTCCAACTTTGTCTTCGGTCAAAGACTCCAAGATCCTTTTGACTACTTGTGTTTGGTCCAGATTATTTGGAACACAAATCCAACTTTTCAATTGAAAATAAGAGCTCACTCTCTCGTCATTGTAAATATGCTGTGACAATGCTGTTTTTCCAAGGCCCCCTATTCCAAGAATTGGAATGACTTCAACTTTCTGCTGGCCATTGGTCGATAATAACAAACTTATTATCTTCGCACTATCTTTGTCTCTCCCAACAAATGCACTAGGGACGAAAGAGTCGGTTTGCCTGCTCTTGTTCAAAGCAAAAGGCTCCTCGAGACGAGTTTGAAGGTTGAACATCTTTCGATTCTCGTCAATCTCATCTAGTTTGGTCCTTATGGCCTTAATCCGATGAGCCATCAAGAGACCATTGAACAAATGGTTGGAACTTGAAAAGAGGAGTTGCACCTATGAGAATAGGATGAGTAATTTGTAGTTAGTCTATATAAATAAATCAAATCCTCTTTACATGCTATTGAGGACTTATTAGATTACATATATACGAATGGATCATAGTTCGACACAACTTTAATTATCGTCGATGAAATTATACAGCATGTATGGTAGTGGTCGGAGGCGGAAATCACAAGACTTTTTTTATTGGAATTGAAAAATAAAGTCGAGAAGAAGACATGAGGGTAGACTAGGAATATAGAAAATAGATAAGAGTATAAGAGTAAATGGACATCATGAATTTTGTTCCCCACCCAAGTCTCACCTCCAACTATGAGATTTGTAAGTCCATGAGGCCCACCGATTTTAAACCCACAAAATTCATGGACCTCACGAATTTTGATTCTCCTAAAAAAGTCAAGCAATCAATAGATTTAGGAACAAATCTATAATGATTGAGACTCGTTTGCTTGTTGGATTTGAAAATGAAGGTTTTGAGTTTTGAATACCTTTGGATTTACGATGGATTTGTTGCATTTTGTATTTGAAAGATAACATTGTTTGTTTAGTTGATTTTGATCACGGATTTAAAGGTTTATGTACCATGCCTCGCAAATCATTGCCTTCCATGACCAAATACCAATTGAAATGTGGTATTTGTAATTACGTGAGGTATGTATATATTCGGTAAATCGAAAAATGAAAACAAGAAGTGGTGTACCTTGTCGTTCAAATTGGCATTGCTACTAGTACTACCATCCATCTGTTGTTGCTGCCTCAGTAGAGCCTCGGTGTTGAAATCGTCCAGCAAGTCGTCAGCATCATAGAGGACCTGCTTCAGTTCTTGGAGCCAAACTTGAACTTGATTATTCAGACCGGATTGCTCCTCGGCATCCAACAGCACGCCCTGGATGGAAGTAACCGTACTCTTCAGTTTCAAGACCTCGCCGCCGAGGCCCCAGAGGAGGCCTACTTGTTCAACAGCCAGGGGACCCAACTTCTTGAGGATTGCCCCAGCAACAACAAATGCCATATTTGGAAGAGAGCAAAAGTATTCACAGCAAAAAGCAAGGAACGGGATGCACAAACGGGAGATGGGATAATTGAAGATGCACTAGTTGGCCAGTTTACAAACGAGCTAATGCCCAAAATTAATGCTCAAGTTGATGCAATGCCATGTGACAGTTCAATTCAGCTTGATCCTAAATGAAATAAGATATTCACCAGATTGATCAACTTGTTCAGTTTTGTTTGTCGAAAGTACTGATTTTGGATCCGCTAATTAAGGCGGTGGGTGGATCATGGCATTATTTTATGCAAGGACTCAGGAGACAACATAGTACTGACCAACCTAGTTCCCGTTGCTCAACTAGATATTTTTTTACAACTAAACAAATGACCTACCAAGCCATTGACTTGACTGATCAGCTGTCGATCAGGTTCGCGCTGAAAAACCTTCTAGGCTTCTAGCAGAAGTAAAACCGGTAGGCACTATTTAGCGGTATAATACGGCTGAACCATAGTTAAACAATGATTTTATCATAAAATATCCTACCAATGAATTTTTCGTATTTCAATCCTTGATTTTTCTTCTTTCAAGCATGGTCCATGAAACCGTATCGGACACCGTAACGGAAAAGTCAGCGGTAGGGTATTTTATGACAAAACCGTGATTTAATCGTAGTTCAACCGTTAAATACCGTTAAATACCGCCTACCGTTTTAGCCGGTAGAACCGCCGGTACGATACAATTTCATAGGCCATGGAATGGAAGCTAGCGGCCATTGTCCTATGGTAAATGAAATTGTCGATCATGAGTCATGACGTAATTGCCACATCAGAACTACAATGGAGCTTAGATAGAATGATAGATAAGTAACACAAGTCACTGGCTACATTGAAATGTAGATGAATTAATAATGCAAACAACTGGAAGCAATGATATCTTGTCCTTTTTTCTTTGACCCTGCTTGTACAACCTACAGAGCTGTTATCAGTTCTTTCATCCCCAAACAAGAATACAACATCTCTCAGTTTACAATGTGAAACAAAATTCCTGATTTATACAGCCTACAACACAGCTACCATAACAAGTCCAGATATGAAGAAAAAGAATGGAACTTTCAGCCATTCAGGAACTGGTACTTGGACTCGACATAGCTCTCAGCATCCCATAAGAAAGACCCGAATGCTACTGCTTCCAAGACCAGCATTGTCAACCCGGAGAAGGTCACCGAGACCACTTCATCATTGCTCGCGTCTAGTGAACCATCCTCCGAGATCCTTATGTCCGGCCTACCAAACAGCGCTTGAGTCTGCTTCTCGATCAACGAAACCGCCTCTTTAGACCTCATGGTCGCGTATCTCTGGAGGGTCTCTGCATCCAAGTACATCACATATGACCTCAGTCTGTACGACCTTCCATCATCATCATCATCATCATCATTATCACCACCATCTGGCATCATAGTTATTAGGGAATCTGGGTCCCACAGCCCCTTTGTCGAGGATTTGAGTTCCTCGTATCTAGCTCGATTCTCGTCGTAGCCTTTGGGAAGGGTGTTCATGGTTCTCTCAAGCTGGAACCTCTGGTCAACTCGTCTCAGGAAGTATCCGTACATTATTGAAGCTGCATAGAGCTTTCCTAGTTTGATTTTGCTGATCTGGATGATGGTATCAAGGGGTCCCACTGATCGATCTCCTAATACGAGAGACAGGTGGCTTAGTATCATCTCGAAGGCTTCAGCAGAGTGAACAGACTCCAGTTTCTGCTCTTGGTTAGGCCAGAAGTCCACCCGTCCGGCGGGATCGGAGGTGGATGTTATTTTCGGTATCATCGTGATGCCGTTGTCGAGAAACTTTTGAACAATCAGAGAGTAAATGATCTCTTCTAGTGCCTTCCGCCTTTCATTTTCACGAACCTCAGCAATTCTCCTAAATGTCCAAAGGATGCATAAATAAGCTGACCAAGAACAGTTTAAATCTCAAGTAGAGCAATAATATTAATAAGGGTGAGCAACTGTCCTCTCTTATGTGCATGTTCCAGATAATTAATATTTATTTCTGCATCATACGGAACTACCAAGAAGAATTAAACTTATCATAAGACATTTGGTTAGGGAGTGGGCTTTTCGCAGTCATTGCTTTCCTCAGCAAGGACATTGAGCGCGCAAGAACAATAAGCCAAACGTAATTTCCTCTCAGCAATTTAAACATTCTACAACAACAAAGACCAGAAAACCCAGACCCCTTGCCCTTGGCATAAAACAGCATTATTGCACATTGGAGTTCCCAAATATGTTGCAAATTGTATATTTTTAGAGATAATGAAGCACAAACTGGTAGAAGAACAGGTATTACAATTACTTTGAAGGTACTAACAAGGAGGGAGGCACCACAGGACTCATACAAACTCCTAAGTTGGTTAGAAAGTAAAAAGAACGCATCTAATTTTAAGGGCAGTTTTAGGGGAAGAAAGGCAACTGGCAGAAGGAGAGCTGCAAGCAGTATATGTAAGACCTATCTCTGCTCTTCAACATCCAACCGACTTTTATGGCTTATCAGGCAATCAACATCTGGTCAGGCAGCTTACTCAACCGGTACAGAATGCAGAATGCAATTCTAATATTTAGATAAATAAACATTGCAGATTAGCTTGAGGGTTTCTAGAAGCCTTTAACCAGTTCTGGTTTCCAGTCACCAATCCTAACCTAAGATGTGTAACAAATGAAAATATGACCATAAGATTGCTGGATTCAAGAAGTCGACGAACTGCACTCAGAATCCTACACATGAACCGTATGCAACAATCGATTTCCATCGAAATTTCACCATTCGGAAGTTCCAAGTTCCAACTGCCATAGCCCTTGTAATCAGAAGTTCCATTTTTCCTAAGCACCATTTCACATTCTAGTTCAACCAAAAGACTTTCAACTCCATCCTAAACAAACACAAGGGTTTCAGCCAAATCCACTCTGCTAAGCGTAACAGCAATGCTATATAGCATTCAGCACAACCACGTCACTATTTTCATCACTTCAACACAGACAAACCAATCCCAAGAACAAACGAAACAAGAAACTGGCAAGAAAGAGAAAACTACTGACTGACTTGTAGAGTGGATCCTGAGCAGAAGGAGCATCTCCGTCCTGAGCCTCTCTATCGGTCTGAAGATTCTCGAGTTGCTGGTCGATTGCCGCGGGCAACAAATGCGGATGCGACTGCAAAATCTGCCCCAGGAACTGGCCCACCGGGGATTCGAATTGCAGCGGAGGAACTGGGGGAGAAGGATAGTACTCCCCTGGATTCCCCGAAGCTCGCACTGCCAAGCCGCCCCAGCCTCCGCCGCTTAACTGGTGGTGGAACTTCCTCCCAATGTTCCGCCGCGGAAGTAGGCTGGGGAATCGAAGGGAAGAAGAGCATCTGGATGGTGAAGCATGGAACCGGCGGTTGAGGTCCGAACCCCTCCCGCAGACGCGGCCGCCGCCGTTGGCGGGCATCGCCACCAACACCTCGCTCATTGTCTGCATAAAGTTTCCCTCGTTTGTTTGTTTGTTTCTCTTGCCCCGCTCCCTAATTTAAGTGGTAATCGCTACTCGGTAGCTGGCCGTCGATGAAAGTCAGCTAGCTGCTAGGCTACGTGGCACTTTAGTGATTTCTCTCGAACCGGTTTATATCGTTTAGTTCCATGTTCAGCAAATAGTGTTGATCCAATCCAATGGAGATATAATCGATCTATATAATAAACACATGAAAAGGGAAATTATTAAACATTCATTTATATAATCTATTTTGATTTTTGAGACAACCTATAATTTTCATTCATATTAAAATAGAATATATTGCATTACAAACAAAATTATATATCATTGTATTTAAATTAAATACTAACATCAACATAAAATGTACATATTTGAATTTGAAAATTTCTTTAATTTTGTTGGTTGATTTCACCAAAATAATGTCATTTCTTTAAAGACTCAAAATTAATTTGTTCCAAAAGATCATTCGTTTTCAACTATTTTTATCGGTTGACTATCACTTTATTTTGATGATCTTCGGTAAACTAGTTTGACTACCACTTTATATTCTTTACCACTTTAAATTGTACAGGACCGACTTGTTGGAAATATCGAAACAGACCAGATATGGGACGATACGAACACATTTTGTAATTTACATACCGATCGGTTATTTAAGTCAAACCGGTGAATCGTAGAATACCGGTCGGTTTCAGTCCAATCGTTCAGAGGGATAATAATAATAATAAAAAGACCAAACCAAATTATATTTAGTACCCAATAAATTTATACACATTGTTTATTCAACTCATATTTAATACTAGATAAACTCATACTCGGTGTTTATTCACTCTCATCTTGGTACCCGTTCAACTCTTTTTCTTTTTTTTTCTTTTTTTTTTTTTGAAAGGAAGCCCTGAAAATTTCATTGCTTAAATTTCAATAGTTTGGGCTTTCTCAGCCTCAAGCAGACTCCTAATAGAGCTTGGTGGACAATCAGTCCAAATACAAATTTGATTCCAATGGGTATTCATGTGGGCTAAACAATGGGCCACAGAATTTGAGCTTCTGGGAACAAAAGCCCACTCAACCTGCTTACCAGACAAGGCCACGTTGACTTCCGCCATATCTCTAATCTTCTTGCACCACACCCCCAGCTCAGTGCGATCTTCATCTTCCTTCTCCAATAACTGAACCAAACACAGACAATCAGATTCCACAATCAATGGACTCCATCTCCTTCGATTTGCTTCCCATAAACCAGCTAGGATAGCTCTTGCCTCTGCCTCCACAGGTCTGCAACAACTTGTCTCCTTCCCAGCCACAGCTCCGAGAAATTCCCCATTCCAATTTCTAAACACACACCCAATACCAATCCCAGATGGCTTCAAAATCCCTGCGTCGCTGTTCATCTTGAAGATTCCAATCGGTGGCGTTCTCCATCCCTGGGCGCTAACCGGTTGTCTTGAATTCGAAGCTGTGGTGCCCTGAGCACGAAGGTAATCAGAGATCCAATCAAGAGCTTTAGGGATAATCTCCCCCGCTTCAAGTTTCTTGTTATTGAACATGTGATTGCATCTTTCTTTCCAGATGAACCATAGGATAGCACAGAACCTTTGGAGACTCTCCTCTGATTGAGTTTCGAAAGTCTTCAGAAACCAGTTACGGCCCGATAAACCTCCCCCCAGTTTGAAGATCTCACTTTCACTGCAAGGTTGCCAGAGGCGGCGGGTCCAATCACATTCTCTCAAGTTCTCTATTGCAAGCCTACACTACACCTTTCCTTCCATATCAGCGCAACACACCAACACCATAGGCTCCACTAAACTTTGCCTTCAGCATTACTATGCTTAACACATTGACATATCCAAACTAACATCATAGTCCATATCCAGATCATTGGCTTGTGCACATGTGAATTATATTGTCAAAAACAGAAAATGGACAACTGCAGAACAAGACTCTTCCCTCCTTGATCACATAGAACACAATTGCTAGAATCAACACATCCCCATTCAATCAGTTTGTGTTGGTCGCTATATGATTAAGTGTAGCAAGCAATGTCAAAACTCGGTATCGTGGTACTGCAAACTCTCCATGTACCTTCCTATATCAATCAACCTTACCTCGAGGTCTAACAGGCTTCCAAATCATATCGACATAGAACTTTAGCAGAGAAGTCATTTCCCAAGTCACCTCTAGTTTATATTGAAACCAAGACCTCATGATAACACTCAAATTGGTGTAATTTGGAACCCACATTTAGGGTAATTTGGAACCCATATTTAGGTTTGTATGGAGTCATTTTATGTTCGTCATTGCTAATATATCGTCGAATATGCCTTTGATTCATTCCTATGAGAAAATATCGATATTCCAGGGTGTATTAGACGATATGAATGAATTAGGTACCAAAGTGTGCACAAGTGTAGAATTATGGGCGAAAACTGAGAGATGATGGTTAAAGGCAAGAAGATCATGGTCATGGAGAGAGGGCGTGAACTAGAACTACAAGATCACGACCTCTGCATCGAAGATCATGGCCACGAACATGAAGGCTTCAGGCGCGAACTCTTGGAGCAGCTAACAATTAAGAAACATAAAGTTTTGATAGTCAACTTGCGACTTTTTGCATCATACCCCATGAGAAAGATCTCGGTCGTGACTCACGGATCACGATCGTGAAGTCAGGCCGCGAACTCCTCAGCCATCAAAGCACAAAACGGCAATCTGAAGATCACAACCTCAACCCCCAAGTTCACGCTTGCGAACTTTGCCCCTCCGCTCGTAAACTTGCCCGAATCCTTAAAATCTATAAATGGGGGTTCCTCCCTCTCACTAAGGGAGCTGAAATAAATTGTGAAATGTCTGGTTTGAGAGAGAGAAAGTAGAGAGAGATGCCCAAGGAAGGAGAAGAAGGAGGAGTCAATGAGGAAGGGAGCTCTCCCCAATTCAAGTCTTCTTCCCTTTTCTCTACATGTATCTGCTTTCTCCTTTATGGAGTAGTCCTCTAGGGGTTAAAACCCCCAAATCCTAGATTTATGTTTTGAATGTAGATGTAATTGTATTAAGGTCTGCGAATGAATTTGGTTTTTTGAGTGATTTATGCTTCATTTATGTTGAGGCTTTTGTCTCTCAACTCATCTCTATTAGCCTAGAACCGAGTCTACAAAACTAGGTAATTAGGGCTAGATGAATGATTGTAGTGTTTCTTTTTGTGGATGAGGCGACTGAACCCCTGCTATAGGAATGTCTTCTTGAAACAATGATAGAGATGATGCAAGCGCCATTGATCCTTGCTTTAGTGTGCATGATAGGTTGAACCTATTGAGAGGAACTATCGCTTATTCCTTAGTACGTGAGCTTTGATTGAGGTGACAATGAGTCTATGAGATTGTACTAGGATCCAGGAGGAGACGGAGTAATCATTGAAACCTTCACTTTAGCGAGTTTCACACATTAGCCTGCAAACACTAGTTAGCCATTTACATGATGAACCTAGATTTAGTGAGAGGGAGTTACCTCGAAGTGCCTGCTTTTTATCCTTGCTTTCTCCACCAGTATTTTCAATTGACCTCCAAAAACCCAACTAAATAGATTGACTAGATAACAACAACGTGAGATTTATGAGAAGTAGGCTAGGGTATCAAAGCTCGTGGAATACGACCTTGGTCGCCACTATATTAGAAATACCATTTTGAGTTATACTTGGCTAGGAATGTGATAGTTATTTAGGCCGTGCAAACAATTGACATGATCGGCACGAGGTTCGACCACATCAGTTTGAATAATTTCCTGTGTATCCATGATCCTAGTTTAGTACATTTCAAATCCCAAATATTCTTACCTTTTAACCTATACCTCCTTATCCGTGCTACCAAAATGAGCCAACTCTCATCAACAAAATCCAATATAACCTTGTTTCACATGCAACATTCCAAGTGTATAGATCATTTAACCCAAATTCACTCTCCTCTTTTAGCATTGCGACTAAATCCCACTATACTTTACCTTTTCCAATTCCTTCCCCATAACGCATAAAATATGAGCAGATTTTTCTAGGCATGTGTGAGAACTTTCTTTGACAATATGAAAACTATCATCCAATATTAAATACTAGCATAAAACACTAATGCAATCAACTAGATTATACCAACGTATGAAAGTTTCATTGGCTGCCAAGATCTTAGTCTGCTTGTAAGGTTGTTAACCAACACACTATGCCAAAGATTATTAGTAGAAAGCTTATCTTATGGTAAAGGAAGTCCCAGGTAACAAATAGATAACTTGACCTCCTTAAATCCAAAGTGAGATAGTTTGATTTGCCTGTCTAATGTGGTTACTCCAAAAAAAAAAAACACCTCACTTTAAAGCGGGTTGCATTTCACACCAGACAACAGATAAAACCTATCCAAACCTTGATGACACTTTCTAGTCCATAAGATGAAATCTCAGTGAAAACCATTAGGTCACCAGCAAATCATAGATGATGCAACCTTATTGACTTGCACGGAAAATGAAGAAGCGGAAGCCTTTTTGAAAGAAGCTATTAAGGAACAGATGGAACGCTTTGGGAAGAATCCTATGTTTTGAATTCAAAATATATTATAGACGTAAGTATGAATTCTATGTATATTCTTTCGAAATTGAAATTTCGAATGTTGAATTTTTTTTATTAAGAAGGAAATTCATCTAATAGTTCTAGCTACTATAATTTACATCCGTCGGAGTTTAATTCAAATCGAAACCAATTAGAAAAAAGTTACAGGGGAGTATTTTCTCTCTTGCTTCTCTATCCAACACTTGTGTCAACACATCCATTCATATAGTAACTAAGTGAGAAGGATCTCCCGGTCTCACTTCTTTCTTAGCTAAGAAGCATCCAAATAAGCTATTGATCATCAAGAAGGATCTCCATGATATAACATTAAAACTAACTTTTGACAAACAAGTTCACTCCACAATTTTTTGCCATAGATATTACAATAGAAATAAACACATACGAGAAAAAATACATGATCTTTGCATGCCAAATCACAATAAGGAAAGAAAAAGGAATTACAACTATTCATTGATAAGAGATCATTTTTTGCCACAATATGAACAACTCTTTGATACCTTATCAAGATGAGAAGAATCCATTACTTAACTTCTAACCTTTGCGGGGAAAAAGTCACGGTTCGTCCACAAATTACTTAGCAAAAATATTCCAACCCCTAATTTATAAAAAAAATTAAATTAATTTTTGTCATTTGAGCAAACAATACTAGTGGGCTCCTTGTGGTCATGGGCCCATGGCAATGTCGGGCTATCTTAGCTCGTATTATCTCCATCCTCCTTTTCGGCTCCTTGGGTAATGGTGGAGTTTGTTCCCCGACGTCTCAACTAATTTGTCGATTGGGTTGCTCATAATACTAGACTTGACTTTCTTCCGAGAGATTGGATTGTGATTGCTCATCTTATTTCTCCACTGTTGTAACAAACGTTGTTTCCCCTGGTTCGGATTGGAATAAAGATGCCAGAATTTGTATAAAAAAAAAGTGAGTGGGCCATCCTTCATATAGGCCAGGCTTTGGCACCACATTGTAGCAGGCTAGCAGCCTAACGGGCCTGCTTGCCCGACCCGCCCAATTTGTAGTCAACAAAACCAATTTTTCCAATTGCCGCAAGGCAGAAACCATTTTTGCTGTTGTTCGTTACTTCTTTTCCTCTTCCTCGTTCGTCTTCTTCCTTTAGCTCGCTTGAATTCCCTCGATCATACCCACTGATCAACTCCATGGCGTACGAGGACGATCCGTAAGTTCTATGCAACTCCGTCTTTCTGCTTTGTTGTTCATGGCTTTTTTTTTGTGTCGTTTATTCCATCTGTTATCTCCGTTTACGAAGAAAATTCAGTTCGGTAGGGTTTTGATTTTTGATTCATTGTTTTGAGTCCTCGGTTGATGTTATTCTCAGTTACCGTGATGAGGACGGAGAGCCTTTGATGGATTACGACGATATTCAATCGGACGGATATCAATCCCCTGGAGTTCCTGACGACTTTATCGACGACGACGTTTCCAGAACTCCCGTCTATGACGCGGACAAATCCTCCAAGCCGAGGAAGAGGCTGGTGAAGAAGAGCGACGGCGGTAGAGACAGTTATGCAGCTCCGCCGGAGCTAGTGGACGAAGACGAGGACGACCAAGGGTACGATGCGAGGGAATATTCGCGGGATAGGGAAGGCTCGGCGGAAGGGAAGAAGAGGAGGAGATTGGGAAAGGAGGGGATAGGGAGCTCTGGCAAGGAGAGGAAGAAGTTGTTCTCCAAAGGGGAGAAGAGGTTTGGGAGTAGCTCTAAATCTGGAGGAGGGATGCCGAAGAGGGGAGCTTATTCTGGGAGGTTAGTTGCTGGAAAGGATGATGGTGAGGTCAAGGAAATGTGGGACACCATTGCTGGTGGCGATTCCGAGGTTCGTATCTTGCTTACTCCTTTTTTTATCCATCAACATGTATGGCTCACTTCTGGCTCGGAGATCGGGTGAATTTGATTTATCTTCCGTGATTTTGGCTAAAGCTCAAAGTTGGAGACTTTGTGATTTGGAGTAAACTTATGTTGGTTTGTTGGTGGATGTTTGTTCTGCCCTTGCTGATTCCCGAGCTACTTGGAGTAAACATGCATAAGTTATTGGTGTGTTCAACTTTATGGCTTACACTTGTTGATTCTCAAACTTCGAATTTATGCCCGTGCTTCTGCGTTTAGTGCAAACTTAACTGCTTCATTGAAAGAATGGTAGTCAGGGTTATTGTTTTCGTTTTCACTCGCGAGTATGTATGATCACTTGCAAGATGTTGTACAGTTGATATTTGGAGGTTATCTTTGATTTTTAAGCTTCTACTCTGAAAGTCAATTAATGCATAGACAACTTTTACGCGGTGAATCTGTCTGCCGTAGCAGTAGGTTGAGGATTTGCTTCAAGAATTTCCCTGGTGAAGAATCTGTCTGCATTAGAAGTTGGATCAGCCCTAGGTATTATGACTGTTTCTTTGTTCTTGAAAGTCTGAGCGGATTGCTCTTATGTGTGTAGGATGATAAAGAAGGCTTGAGGACTATGGATGATGATAACTTCATTGATGATACTGGTGTAGATCCAGCCGATCGGTATGGAAGTGATAATGAACAACGGTCTCTCGGTGATGTTCCTCAGGTTATCTTCTTTTCTTAATCAGCATTGTGCTCAATATGAATAACTTGGACTATTTTAACTGACGCTCTTCATGGGCTGTCATTGTCCGTACTAATGATTGGGAAGAGTTAAACTTTGTGAAAATTGTCCCACTATTGATTCCATTTGATATATTCTACTTGATCTTGCCAGGCAGAGGAGGGTGAAGAGGATGATGAAGTAAACCAGCTTTTTAAAATGGGCAAGAAACGGAAGAAGAATGAGAGAAGCCCTGCAGAGATTGCATTGTTAGTGGAGAATGTCATGGCGGAGCTTGAAGTCACTGCTGAAGAAGATGTTAAACTAAATTTGAGGGGGAAACCTGCTATTAACAAACTAAAGAAGTTGCCTCTTCTTACTGATGTTCTCTCTAAGTAAGTTGGTTGCTGCTTTCTGTGCTTTTTCCTCTCATCAGACCTTTTGGTTTAGCCATCTTTTCTTTTTTTATTGCCGGTGACACTTATGCAGGAAGCAGCTTCAGCAAGAATTCATAGATCATGGAGTTCTGACGCTGCTGAAAAATTGGCTTGAACCCCTTCCTGATGGAAGCTTGCCCAACATAAACATCCGTGCGGCAGTTCTAAGAATTCTAACTGATGTATGTGAGAGCTTTCCACTATTACATTGTGCCTGTGCCCATGTATTTGGATGATCAGTACGTGGATCCTAAATTGTGTTTTCAAGCAGCTTCCTATTGATCTGGAGCAGTATGATAGAAGGGAGCAATTAAAGAAGAGTGGGCTTGGAAAGGTTGAATGTCCTCTTTATTATTTTTTAGGTGGTACAAGACAATTTCAACTGACTTGGTTAATTATTGGCAGGTTATAATGTTTTTATCAAAATCTGATGAAGAAACCACTTCCAACAGAAAACTGGCCAAGGATCTGGTTGATAAATGGGTATGCAATACTTGGTGCTGATTCTCTACCCCCAATGTTCCTTCTGCTGGTTCTTTTATTTTGCTTATCCATGATAAGGAATAGCAACTTAAACTCTGCTGTTTCCTATTGTTGGAGAATCAGAATTCACTACTTGGGTATTAATCACCTGACCTCTCTGTCTTTTGAAATGATTAAATCAGAGTCGACCAATATTCAATAAGAGCACGAGGTTTGAGGACATGAGAGGTGCTGAAGACGAACGTGCTTACAGAAGGCCACCACCAAGAAGGTAATTCTTGTCACATGCCTGTTGATTTTGTGGTTTGTTTTACAAATGGCTTGTTCAGACTGTGATTACAATTTCCATTCCTGATTTCCTGTTTTGGCAGACCAGCGAGCAATTCTGTTGGGATGGAATCTAGAGATGGTGATCTTGATTTGGACATGGCACGGTAATTTGTCGTCACTGAAATGAAATCTGAAATCATACGATACTCTTTGCATCCTTTTTTGCCCATGATTTACGGTTCGTTTTTATAAATCTAGGGGAAGGAAGTCTGGCCAGTCATCATCGTCATCATCCAGGCAACAACAGCTCACTACCAGGCCAGAAGCAACACCATTGGATTTCTTGGTCCGTCCACAGTCCAAGATAGATCCTGAAGAAATTAGAGCACGTGCTAAACAAGCTGTACAAGATCAACGGAGAATGAAGGTTGGTTTTCTCATTGTAGTGTTCAAACGTCCATCTCAACTGGTTTTGTCTGTGTCTCTGCCGTCTAATAATCTGGACATTCTAACATGGCCTGTCAAACGAAGAGGTCTCATGTTAACTTTCGTGGAAGGATCAAGGATCTATTTTTCCATAAAACCATTTTCTCATGTAAAAATGATAGCTCTATAAGATCCAATACTTTCTGGTGAACTGCAGATGAATAAGAAGTTGCAGCAGCTGAAGGCTCCAAAGAAGAAGAGTTTACAAGCTTCAAAGCTCAGTGTCGAAGGCCGTGGTATGCTCAAGTACTTGTAATGTTGCTGGACTCTCTTTGTCCTCTGCCAGCCTGATCATTCTCCCTCTGGGCTCTTCCCCCCTTATGTCTGATCCGTATGGTGAGGGACTCGACATTCACAACGTTCAAGTCAAGCTGGTCCCTCGTTGGGAAATCTCGCGCTGGCCGTCACTCGATAGCTCGTGTGCCATTGTTGCTGCAACTGGTTGCAAGTTGATGGTCATTATCGACTGTCGGGTTGAGATGAATTCACGCTGCTTTTGCCTTCCCTTGTGCGAGAGTAATAAGAACTAACCCTGTCTGCTGATTTCTGCAACTCTTCCTGGAGGGAACAAAATATAGGGTAAAGTAACGGAGTTGGATTATCTCCTTGGTATATTTAAGGATCAAGTGCTGTTTTACGGGTGTCTTACATAGCGGGTGGTTGTGAACTGTGGTCATTCGTTCGATGTAATGTTAATTTGCTGCTGCAAGGATTAGACTCCTGATTGGATTGTGATCATTAAGCCATGTTTTGATTTTTGGTTTAGAAATTAGCGTTGGTAATAGCTAGCTACGCATTGGGATGCCAGCTAATCCAAAGTTAATCATCTTCTGCACCATCTCTTGTCAAATAAACTTTGCTTTAGTCTTAAATAAGCTGTAATACTTTAATTAGAAATCGAAGTGTAATTGTCAGACTAATCCAGGCTTGATCCCATTCCCATAAGATAGTCTGAGGGCCATCCGGGACCTGTCAAGTGTCCAGTTGGTTTCAGATTGACACGAAACTAGCGGCAGGCCTGGCAGTCCTATCCTATTCTTTCGCTTCATAGTCTCCTCCCCCAGGCCGAGAATCCCTCCCGCCATCGCCAACCTCATTCCCTCTCATGCCTTCTATCAGAGATAAAAAGCGAAGTTCTTGGTCATTATCATTTTTTTGCTGGACTAGTTGAGCAAGGGACCACAGCTACGAAGATCAAATTTCAATATGAACCAGATAACGATCCCGTTGTTGTTTTCTAGACTTTATGGATTTCGAATTTGGGAAATAGCCGAACTTAGGGCTTGTTTGCTTGTTGGATTTGAAAATGAGGGTTTTGAGTTTTCAAAACCTTTGGATTTACGATGGATTTGTTGCGTTATGGATTTGGAAGAGTACATTGTTTGTTTAGTTTATTTTTGTCATAGATTCATGATGGATTTCTTCACATTTTGCCTTCCATTATCAAATCCCAAATGAAATGTGGATTTGCAAATCTGTGGGGTCCACGGATTTGTGTCCCTTAGAAAACAATGAACTTGTGCCAATTCTATTATACTTGGGATTTGGGTACCAAATCCATCAGCAAACCATACCTTAATAAATAAGTGCCTTTTTTGTTTTTTTTGGTTTATGGATTGTGAAACATGTGAAGGAAACTAAAAAATTCTCTTTGTATGTGTTTGTATGGTTTATTGTTCGTCAATCACGTGGAGACAATAAAAAGTGTTTGTCGACCATCAAATAACCATATTTTAACCAAGTTGTGTTGGATGAGTATTGAACATGTGTTTCATCACGGGGAATGATAGATATATCAGATGAGGTGCCAAATTATGTTAGTGGGGCTGTAGATAGAGGTGGCAATTGCATCGTATTCGTGTATTCGTGGATTGGTGGATCCATGGATCAAATGGATTGGTGGATTGATCCATGAATTCAAATGACATCCAAGGCTTGGATCAAAATGTAAAATTTGAAAAGTTTTGGTACCAAAATGTCATAATGAAAATTTTTAGGTACCAAAATGTAATTTTCGAATGATATTTTTCGTATAAAAATATAAATTTTAGGTATCAAAATGTAAAATATAAAAAATATAGGTACCAAATCATAATTTGCCATTTGGATCCATGGATTGATCCATGAATCCACCAATCCAATTGGATTTGGATCAAATGGATTAGATTTAAATGGATTGGATTAGGTGGATAATTTGGTGGATGGATTGGATTGGATTCATGGATTTGGATTCTAATTGCCACCTCTAGTTGTAGACAGGTTTGATTTGGAGGTGAATGTTCTGTCATACTCTGAGATTGTGAGTACATTGATCGAAGATTTCCATTATTTTGTCGATTGAGAGGGTGTGATACTTGACTCTGGGACAAAGCATATCCAATGGGTTTCACGAGATACACAATGATGTTGATGGGATTAATGGCTTATTTGGAGATGCCGAGCAAGGAGAGTTTTCGTTGTTTTTTGAAGCAACCAAGTCTATTGGAGAGATGGGAGACAACTACGGGCATAATGAGGATGCTACCGATGAGGAAGTTGACAACTCGTTCGTAATCGAGTTAATCTGGTTAGATGATTGCGAGGCTAAAAAATCAAATGAAGAATACTATGAAATTAGGGTTCGTATTCGTCGCATGAGACTGAAGTGTATGTTCGAGATTACTAGATCGGGGGAAGAGGGTGAGCAAGTGGTTGAAGATGACAATGAGTCGAATGAGTATGTTCGACCTACTATGAAGGTGGATGAAGATGTTGGGGAGGGACATCCGAGGAGGTTCAGCAAACAGGTAACATGGATGGTGATGACATTGAATAAGTTGGTCATTCACAAAATGTATCGAAGATAATGGGAACTTCATTGATTGAACATGAAAAGAATATGGCCTTCAAATCGCGTAGTTAAAGTCTTCGTCTCAACTATTCTATACTTCAACTACTCATTCTCCGCCATCAAACCATCAACCTCTCTATTATTTGCCAATGATCACAATTCCTTATAAAATCCTACATGGCCATTGACCAGAAAAACATGTCAATTTTATATAATGGCATTTCGACAAAAAGCTATATCTTCAACAATATACCTGCCATTATGGACAGGAATAGAACATTTGCCCTAGATTTCTCTCTATGCAAGACCTTTGCACAATACATGGAACCTTGTGCTTGAATCTCTCCATAGGTTTGTTTGCAGAACTTGAAGCCCCTGAATTTGCATTTCCCGACTGCTCCAACCGTCTTAGGAACCCTCAAGGACCCCATGTCACTGCTTTGGTGATAGTTGGTATCAGCTTGATGGGGGTCTGACTGCTTTGGTATTGATTTGAACTTCACCAAGTCTTGCCTCCTTGTCCTTATTGGAAAGGATTGTGCCTCATTGTCTTGCCTGCATGAATGCATCTTAACCACACTTGTGATCAGGGGTGGACGTTTGGGTTGCGGATTATGGATAACCTACAAACCGCACCAATCCACACCCGTTCTGGGTAACCATACCCACAAGTTGTGGGTAGTGGGTTGGGTGTGTGTAGTAAAATAATTTATAACATAATAGTATGTGAAAAGTGGGAGGCAAAAAACTAAAGTAGCCACAGAATCAAATACGCATCTGAACAGTTTTAAGTGAGAATTTTTAAGTTTATAAAACACTATAATCAAGCGAGTGGAAAATAATGGATTCATTAAAAGTCGTAACTTTTAGTAACTTTTATCTGTATGTTTTTGCTTTTGTGTGAAAAAAATACAAGATCATATCTGAAAATTGAAATTACAGCTCTCTGACACAAAAGTTGAATACCAAACTCGAAAAGAAAAAATCTCCACGTTGAGTAAGATCGAGCTACAAAATTATATCTCCACGAATGACACAATTGTATATAACTATAGTCTAGCTACGAACAACAAATACTTTGGTGGCGGCCTCAACTCCATACTTGCAAAGATGAATTTTTGCGGGTAACCACATCCAACCCGCAGTGGGTAGTGGTTATTCACTAGCCATTGCGGTGCGGGTTGTGGGTAGCATAAATGCAAATTTGTGGGTGTGGGTACCCGCAAAATGTGGAGCGGGTAACCACACCCGCCCCAATTTTCACCCCTACTCGTGAGCCCTCAACGGATCACTACTTAGCTTTTTTGTTGCTCTTATCTTGTTAATCAACTTGAGGTAACCATCTTGTTGTCTTGGGACTCTACCACCTTGATGATAAGAGAGAGCCCCCTCGATGCTGACCTGGTACCACCTCATCTTATTATCATAGTCCGCCTCATCTACTTGCTATCATCGTCTTGCTAGCCCTCAACGAACCATTTTGTTAGTTAGGTCTTGTTACCCACCTTAACAGGATAAGAACCTAACCCCATATCCCAATCAAGGCCCCACACTTATTCTTGGGAAACTCATCATGTAATCAATTTGTCTTCTCAATATCAAGCCCATGGTGTTTTTTCGTTTACCATGTCCATCTTATCAACTGGTTACCTTAGCTGACCAATCTCCACCTCTGATATTTCATAATTACTCTAGAGAAAGTAGAGATGGTCCATGTCGGCTTGGTACCTTGCCAATTCACCATCAAGCCGGTCTTGTCAGCTTGATCTACATACTTAGTTTTTTTTAGCCTCGTCAAGTTGATATCTTATCGCCATGACAGCTCGGGACCTTGCCATGTGGCCACTAAGCCCATCCTTCTGGCTTGATTTGCATACTTAATTTTATGAGCTTCAATTTGTACCTTGCCACCTGCTGGCTTGGTACCCTGTCGGCTTGATCATCGAACTTAGTTTTTTGAACCTCATCAAGTTGGTATCTTGCCACCCTGGCGGCTTGGTACCCTATGAGCTGGCCACCTTATGACCCCATCTCATCAGGTTGGTACCCTTCTAGTTGTCACCAAACCCGTGTAATTAACTTGACATCTCTTTTCCATGTCAGCTTTGTACCTTGTTCCATTCCATATTTAGTTTTTTTTAGAGATCTGGTAACTTGATACCTCATTTCCTTGCCATCTTGGTACATCGTTGCCTGCTACCAAGATTGTCTTGACGATTTGGTCTCCAAATTCAGTTTTTAGAGCTCGTCAAGTTGATACTTGATGACCTTATCTCCATACTTATCTTTTAGAGCCTCCTCATCATACTGGTACTTTGTCGGCTTGTCACCTTCGTCTCATTAGGTTGGTACCTTGCCACCTTGATCTCCATACTTAGATTTTGGAATCTCATTAAGTTGGTACCTTGTCATCCTGTCGGCTTGGGACTTTGTCACCTCCATCTCATCAGGTTGGTACCTTGACGACTTGATCTCCATACTTAGCTTTTGGAACCTCATTAAGATGGTACCTTGTCGGCTTGCTGTCCCACCATAAGAATTCTAAACTTAAATTTATTCATAGTCAAATTTCATATCAACTAACTTGTTACAAGCCCGTCTTAAGTCCTAGCCTGTTGAAAACTGTATGGCCACCTAGGCCAGGGGATGGGTCGTCTGCCTGGATAAAGTCCAACTAGCTTAGCTTAGTGTGTAATGTTGAATTGACCTTATAGTAAATCAGATCCCCCTGTAATTTTTATTTTATTTTTATTTTATCCAAGATAAGCCCCCCAGGGCATGGCCGGTCAATACAGTTACAAGAAAGACACTAAAAGAGAACGGTAGTCCGTATGCAACCGGACTCCCGATAAAAGAGCCTGTTTTGCCACGACGTGGGCAGCTCTGTTGAAGCTCCGAGGAGCAAAAAGACACGAGACAGATAGGAAGGAGGAAAGAAGAGAGTGAACTTCCTCTAATATAGCTCCCGCTCTTGAATGTGAAGTCTTCTTTAATGTCACATCCTTGATGACCAATTGAGAGTCCCCACAGAAAACAACAGTAAAAAAATTGTGGGTGAGACACCATTTCATAGCATCACGAATAGCAAGTAATTCTGATATATAGGCATCTGAGATGCCCTGGTAGAATTTACCAACTGCAAATATGATATTTCCATCACATGAAAAGCCGACGAAGCCAGTTGCACATCCTTGAGGGATTTTTGTTGCCCCGTCAAAACGAACTAGGATACCTTCACTAGGGAAGGAAACATCTGTTCTCCTTGAATGAGGACCTTGGCCTGAGGAAGAGTGGGGTATTGACCTTCGGACTTCTTCGGATCTCTGAACCTTCTGTGCTTCTGCCATTCTCCATTCCTCCACCTGCGCTAATAGTTGCCTGTATAGGACATGTGACCTGTATAAAACGTATCCATATGTAGCCTTGCATCGGCCTTTCCATATTCTCCAAAATAAGAAGACAATGAAAGCTACATCATTCTTGGAGTTGGAGATATGGGGCGTGAAAAAGAGGTTTCTCCACGCAAGATCCATATTCCATAGGACTTGCCCTCATCATATCTCTTATATGGTCAAGGTCAGATAATGTCCACAGTTCTCTAGTGATTCTACAGTCGAAAAAGCAGTGTTTGAAGTCTTCATTTACCTCGCAGCAAACAACACATAGACCTGATGAGATAATTTTCTTATAAAGGAGGGTTCCTTTAACTGGTAGAAAACCACGCACCAATCTCCAAAGAAAGAATTTGAGCTTAGGAGGCATTGGAATATTCCACAAGAATTTCCAGAACTTGGTGTTCAAAAAATATGGCAGGGAGTTTCTGGGTAAATTTAAACCATTCGAAAGAAGGTGGTACCCTGATTTAACTGTATAATGACCAGACTTGTCATAATGCCAAATCAATTTATCTTCTTGGGGGGACGATGAGAGAGGGATGGATAAGATTTTGTCGATCGTGACAGGGGGAAATATGGTTTTAAGCAAGTCTAGATTCCACTCCATAGCATTAGAATCCAGAAGAAATGAAACCATTGGGTGATCTAGAGAGGCGCCCATTAACAACACAGGGCTAGAAGGAGGGTCTGTAGGTAGCCAAGGGTTGAGTAAGGTGTTTATCTTAGTTCCTGATCCTACTTGCCAGCGAAGACCTTTATTCAGTAGATCTCTACCCTGCAAGATACCTTGCCAAGCCCAAGAAGGACGTGTCCCCTGACGGGCTAGAAGGAAATGATCGGTGAAATGATATCTTGCCTTGTACAATCTGGCAAGAGTACTTTCCGGTTCACAGATAAGTCTCCAGGCTTGCTTGGCTAGCATTGCTACATTGAACCTATCAAAGTCTCTAAATCCCAATCCTCCTTCAAATTTGCTGAAACAACATTCAGACCATGATAACCAATGTATACCTTTTTCCTTGTCTTGGCCTGCCCACCAAAAGGTGGAGAGTTGTCCGTTCATCCTTCTACATAAATCAGAAGTGAGTCTAAAACAGGACATCACGAAGACGGAGTTGCTGTCCCGACTGCTATGATGACTACTTCTTTGGCAGCCAAAGACATGTTTTTTGACTTCCAATGACGTATTCGGTTTGCTAAGGAGTCTTCAATATACCGAAAGGTTTGGATTTTAGATCTATGAACCTGAGATGGAAGACCAAGATATCTATCATGAACTCCAATTGCTGACACACCAAGTAAACCAGCTAGACGAGTAGCTTCCAGGTCTGAGACATTAGCACTAAATGTAACGGTTGATTTCTGGAGATTAACTCGTTGTCCACTCACCACTTCATATTCATGAAGTATTTCAATTATACGGGCACATTCAGTAGAGGAGGCACGAAGGAATAGGTAGGAATCATTCGCAAAAAATAGGTGGGAGATCAGCGGAGCTTCTCTGTGAATACGTAACCCATGAAGGCTAGAGTCTCTAATGGAATTCTCTATAAGGGATGAGAAAGCTTCTGTGTATAGAGCGAATAAGAGGGGGGAGAGAGGATCCCCTTGGCGTAAGTCTCTTTGAGGATGGAAGTATCCATGGATAGACCCGTTTAGGACAATGGAGAATGATACAGTTGTCACGCATGATCTTAGCCATTTGAGCCATTTATCTCCAAATCCTAGGCCTTTAAGTAACTCAAACAAGAGAGGCCATTCAACTTTGTCGTAAGCCTTTTCCATATCTAGCTTTAAAGCCATCCATTTTTCCTTTCCTTGGGTTTTGGTTTTGAGGAATTGCATCACCTCTTGCCCAATTAGGATGTTGTCTGTGATAGATCTATTTTTCACAAAGCCGTTTTGGTTGGGGCCCACAATAAGAGGAAGAAAACGACTCAACCTATCTGCTAGGATTTTAGCAATGATCTTGTAGAATACTTGGCAGAGTCCTATAGGCCTCATTTGTTTCATGGTTTCAGCATTTGGAGTTTTGGGTATAAGCGTGATCAGCGTATGATTAAAGTTATGCAACAATCTTCCCGTATGAAAGAAGGAGAGGGCAGCATCACAAAGGGATTCCCCTTGTAATTAATCGATGTGATATGAGATGAATTTTTAGGGGTAAGCGTGGAGTGTGGGCTATTGAAGGCGCAGACGGTAGAAATGACCACTAAACTTACTATGCAAGCTCGTTAGATGGTGATTTATTGTATGTCATGTTTCATTCTACTTGTATAGTGAGTGACACCTATATGAAAAAGTGAAGAGGGGGTAAATATAAGCAAGTCTGATTGAAATCGTCATCTTTAGAGATATCAGTTGAGTTGGTTAAATCATGTCTTAGAGTAGGCATTATATAGAACGTTGTAGGCTAACATAGACCGACTAACAACATTTTTTCCCCACCCAATTCTAAATTTAGAAAGTTAGCCTACAAGTTGAGATACATCGATAGATAAAAGAACTAATTAGAGCTGACACGAGCTAGTTAGTAAAGAGACCTTGGAGTTCATTATGCTCAAGAATAACTTCACCATGAAATAGCAAAATAAGACACAACTAACCCGACCGAAAGTAAGATAGCCTAACGGTAAGCTGTCCCGACAATGAAGGTTTGGGAGTTGTAGATCTCAGGTTCGAATCCAAACGAGGCCCATTGGTGTTCCCGGAGGTACAAGGTTGCTATGAACGAAGCCCCATTGGCGTCGAATTTAATTGCAAGTGACCCTCGGATGTAGTAGTACCCGCTGTCACAAAGTGGCACATAGGGTTGAGGCTTTTGGGTAATTAAAAAAAAAGACACAACTAACCGGAACCCAAATCATCCTCCACAAAACCAAAACCAAACTGAGACTTCAAATCCACCAATAACCTCTCCTCGTACTGGGTCCAAAAAAATCACACAAACCCAAGCCCAAGTAAAGAAAAGCCATCGTCTGTCACCCGCAGATAACACTAGCAAACCCTACCCACAAGTCATCGGGGTATTTATTTCCACTCAATTTTTAGGCCTTTCCTTGCTTTCTGCCCAAGCAAATATCAAATTAAAATACTGAGGGGAAGAGAGAGAGAGAGAGAGAGAGAGAGAGAGAGAGAGAGAGAAAGCAGAGCAGTGTGTATCCATTCACAGGGAAGAGTCCGCCGACTTCAATTTCTGCTACCGTCAACGGAGCCGGAAACTTCCTTTTTATCCATCTTTATTCCACCGCCCCGAACCGGAGAGAACGGTGCCGTATCATCCCCTTTCTCTCTATCCGATTCATACTGTTCCGTTCCTCCTCCTCCACCTCTCCTTCTCTCTCCGCCTTTCTAGTATTAGGGTTTTTAGCGCCTAATCGGAACGTCGGCGGAGCAGAATAGCACTCGTCGTCCGTCCAAATCGCTCTTCATCATCCCCTTATGGTTATCATCAACGGTAAGCGGGCTGCTGGTCGTTGAATTTTTTTTTTCTTTCTCTTCCTCTGATGTTATTCAACGTGGTTGCTGATTCTGGTGGCTGTAAGTCGTAGATCGGGTTCAGTTTCGAGGAATTTGCCCTTCGATTGAGGTGCGTGGAGTCCAAATTGGATTGCCGGTTCTCGTTTTCAAGAGTTTTTGTGGGTTTTTTTTCTTCTTCTTTATTTTCGTTTGGTTTGACTTTGCCTTTCAATTCTGAAGTCTCCATGTACTGATATTTTCTTTTAGCGCCAAATTGGACTTTTTGGTTCGTAGAGTTGAGATCTGGTGTTTTCTTCCAGATAACGGAAATTTGCAACTATTTCTTCCGTTGGACTGTGGTTGATTCTGCCTTTGTGATTGGGATTTCTTCTTTCTGATCATGGTTTGATGATGGTTGTTGCGCTTGCAGGCGTGCAGAGATAACTCTAGGCTTGTGAGATAAATAAGGGAGTTGGCTTGCTTCCAGAGATAGTGTTGAGTGTTTATATAGGAGAGGAGGAACATGTATATGATCATCGTTAGTTGCAGTGTTAGGTAATTCTCTGCTATGTATATCATCTTTCTTTGTGCTGTTCTTTTGAAGTATTTTATTTCCAATTCATTGTTGTCTTTTGATGCGAATATGTTTCTAATAATCAGGTGGGTACTGATTTTGAGTTCTAATTGGCAGCGCGGGCTTTTAGCTGTCAAGTTATTGTCTTGGTTTAGAGTTATCCTAGTAATAACGTGTAGAACTTAGTTAGCCTGTATATTCTCTTCCTGGTATTGCAGCTGCTAGTATAAAAAAGTTCTCTTTCTGGTGATATCATAACCAGAAAGCTTGATGCCGTTTTAGTTAGTGTTTATTTCTCTCTGTTTTCCTCTGCGCACTGCGCCAAAAGCTTCTTTTTTACGTGGCAGTATTGTGGTTTGCTTTATGTTGTTTGTTTGTGGTGGTAAAGGTTTCTTAAGAGTATGTTTAGTAAACACTGCATCCTTGGTTGGTTTATCTTTCTCCTTCGTGCATGGTTCATATGGTGGATCAATGTGATCTGACGCTGCCCTTTGACAATAAGTTACATCTGTACCTCTGCTTACATTTATTTCTTCAAACACTGCGCAGGCTTACCCAAATGGCTCTGATTGCATCCTGACTTTCAAACTGGTGGTTGGAGGACAGAGTTGTTGCGTTACTGTAAATCCAAACCTTTGTTCTTCAGAGTTTTATTAGTGATAGATCTAGTAGCTAGACATGGAAACCAAGTTCGGAAAGGTGTTGGGTAGAAGAAGCAAGGTTATGCTCGGCTTAAAGAGAAAGCGTGCATCCCGCTGTGCGGCTAATTTTGCCAGAGCTTCGCAAACAGTGTTGGCTGACTGTCCTGCCTTGGATTGTTCTACTCCTATGCTGGGTAAACGAAGGAGAGTTAATGATCGCTTGGGCAAGCCTACAAGTTGCGGCTTTCCTTGCAAGAAATCCATTCTTCAGCGATATTCCAATATTTCGAGGACTGGAGTGCCGGCACGTCTCATGTTTTATCAGAATGGAGAATGGACCGACTTTGCAGAAGATCTTGTCACCTTGGTAAGAAAGAATCTTCAAATAAAGAAGGCTGTACTTGAAGTTGAGGTGGAAGGGCGCCATTATATGCTAGATTTCTTGCATATGTTTCAACTTGACTTGAAGACAGGCTCTCAAATACCAATTGCTTGGATCGATGAAGCAGGTGCCTGCTTCTTTCCAGAAATTTATGCTGATGATGACGAATTAAGTAGTGAGGATTATGGAAAAAATCAGTATGGGCCTCATGAAATTAAGCTGCAACTGGAAATTGACATAAACAGCGTGGACCAGCAGACTAAGTTGAAGGAGTGTAGCGGGGAGTCGGATGCTCTTCTCAAGCATATCCAAGTTGTTCCCAAACCTGGCAGCGATCATTACATTGTTGAAGTTGAAGATAGCTGCAACCGGAAGTCTGTTGAAGCTTTCCAAGGAAACCAACATATTAAACCACTATCTGTCCCTAAGCCTCAATCTTTTGATGTAAAATTTGATTCAGACTCTGTGCAGAATTTTTTTATCAGAGGCATGAAATGTCCTCAAGGTGCTGAGGTGCTTAATGTTTTACCGTGTTCGAGCAATTTGTTACAAGATCGGTTAGAAATTTTTGAGAAACAGATGGAGCTGACCCAGAAGTGCCGTGGTGATGCAAATGTTCGATATGCTTGGCTTGCTTCTTCCAAAGCAGCATTGCCTATGCTTATGACTTACGGACTGGGACATTGTCGGCCTTCTGCCACAAAGTTCAGATATGCTGTTGGCATTCATCTATCTGCTGCAGATCATTGTCACATCAGGTTTGAAAATTTTATTAGATTTTGAGATGTGCAAGCTATCTGTATATGTGCTTACTGTTTCTCTTGAGGACTATGAGCCTGCAACTAATGATGAGCTTAAAACACTGATGAATGAAGTAATGATATTAGAAATAGTAGTAGCAGGACTATTGATGGCTTGGTAATTTGTTTAGTGGTGGGTTGTGGACTTTTAACTCTTCCTGTTCCTTGTTAGGCCATTGAAGTACCCTTTTTAGTGGTGTTTGTGGAGCATACCCAGTTAGATATCTTAGTTTTTATGGCTTTTGTTTGAACTGTGTTTTCGTTATGACTTATCAATTGGTTGCTTGAAGTACGTAGTTATTTCTTGGATAAAAAAGTGTGTAGTTAGTTTTGTTGTGTTTGATGTGGATCTTTCTACGCACTTCTCATTGGCAAGATTTTGTGATCATCAGTGTTGTCGTTTTGCTACTTAGGATTGAACTTTTTTATTTACCAACAGTGCCAGTGATTGTGATGTTGACGAAAATGGCACTCGACATATCGTATTTTGTCGCGTGATAATGGGAAATATGGAGCCTCTTCAGCCAGGGACTCGGCAGTTCCATCCCAGTAATGAGGTCTTTGATAATGGAGTGGACGATCTTCAAAATCCAAGACAGTATGTAGTTTGGAATATGAATGTGAACACCCACATTTTCCCGCAATATGTTGTTAGTTTCAAGGTCTCTTCCAGTGGTGAAGGTGATTAGCTATTTCCTTCCCCCCCTTATTTACACTTGTCTCTGTATGTTCTTTCTCGCGTGGTGTGGGACTAGCTGCTTTTGTACTCTTCAAGTCTCATTAATTCTTTGCTGATCCATCATTGGTCATTGTGGGTCGTTCTTGGCCTATGAGCTGAGATGGTTGCAAGTGACTCATCAAAGACTTCTGTGCACTCGTCTGGAATGCCAAGAACTTGGTGTCCATGGTATAGAAGGCAGATTCTGTTGCATGATGCGTGGACAACTCTTGGTTGTGGTTTATTGCAGCCGAGATCAAAATCTTCCTCAACCACATTGTTTCAAGAACCTATCTGGGCGGTGTCTTCTACAGATGCTCAGATAACAAAAACATTTCCCTTTGATAATCTTTTTGTACTTGAAAGTTAGCATTTTTTGTGTATCTTCTATAGGTCTTGCGAATGGGAGCGAGAGCAAGTATGCTGCCTCTGGTATCACCACTGCTACAAATGCAGTTGAGGGGAATTTCCTGATGAGTTCTCATCATGTGGATCTGAATTTACCTGTACAGTCCCCCGTGGTGGATCTTAATTTGGCCCCTGCATCTGATCAGGTAAGCACAGGTTCATAATTGGTTTGGTGATGTCGTGACTAGTGACTGTCTCTGGAATGATGGTAACAAATGTTTTTCATATGAGAGTGATCTCTGTTGATTGTTTGGCTAGTATGTCGTACATGAAAGAGTTACCTACTACTGAGATTCATCCTTTGTCCTCTGTTGTCACAGGTCAGTGAAAGTAGACCGCTTTCTGACTCTGGGGCATCTATTGGACAAGCAAATAGTCTGGGTTCAAGCAATGGAAGGAATCATAGTTCTCCTTGGATGCCTTTCCCTAAGCTTTTTGCTGCTGTCTCTACTAAAATTGCTAGGAGGGACATGGAACTGGTTATTAATCATTATGAGGAATTCCGGGTAGGTCATTATCTTCTCTGCATTTTGCTTTCTTTTGTTCGTCTGGTTTGCCCTTCACTAAATCTGCTGTCAAATATTCATTTCTGGCTGTGTCATCAGGCAAAAAGGACGAGCAGGGAAGACTTTGTTAGACAGTTGAGACTAATTGTTGGGGACACTTTGCTGAAGACCACAATAATGAACCTGAACCGAAACCAGGTATGACTTCGTATGGTTTGTACTCTCTAGTCTCCATCTTTTGCTGACTGGGGATAAGTAGAAATTTTACTGGCATTTTTAAATTTGAGTCGAGGTGGTAAAAAATTGTTTCATGCTTTCGTGTTTTTTTTTTTTTTTTTTTTTTTTTGTTGTGACATGAAGCTCGATTTGTTCCATTTGTTGGCATGTTGCAATGGTTGGGGAGGTATTGGGGCCAAAAACTGTGATTTTATCGGGACGAACCATGGTTAAGCCTATTGGTTATGAGTTCAGTTTTGTCAATTTGGTGGTACTGGATGAGATGTGGATTGGCAGTCATCCTTGTGCTTTTGTTCATGTCAACTATGCAACGTTTTCGTAGTAAAACCATTGGCTGGTGAATCTTGCAGGTGGTATCCAAGCCGGAAGTTCGAAGCAACTAGGTGAAAGTAGCAGAAGCCAGAAGTGGCTTTTGGTGGTGGCGTCAACAAGCTTCAGCTCTATCTATATGTTATCTCTTCCGCTGTATGGTTGGTAGTATTTCTCCTGTTTGATATAAGTTTGAACTTCAAATACTTGGTCGGAATGGTCTCTGGTAGTCTTGGAATGTGTCGACCTTATCGTGGTACTGTCTTCATTTTTGTTCTGAAACAAGTTGGTAGTTTGGGATGTTTATTTTTAGTCCGGGTAGTCTTTGCCTGATTATTATTGTTGTTACTGTTCATTGTCGATGAAAACTTGAGAAATGATGGCATGGTCAGCGGTGTCCATTCGGGTTCGGTTTTTCGGGTTTACACAAAACCGACCCAATTATATACATTTTCGGTTTTTGGGTTCGGGTTCGTTTCGGGTTTTTCGGTTTCAGGTTCGGTTTTGCTTATCGGTTTTTTGGGTTCCGGCTAAAAACCTCAAATGAATAGAACTCAGCCCGTATTTTTAGGTGTTCGGTTTTCGGGTTTCGGTTTTGCTTTAACCGAACCCGATAAGGAATTTTCGGGTTTCGGGTAACTGTAACTCGCAAGTCCATATCGGTTTCGGGTTTGGTTTCAGTGATTTTCGGTTTTGGGTTTTCGAGTTTTGGTTTGGGTAACCGAACTTGAGTCGAACTGACACCCCTAGGCATGGCACCCAGGAGGCACTGGGGCACTAGGTTCTTGCAATGGCACGCAAATTCTTATGTGGTGAGACGAATTTATCTATTTGCTGCAGTGGCAAATCAACAACGTCCCAACCTCATGTACTAACTCAATATCATTTGATTGAATAGTTAGACTTAGCTCCTTCTTGGTCGAAGAAATCCTCCGTCGTCTGCGCCGAAATCCCGAAGTATTGTGACTCTTCCCTATATAAGAAAGTGAAATCACAAAACTATTAAGCTAGTTTCTAATGTGATGATTGCTGGACAAATGAACGCAAAAGAACAATGACGGGACAGCTATGTTTTATCCTCAACGGTATACCTGGAAGTTCTTTATTTGACAAAACTAGACGTTTGAGGGCACTGAAGGATGCTTGGGCTACACTCTTGCCATGACTTGGATCCTAACCTTGGTGATTCTCCCCGACAATGGTGTTTTGAGTAGCTGGTGTTGCCATCTTGCACATGCCTTCTGGCCTCCTTTGCAGTAAAAGCTCATCTGCATTTCCGTTGGCTCATGTTTTTAAGGGTCAAGAAAAGCATATTTCTTGAGCTATACCCGTCTGAAACTCAGACACTGAACGCTGGATGAAGAAGCCGCGCAGTTATCAGTCCTGGCTGCTCCATAAAAGTTAATTCTTCCTAGCGACTCTCGTTTGGCCTTAACCAACTAGCGATGAATTGATATAAACATATTTGTTTTTACGTTGGTTCTATCTATTTAACAATTCTCATATCAGGAACTTTCCGGGAGTCGATGGACCACGACATTAAATGCTATAACAACAAAGGAGGGGATGCATTTGCTTGCTTGCTATGAATTGAATTGATGTTGGGTGGTGGTGGTGGTGCGGTTACTTTCCTGTACTGTACTGTCGTCAGTGAACAGAACATTACAACAAGGAGAAGAAAGGAAAGGGAAAGGAGACGAGATGAAGAAGAAAGATAAGAGTGAATGAGAATTTATTTTTCACACACTCCCAATTCTCTCCTTTTTGTCTGATAGCAGAGAGAGATAAGTAAATATGTTTGCCTCTTTCTTCTGCCACATCCTTCTCAAAAAGCTAGTCATTATGAATGTATCATTTCTAGGTTTTCTACCTTTTTTCTTTATCTCTCTCCCCTTTATTCAGTCATTCATTCCCACATTTCTACCTTCTTTCTAGTAATGGGTTTTACTAAAGTTGCCAACTTTGATTACCAAAAGCCCATTTTTTTTAGTTTTCTTTCTCTTATTTGTAGTTTAATAACAAATTAAAGCACTATAACTAGCTTGAGACATGCAAAAGATGGGTGAAATGCCATGAATGGAGTGGTAGCAAAAGTAAAAAGAACTCCCTATAAATGTGAGCAAAAGAAGTTTGCTGACAAGCTCACTTTACCAGCAAGCTTCCTTTAATGGAGTTTGGGAAACTTTGGAAAGGAACCTCCCCCTTACACATCCTTTGTTTGGGGAGTTAAGTTGTAGTAATTTTCACCCATCCTTTTTCTTCTGTTTTAGGGGGAGGGCAATTGGCCCCAAAACTATGAGAAATTTTACAATGCTATATAGTATTGGTGCTATAGGTTTTTGCCTTTATGGTACAACTTAAAATTGTACATTTACGTTATGGTACAACTTCAGATGGTACCTATACTTTTTGTACAAATTCTTTTATGGTACAACTTAAACTTGTATCTTTATGTGATGGTACAACTTCAAGTTGTAAAGTTATACATTTAATGTTATGGTACAACTTTGAATTGTAATTAAAGCACCAACGCTATATAGCATAATAGAAGTGCTCCCAAAACTATTCCTTGCAAAGATGGTGGAATGAATACATTCCTCTTGTTCCAAATGGGGTTCTTTCTTATTATGAGATTTGATAAAGTGACAAAATTGAAGAGTAATCCGCAAATGGGCTTTTTGGCCACACAAGGCATACATCGTCATGATTCTCAATTAGCCTGTACAACTGGACACTAATCTAGAGAGAGAGAGAGAGAGAGAGAGAGAGAGAGAGAGAGAGAGAGGACAAAGCTGATGTGAATGCTATTGCTGCTGACACTCTTTCAATTCAAGGGCCAAGGCCTACTATACTGTCAGCGAGGCGTCAATCATAAAGCAATCGATTGCAAAATCATTTCCCCACTTTTCTCTATCTTTCTTCCTTTTCATTTAAATGAAAATAAATAATAATGGAATTTTCTTATTCAAATTGTCATTTGTGTGTCTTCTTCTTCTGACAGTACTGACCTTTCGTCTCTTTGACCGTATCCCACAAAACCCGCTCCCCCAATTGCATTGACATGTCAACCTCTTCCCTGCCACGTGTGCTGAGTATTTTCCCCCATATTTTCTTGATATTATTATATTATAAGAAATAAAGAATAAAAGTATTTTATACATGCTGTTTGTTTGTTGGTCCTCTCCTAGCCCTAGCTAGGCTGCCTTGTCAATTGTCATTTATTATAGTTTTTTTCTTATAAATAAATAAATAATATGGGCCGGGTTTTTTTTGTCCAGAGAAAAAAGAATGATGGATCATCCTATTTGGATCACGCGGGAATCCCGCCTTACTCTATGCGTTCCTTCTTTTTTAATAGTAAAGTAGCAAGGGGTCATTTTTAGATGAATGAGTGTAATTTTAGGGTTCAGTAATTTTTTTTGAAGGAAAAAAGTCAGTAAATGAGATTTTGCACTTTAGATTGAGATGGTTTGTGAAATTTTATAGTGGAACTGTAGTTTTTGTATTGGAAATTTGATATTGACCAGGTAAATACTAAATAGACAGATGAGAGGCCATTTTATTTTATGCCTCATCCCACAAGTTTTAATTTCTTTCCTACTGACAGTAACCTACTTTAGGGAACCTAGCTGCCACAACTGTTTTGATCAAAATTTAATTCAATAGGAACATTGTTCAATCTGACCTACATAACAAATTTCAATACAAGCTGTCTAAGCCCTAGAGTATCTTTATGAAATAACCCTGATCTTGGTCTAACTGGTTCGGCTAAACAATTAACAAAAACATGATTTTCACTCATATGTCAGACATATTTTCTATGTCAGACATACTCTTAATATTGTTATGAAAATATTATTATTATGGATTATCACATTAGATGCTCCATAATATGTTACAAGTTATATGTAACTCCTCTCTTTATATTATCTTTCTTCCTACGACACATTGCTTCCATTTATGTGTATTGATATTAGAGTTGTAGGAGTTATGTATTTTTGCCTATAAATAGAGCACACAAATGAATAAGGAGAACTCTTATCCCCTCTCTTCTTCTGTCTTTTCTCTATATCATTGTTCTTATACTTGTTCTACTTTCATACAATTTCACAAGTATATATGCATGATTTTGATACACATGTAATCTATTGTTTGTGGAACCAAGTCCCGGTCAATACCAAATTGTATTTTACTATTTTAACTTGGCAGAAGAGAGCAATATGGTGTAAGAGCTCGTTGTACCCGACCTGTTTGGCCTGTTTTGGGGCGGGCATAGGTAGCTCTCATCGACCCGACCTGCCCTAACCCGTCTCATTCCCGACCCGTTCTTGCCTAAATTACATGTAATCTTAGTCAAAATACTTAGGATTTTCTTTTATTATCTCATATTTTAGTTATAAAAAAGTTGTAAATAAGTAAAAACCCCACTTTCTCTAATAATTTAACTACATTTTTATCATATTATGGTTTGTTACTTGATCTTTTAATGAAAATAACGAATCTTTCTAACATTTTTCACATAAATTATATACCCATTGGGTCGACTTACCCCGACCCGCGTCCCGTGATAAATTACCCGCCCCGATCCTCCCATTGCCATTCCTACTTGGCTTCCTCCATGTTCCCACCATTAATTGTTTCTCTCTCTCGGCCGTCTGTGTCTTTCTTTCCCAGACATTGCATAGAAAGTACCAAGCGGTGAGAAGGCTGAAATTAAGAAGGAAAGAAGCTTATAGCTAGCAGCTTGCTACGCAGTAGTAGTACCGCTGCTGAATTGATGCTGCTGTCTGTTGATTGCTTGCACCGCGTAAACAGGGACAACACAGAGGGAGAAAAAACGACCGGGTTGGGTGAGTTTAATCATCAATAATTTTTTTATCCAAAACCGTCAATCACGGTCGAACGTTGATTTGGGCGACACAAATGTCTAAAATATCCATAATAAATTTCACTTTAGAATTTTTTTGTGATTCTTTTGTATATAGCCAAATAACTTTGATACTTTCATTTTAACGAGACCTAGAGAAATAAACCAGCGGGGGACAAAAAATGATATTTTGCCTCCCATTTGTCGATGTCGGGTCGTCCGAATATTGGTTCAACCATATAATTGGCAATTTTTTTTCAATGAAAATTTTAAGAGGAAGGCATATTTGACCATTTGAGTATTGTATATAATATATATACACACACGTACAAACCCTAATCAAGCTTATGCACAATTATGTAACGGCGAAGAGAGTTGGGAAAGAGATTGATCTGGAAGGATGTACATATAGAATATTGATCACTATATTTACTCTTTGGTTTCCTTATAGAATATTGATTAGTAATTAATAAAATTAATTGGCTGCATTTGCCTTTATTTCCACATAGCTACAGTTTTGACTTTGTGGTGGTGGGCAGCACGTACAGGGAGGGAGGTGGGAAATATATATGAACTGATGGTGCAGAAAAGGGACACGTGGAAACTGCTGCTGCTGCATGGGAACGAACGAACGAATGATAGTGTAATGATGCCTTAATAATTGCTTTGACATTCCAACCACAGAGAGAGAAAAGTGGTGAAAAAAGCAGCAGCAGCAGCAGCTAAAGTAAAAGCTGAATGCAGACTGCACAGTGAGAGAGAGAGAGAGAGAGAGAGAGAGAGGAGTAAAACTGTAATAAAAGCCTATACGGTGAAAGGAAGGAAGGAAGGAAGAGTATGCAATAAATATTTCAGAGTGCAGAAGAGGGTTTGTTGTTTGTTCCCTTTTCTTTTGCCCTCAGTTTTTTTCTTCCCCTCAGTTTGACAGAAGGTAGTAGCAGTGGGGACGCGCGCTGTGTGTGGGGATGAAACTAAATTAAAAGGCATGAGAAAAGTAATGGTCTATGAGGTTGCGTCCATTGTTGCTTTTCCTTTTTTTTTATTATATTACAAATAGATGATTTCCATTCATATCAACGTTAATCGTACAAGCATAGCCACATTACATCAACGGAAAAACAATATCCAAAACTTGGATCCAATCCGGAGGGAGAGATCCATTAGCAGTTTCCTTAGCGACCCAATCTGCACTTTTGTTGTTTGATCTTGGTGTAAAGAAGATTACTAATCCTGGATACAAATGGAGAAGACTGCGAATCCCTTGAATCCAAGCCCTCACCTGCCATGGGCCAACTCTCCTCGGATCATGTAGTATGTGAATAAGCACTTTGCAATCCGAGAAGATAGAACTGGAAAATGGAGAGAAGCAGCAACTATTACAGCAGTCAACAAGGCTTTTGCTTCCGCAACTATCGCTGAAGAACAAAAGAAGGTGCCAGCACAACCATCCACAACTTGCTCATGAGGATTCTTAATGATGACCCCATATGCCGCCACCTGTGATTCCGATCTAAAAGATCCATCACAGTGAATTTCCCAATGGGAAGAACTAGGCGGTAGGTTGAGTGCAGTATGGTTTGATCGATGCTGGGCTTGGATATCGACGGTGCTTGGAGGCTGAGAAAGAGTCGTCCAAAAAGTGAAATCCCTAACCGCATTAGTCGTGGTTACTGCAGTACGTGGCATGATCCCTTTCCTTTCTTTTTGCTAGCTACCTAGCAGCTCTTTGTTTTTCTTTCTTCTAGCGTTCTTCAGAGTCTCCACTCTTACCATTCCCCGATATTTCTGTCTTTGCCAATCGCCATATAAAGATTAAAGACTCATTTTAATAACTATCTTTTCTACTAAGAATGACTTGATAGAAAGAAAGAAACAAATTCCAATATTGACTAGGCATTATATTCATTGCGACTAATCAAAAAGAGGGAACAAGAAAGAACCCCAAGATGAGATGGATGATTGTCATTTTGGTATATAGTCGTTGATGGATGAATGGGATGTGTACTTGGGAGAGAAGGAATGGTTTATTAGTGTACTACGTACATTTTGCAACATTCATAATTCCTTTTGGTTTCTTGACCAACCAACACTTGTGTAGGGCAGCTAATAAAGACCGCACATTTGACAGTTGGATCACAAACCTTTTTGTGGGACATAAATAATCAATTAGACCCACGTACACTCTTATGTCTTCCTCACATGCGTATATATATATATATATATATATATATGCCCATCATCCTATTGCTTGGCCTACTATTTGCCACATCTCTTCTCTTTGGTGAACTAATTCACACACGTTTGAGAATTTGATCTCCTTATCTAATAATGCATAATCTATCAGTTTTACCTATGTTAATGTAGGGCAAACCTCTATCTTGAATTAGACGACTAGGTTAATCGTAATTAAGCCGTCCAACTATCGGTTTGAGGGAGAAGGTAAGTCAATCCCCAATTGCCTTAACCAAGAGGGCTACTCTAGTAGCCTATAACGTATCCCTTGGTTTGGCAATTGAGAGTGTGGTCTTCGACCATAGTTGCACTTCCTAGCGGTTCACGATTGCCTCGCCCATAACGACCCATTAGAGTCCACGAGATATGGTAGTAATTAGGGGGAAGCGACACCCGAGTGATCATTCTCATCTAGAGTTTTCAAACCATTTACCTTTGCTTTGTTTTAATTTAAACCTCATAGTTTTCAACCAAAAACCAATCCGCTAGATAATGTTTCAAACAATGGAAGTAGGAGTACATGGACCGGCCCGGGTTGATATTTAAACATACTTGCCCTACATTCCACCCATCTAAGGTTTATACTTGGGCCTTAGGTGGGATTCTGTTGTGATATTCGGGACGAGTCAGAAGTTTGGTTAGAGTTTGTTTGATAGCAAGGATGGCTGCTATTAGTATGAAGATTGATAAGTTCACTGGGAGAAACAGTTTTAGTTTGTGACAGATCAAGATGTAAGCATTGTTGAAACAACATGATTCGCGTCTGGTGGTCCGCGAGAGATCCACGTCTGTTTGGCGGATGAAAGAGAGTTTCGCATATGGGCTACATCTGATTTGGCGGATCAAACAGAGTTCCGCGTCTCGGAAAATTCTTGTACCGAGAAGCCTATCGATACAAGGTGTCTGGCGGATCAAGATAATCGCTGAGGTGAGGACACAAAGTTTGTGGTCCTTGTCATGAGGGGAGGATTGTTAGGATACAATCAAAGTACCACATCGGTAATACAAGGGAAGAAACCCTTGTATATTAGTGTCCACCAAGCTCATTAGTACGAGGCTTTTTGGGGAGGACACCCAAGAGTAAAACTGTGCGGGCTTGGCCCAAAGCGGACAATATCGTACTAATTGAGTTTGGTGGACACTAATATACAAGGGTTCCTTCCCTTGTATTCCCGATGTGGTACTTGAATTGTATCCTAACACGTAAAGTGCCAAGTCATTACGGAAGGCTTACGTAACTCTTCCAATTTAACTGTTACGTAAGAAATAACTATCATTTCGTAACCTTTACGTAACGAATGTGTATTTTACATAATAGTTGTAAAATGTCATTACGGAAGCCTTACGTAATGGAAGGTCCCTTTACGTAATGACTATTAACCTCGCGTTACGTTAAAAGCTAAGTCATTAAGGAGGGCTTACGTAACGCTTTCGATTTATCTGTTACGTAAGAAATAACTATCATTTTGTAACCTTTACGTAATTGATTAGTATTGTATGTAACAGTTGTAAAATGTCATTACCAAAGTCTTACGTAATGTAAGGTCCTTTACGTGTGATGAGTATTAACCTCGCGTTATGTAAAGAGCTAAGTCATTACGGAATCCTTACATAACATTTTCTATTTAATCGTTACGTAAGAAATAACTATCATTACGTAACGGATGTGTATTTTACGTAACAGTTGGAAAATGTCATTACGAAAACCTTACATAATAGAAGATCATTTTACATAAAGAATATTAACACCCCATTACCTAAAGTATTAAGTCATTATAAAATTCTTCCGTAACATTTTTTATAAAAATATAATCCAAAATCATCAAAAATAAATAAATAAATAAAATACATGCCGACTGTTGTGGTTAAAATCAACGGCAGCAGCTAATGTAAAAAAATAAAAGAAATAAAAAAGGTCACGGGAAAGAAATGACCAGAAGTGCCGGTGTTCCCGCCCGTTCGTTTTTTAATTATTTTTTAATCAATGGCTTACGATGATTTTAATCAATTTTAATGGTCTAGATTTTCGTAAGCTACTTAACTTGAAATTATACTCTAATTAGTGTAGGAGATGTCAAGTTAGTAATGTGATTCTTACAATCGATGTTATCTTCAAAAATTTATTAATATAGGAAAAATCGACAATATTAATTAGGCACATGACGATTGGGACGTCATATTCTATTCCCTTTCTCACCATCGTATCAATTGCCATTGTTCACATCCTCTGATGGAGAGATTGGATGGCCATTGAAGGGGCACACACATTTCCAACAATGTGGACAAATGTTGGGGAAGAGGGTCAGAAAATGGAGGTAGCAAATGTGGCAAAGCTAAAGCTAGGTTGCTCCTAGAAGCAGTGACCCTAGCTACGATGTGAAGGGACTACATCAACTCATCATGTAATCTAATCTAGGGGATCGGCTGGATGGGTTAATTGTCAATGTGGTATTTGTAGAGTCAAATAACTCATTTATTGTTCATGTGATATTTCGGTGTTGTTTCAGTGGTAATTGATATAAAGTATCTCGTTTGGTTGAATCATGCAAATATAGTATTTGACATGTGGTATTTGGTAAAAGCAGAGTGATAAAACGAGTTATTTCGAAATAACACATGAGTATAAGTTATTTTAAATAACTCGTTAAATAACTCACTGTCCAAATAACTCATTTCAGTAAAACGCTACCAAACGAGTTATTTGTGTATTGCCAAACGCCAGTAGTAACTTTTTTGGTGCAACAAATCAATCCTTCCCAACTGATGTCTAATGGTTGGTCATGCCGCCCCGTGACAAGATTTTTGGGAATTCTCAAACGTTTGATCGAAAAAACAAGATAATTTATAAAGAGATCGCCAACAATATTAACTTTTTCACAACGACTCATACAAAAATTAACATCTATGAACAAAATTGATCGGAGGGTATTAATTCCTTTTTTCCCCTTTCTTCTTCTTCTTCTTTCTCATGGTCCCTTTTCTCTCTCTCTCTCTCTCTCCTCTCCATTCTGTTTCTTTCTGCATTGCTTGTCTGCTTGCTCTTTCTTTACCACCTTCCCTTCTTTCTTCTTTCCCATTTATGCTCTTTCTTCTTTCTGGGTTTCTTGTGGAAGCAGAAACAAATATGATTTCAATCTTCCCTGCTATATTGCTAGCTAGAGAACCTGATTCCTTTTCCCCTTTTCGCAATGGGGAGGGGGTGGGGAACTTCATATTAGATATATATTTTTTATAGATATTATATGTAAGGATATCATAAAAATTAATCAAATGTTTGAATTATAAAATAAACTACTCTTTTTTTTAATACTAAATAGTGCATTTAATTCAATTCAAATTTGGCCTGCCCAAAGTGAACTCCAAGTTTGGCCTCTTGGGGCTTCTTGACCCTAAAAGCTGGCTTGATGAACAACTTGCCTCTGACCTTCTCTCATATCTTATGCAGTTTGCATCCATTTCCTTCTGCATCCCCAAAAATCAAAGGAGCAGCACATTAACATTAATACAAATTTAATGTATATTGAAAACTAGAAGAACACCCTAACTTCAATAAGTGCATATCAGCATTTCACTGAATGAAGTGATAAAAAAAACCTATGAGTTCATTCAGTGCACTCGACCTTAAGTTGAGTGGCAACCTCTTTTGAGGTGATTAAGAATGTGCTACACAAGAAGTAGTTTTACATCTTACTCCAACCCCACTTTCCTCAATTTGACTTCTTGTTTCCTTATGCTTACTAATGTAAATTTTAATCCTCCACACAAATGGGTTTCAAAACTCAAGGCTGCCTAGCTACCTGAGGTTTGTTTTGTGAGAATATTAGGTTACAACCCTAGCTGGGGCAAACCCTATTTACTTTTGTTCTCTCTATTAGGTGCATTTTGCAAGAAAGCTTTCTCCCCCTTTGCATCCATTTCAAAATTACAATCAAAAGTAGTCTCCCCTCTCAAATATTTCACCACCTAAATCCCCATAGCTTTTGAAAGGCTTTTTTCCCCCCTTTTGCCTTTCCCCCTCTTCTCTTGTAGTTGCTGTACTAAACCAATGACTGAAGAGAAAAGAAAGGTAAAAGGAGATGAATGAAAGCAGTTGTGTGTATGCCTTTGCTTTTCCAAACTTATTCCAACAAAAAAAAAAGTAGAATGAAACTTTAGATATAGAAGGATATATGTATCTACACATCAATATTCCATTTTGGTACCTCAAGAGCTGGCAAACTTCCAGGAGAGTCCTTTGTTTTCCCATGCAACCAAGCTTCCCTGCAACACAAACCCAACAGGGTTGAAGACAGAATGTTATAATATATTCTCATCAGTGGGAAGCCATGCATGCATAAAGAAGGAAAGGAACTATGAAAGAATGAAGGAGAAAGGAGAAAGGGAAACAGCCATCATTGCTTTCACTCTTTCTCATATCACCCTCCAATTTGCTTTCTCTCTTTTCTGAAATGGTCACAAAAGGAAGTTTTTATTCAAAGGGCATATAGCTTTGGCACCAAGCTAGCTACCCATCACAGCTAGCTTTGATGATCCTCTCAATCTTGTTGGGAATGCTCACACACATAGAAGGGAAAAATCCCAATATTGTCTAGTAATGTGCCTTTGGGATATATAGAGACAATCACATAAAGGGTACCTAACTTTGGTTCAACAAGCTAATCACTTAAGCTATCTTTGATCCTCCATATATTTTTATCACAATAATCAATTCATCCATTTCCGTCAGAATGCATTGTGTAATGTTAACTCGCCTAAACTCGATAATGAGAAATTTGATTGAGTATATTGAATCTGAGAGGAAGAGGCTATGATAGTTTGTTTCGTGTAATGTGGGTTAGAGTCTGATTGAGTATATTGACATGTCGATATAAAAGTTACAAATAATAACGATGTACGTGGTCGTTTCTAATTTTAATCAATTGACTAATTTCTTAATACTTCTAAATCTTAGAGGCCATTGATGGAATTTGCCCTTCATGAATACATAAGAAAGCAAAGCTTAAGAGGTCGTTTGGAAGTTGAGATTTTTCAAATATGTGTATTTGATGAATACATGTATTGTAAATACAAAGATGGTATGAATTAGATGATTAGAAGAATGTCTTGTTTGTTTGTAGTCATTCAAAATTTTGAAGAAAAAGAAAAAAATCACTTTATGAGCTAAAAGTGGAACAAATTAAAGCTCACAATCTCAAAGGAAGAATCTCACTTTTTTGTTGAGATTTAAAATGAGTGATTGTGGGTGATATGAGATTTGAGGGTCAACCTCAAATGCATGTATTAAATAAAATTTTGGAACAAAAAAACGATGAATTCTCCAAAATACATGAATTCAAAGAATCTTTCATTTAGAATCATAACTTCCAAACTAGTCCCTCCTATGATTTGATTCTTCCTTCCTTTTAGTATAAGATGCATTTCCATGCAAATCCGAAAAAGAGAGATATATAGGAAAGGAAGAAGAAGTATGCTTTATGTTTTTGTTGTTTTTTTTTTACTTTATTCATCTCTAACATGCACATGCAACACATATGTATGGCTAAGTCTTTTGTATTTTTTTGGGGTGGGCTTTCACTTTTGCTTTGTTTCCATTATTATTTTTTTTTTGAACTTAGGGACAAAAGTTAATGGACAAAAGTGTTAATTTTCAAAAAAGAACTAGAGGAATAATGAGAAGAAGTATATGAACATGAGAATTTTCCTTTTCACAAAGATATGATGCCAAAAACAATACCCTCCAAAATATCTTCCTTTTGTCCTCTCAACATTTTTTGTTGGATTTCTCATTCCTCATCAATCTCCACATTCAAATCAGCTTAGGATGATGAAACACCCTCTTTTTCCCCCCAAAAGAAAACCAACACAAATGTTCACGATCCAACATAGAGAAAACTAAAGTGAAGAGACAAAATAATGAATACACAACAACTCTAGTTATTATAATTTAAATTGTTTCGTAGTATAGAGCTTTTTACCCCCTTTATTAAGCATAATATCATGGTTTTCAAGATTGTTCGGTAAGTTTAGTGTTGAAATTATCGTGACTCCAGTATTAACAAATGGATGTAAAATATTATTATCTATGGTCGTACGTAGATGCAAGTTACAGGTTGGTGACCTTATGTTAAACTGCGTGTTAAATTAGTTGTAATATATATTTGATATTAAACCCTCGTAACAATACGATTTCGAATCGTTTTTTCCACCCAAAAAACAATTCGAGTTTTTGGGAACTACTACACTAAACATAGAAAAGGGAGGAGAAAAAAAAAAGGAGCAACTAACCTAGAAGAATTGCTCCAAAGAGCATGTTGATAGTCCTTCTCGTGCTGCAGGTGCCCAACACCACTACTAGCGCCGCCAGATCTTCCCGGTTGCTGCTGCTGCATCGACATTACTTCCGGCCGCCGCGATGACGACGAGTTGTGATGAATGTCCAGCATCAAATCTTCTGAACTATTGTCCCCCGACGACCCGTTGTCTAGCACATCTGATTGCCCTGCGCCCCCCATACAAAAAAAAAAAAAAAAACCAAACTATTTAAGTCATTTTCTTAATAAACAATCTTAACCCTCAATAATGGTATTAGCAGGAATTAATGGAGGCATGCTGGTAATTAATTAACCTGAAGTGGCAGCGGCTCTGTCAGTCGTCTTTACTGTCCGGTACATCTGCCATCAAACAATTAATTTTACCCGTTAACAAAATGAGAGGAGAAATTCGACCCACATTGTTGATAGTAAATTACATCTTATATATGAGAAATGAAGAACAACAATAATATTAAAAAAAAAAAATGTGTCACGGGGATCCTAGCTAGAAATGAATATGTGATTCAAGAAAAGAAGTGGGAGAAGGGTGCAAATGGTTCCTCGAAATGGTGAGACCATGAGAGTGAAAGTCAATGAATTATTAAGAAGTGAAATTGGTATCTCTTCCCACCACTTGGTTGCATTGCATGCATGAATGTGTACATATATGAATTGGATAGATGATGAAGAAGAAGATAACAAGTCAAGAAACTACATCATGGGTTCTGACCAGAGATAATAAAAAAGATGAAGTGAAAAATAAAACGAGGAGGTGGGTTGAAAACCAAACCATGGTTAAAAAGGAGGAGTGTGTGTGGTTAAAGAGAGAGAGAGGGATATGATTGGGAAATGATGGTGTTTTTTGTACTTTTGTTTGGGTTTTCAATGCCAATCTGTGTAATGAGAAGAGGAAAAAAAAGAAACCCTTCTGGGTTCTGGACTTCTTTCCATCCCAACCCAGGCATAAATCAAAATGAAAATAAAATCTATAAACAAAGAATATGACAATGTGATGTAAGTGTTAGAAGATTGTGTTGTCTTGGCCTGGCTATGACTTGTTGCAATATATATATTTTATTATTATTAACACAGGGAAGAAAAAGAAAGAGAATTTTGACTTGTTGTTTCATAATAATAATAATAATAATTATTATTTTGCATTGTCTTTATTTGATTTTCTGAAATCGATGACTTCTCCTATTCCCATTCCCTTCCTCTCTTTCTCTCACTCACAGAGTGTAGTAGACTGTAGAGGCCCTTTTCTTCCTTTGCCAGGAAGGAAGGGTTCAATCTCCCAACCAGAAATTGTGTAAGAAAGAAAGAGGGGAAGAAGAAGGTAAGTAGCAGCAGCAGCATGGTCAGATCCAATGGCAAAAGAAGAGCCAAGGAAGGAAGGAAGGAAGCAATTGTTTGTTTGTTTGCTTCACTTCACTCTGCTGCAGAAAGGAAGGAAGAAGGAAAGAAAAGAAAAGAAAAAGTAAAACAAAATGAGCCTTGGAATTTGTGATCTTTTGCATTTAAACCCTTTTCATTACGGGGTAACACTGTTAACCACAACCTTCTTCTTTCTAATCTAATGTCATACAATATTATTATTAGTCTGATCATAAAACCTTGACTACTTGTAGCCTAGCTCCATTAATGGCTGGATGAGTACTCGATCTCTAGTATAAATTAACAAAAACACAAACCAATGTGATAATCATAATAATAATTATTATTAGAAGCAGTTTGATTAAATGAGTACTTAAAAATACCTGGAGATGGGATTTAACATGAGCCAAAGTGAGGTCCTTGACATCCATCAGCTCCAGCACCGATTTGGGCGTCGCCCCTTCATTTTTTCCCCAGATTGTGGGTATTACTTAATTGGTTAAAAAAGGGTAGAAAGAAAAAAAAGAAAAAAACGATTAAAGGGAAGAGCTTTATCGCACTAGCTTTGGTCTCACTAGTAACTCACTCTCGTGGCCGCCGAGGAGTTCGACGGCGTGGACGAATCGGGCGTGGAGGGTGGTGGTCCACCGCATCCGTGGCGCCCTCATGCTCCTCTTCGTCGGGAACCGCGGGGACGACGACGACATGAATCTCGACCTCATCATCATCCCCGCCGGGTTACTCGCGCCGCCTCCGGCGGTGGTGGTCGGAGGGTTTTGGTGGTAGAGTGGGATCCCGCGAATCGGCCTCAAGAAACCCAACTCCCGGCTAAGCAGTTGTTGTTGCTGGTGGTGGTGGTGGAAGCTGATTGGGTAGTGGTGGTTTGGGTTTTGAAACGCCGCCGGCTGGTGGTGGAAATTTCCGTTGCTGTTTCCTCCATGGTGGTGGTTGGAATCGGAGAGAAAGAGGTCGAAGGAGGTGGAGGTGGCGGTGGGGTTTCTGGAGTCTAGGGCTCGCTTCCACAACCCGCCCAAATCGGCGGCGGCGGCGTCTTCGTCGGATACCGGCCGGCGTGGCCAGGTGGAGGAGGAGGAGGAGGGTTTGGCGTTTGGAGGGCTGATTTGGAGGGACAAATCCGGCTGTGCTGGGAACAGCTCCATCAATAAAACGATCTCTTCTTCTTCTTCTTCTTCTTCTTCTTCTTCTGAAGAGAAGGTGGATGGAGGATGAATAGAGAGAGAGAGAGAGAGAAGGGGAGGGGGAGAAATGACAAGGGTATAATGAAGTAGTGATGAGTGGTTGTTTCTTTTCTGTGAAGTATATGTGAGACAATGACACTACTTAATTGACAGAGATAGAGAGAGAGAGAGAGAGAGAGAGAGAGAGAGAGAGAGAGGGATATTGCTCTCTATATCTCTATTTTAGCTAGCAAAAGAGATGGATGGAGAGATAGAATAATAATTAATTATTATTATAGATGACCCAGGCAAATATGAATGAGGAGGAGAAGGAAATTTTTTTTTCTTTTCATTTTGTTTTTAACAAGATTTTACATATGGGTTTTTATTTTTAGTTTTGAAAGTAAGGGGTGGGGAAGAGAGGAGAGTGTGTTGTTTTTGCTTTGCTTTTATGGACATATGGAGGGTAGGGTAGGGTCCTTTCCTAGGGTAAGTAAGAAAATGGGAGGAGGGAAACAAAGAAGAGTAAAAAAGGTAAATAAGTTTGGGGACTTTGATTCCTCTTTTTTACCATTCTCTTTAAAAAAAAAAAATTATTTATCCTTTTTTTACTTTTTTTTTTAACTTGTTGAAAGAGAGGGAAAAAGGGAAGAATTTATTTTTCTCCTCCTCTTGGTACTTTTATTAACTTGTACCTCCTAATATCAAACATTTTCAACCTTGCTTACCACTTTGGGGTTTGGAAATTCATGGATGGATTGCTACATGAAACACATCTAGTCTAAGGTATCACTCCATGCACCCACTTTTCCAAAACTTTCCCACCCAACCTTTTGTTCTCTCCTCATTTTAATGTCTAGGTTATAAATCTAAAGATCTATTAAGTTTAGATACCGAACTGTAATTTATATATTTGAGGCTAAATTCTTTTATGGTGATGTATTTAAGATGATAATTATTTACTTTTTTATAGAAAAATGGAAACTATTATTTGATAAATGTAGATACCTAGCCAAACATTTCATACATTATTGTCAAAAATTCTAGCTCGGGTGAAAAAAAAATTTGGGAGAAGCAAAATGAAATACAGTTGAGTGATACAACATTTTGTATGGTACAAACTAAATTGATATTTTTTGTTATAGTAGATTGGATTCATGGATTGATTCAAAAGGATTGGCATATTGAATTCATGGATTCAAGTGAAATCTAAACATTAAACCAATATGTAAATTTAAAAAAATTGTAGTTACGAAAATCTCATAAAATTTAGATAACATAACATAATTGTTCAATACTTTTACATTAAAAACAAATTTGAGGTATCAAAATGTAAATGATAACTAAGTTGTAATTAATTAAATTTGGGTATGAAAATGTAAAAATGATAGTCGCCCAATCAGCTTGCGAGATTAGACAACAGTAACTCAACTTGATCTTTATATTTATTAATTATGCCCACTAATGAATAGATTTAGCCCTAAAAAGATTTCCTTAACTAAAGTTTGAATGCAATTCTCTTATTGCTTTCTAGCATTATTGCTCAAAATGTACATATATAAAGGGATGGTTATACATGGACATGTTGAGTGTAATTATGTAATTATGTGGCCGAAAGCCTTGGGGCTTTAAGGGCTCGGCCCATTAGGTCAAAGGGAGCTTCTCGGTTAGGGTTTGGGAGGATTTAAAAGTGTATATATATGATCTGTACAGAAACGTTGGGATATAGAAATAAGAAGCAACGTATCTCCCGTGGACTAGTCTTGTTCGATCTCTCTCGAACAAGGAAACCACGTAAATACCGTCTCGTCTCTTTCTATTTGATTCACTTTACGTAACGATCAACATGGTATCAGAGCCTGCGGACTCGGACAACGTCAATACACGTCTCAACTCGAAGAATTACGCCCTCTGGGAGTTTCAATTCCGGACGTTCATCGAAGGCCAAGGGTTCTTCGGATTTCTGGATGGCACTACGACAAAACCACTCGTTCCTCCTTCCACCCAGCAAGAGGTCACGAAGTGGATGCAATCGGATGCAAAATTAAGATCATGGATACTGAAATCGGTGGATCCATCCATCGTTTTGGGGCTGCGTCTTCTTCCCACATCAGCTGAGATGTGGACGGCGCTGCGGGACACGTATGCTACGACGAGCGTTGCTCGTCAGTTTGAAATAGAGGTGGAGCTGGGCAACCTATATCAGGGAGACAAGGACATCGCAACGTACTATAACGATGCCAAACTCCTGTGGACAGAACAGGATCTTCTCTCGGCGGCACTTTTGTCTGGCGCTGTGATGACTCGGTATTTGCACATGTTTTCCCCTTTGTTTCTTGATTGTTTGAGCTTGAATTATTGCGTCTTTGGCCTATTTTATGCTAGGTTGTGTTCCTTTGTCCCATTTCAGGTCCTAGCACATAAAGTGAAGCATAGGCGCAAGTTTCAAGTCAATCAGAGATCAATTGACGATTCGAGAGAAGAAACTCGGGCATGACCTGAAGAAGAATGGATTTCTACCTCACTTTATGGACAAAGAATCATGCAAGCTTGTTATGAAACGAAAGAGGACGAGACTACGAGCGTCTGGGATCAAACGGCGATTGATTCGGAGTCCGGACGAGGGAGAAACGAAGCATTAAACAGAGGCTGAGCAAGCTGCACGGGCAGACCAGCGTGGCCACGCACGGCCGTGCAAGTAACCAGTTTGGCCGTGCGGGATTGTGCGTGGGCACGCACGGGATTGTGCGTGGCCACGCACGGCCGTGCAACATACAATTCTGGCCGTGCGAGTTGGCTGAGGTTCAACTAATTGATACGCCGCGTTTTGAGGTGCACGGCCAGAATGGTGATGTGCACGGCCGTGCACCCTGGCCGTGCGAGTCGGGATTTCCTGGTTTTAAGCCAAATTCCGAACCAAAGAAGAGGGAGAGCTGGGTTTTGGATCCCAAACACCCAAGGGACGAACCCTAGAGAGAGAGAGCGACTTGGGAACATTCTTGGAGCTATTTTGGAGGATTTCTTCGCCATTGAAGCTCGGGAATCAAGCTTGGAGATGGAGATTGAAAATCTAGATCAGATTTCTGCAGTCTCTCTCTTCTCTATGGAGTAACTTCTCTTCACTTAGGTTTTGAGGAACCCTAGTTCCATGAGTTAGGATCTTTCTTGTATAAAGTTTTGGATGCTATATTGTTTGATTATAATCGAATGATGCATGTTTATTGAGTCAATTGAAGTCTGATCAACTTTTCCTGATTTCTGCTGCAATCTGAGATAGATAGAATCTGATTAGGTTGCTAGAGTCTCATCATTCGGTAGTAGGAGATTGGCTATAGGAGAGTTAGCCAGTTTACTGCTTTGTACTGGAATCCAATTCCAGTAGTGGAGTTCTGTGCTTATTGCTTCAGCTTTCTATCCCGGTGAAGACTAGTCGTCTGCCGGATAGTTAGACTGAGAGGGCTTGGTCACTATACTGCAGTCCCTTTCATTGGTTACACTTGGCCATTGTTAGGTGTTGTGTTTTGGAGCATCAAATTTTTGGCGCCGTTGCCGGGGACTTTCTAGATTATTAGGAAAGGCAGAAGTTTGTTACTTTAGCGTTTTTCTTTTCTTTTCCACCCTTGCTTTTCACTTGGGTGTTTTTTGTTTTTGTTGGTGCAGATCTGAATCATGGATCCTAATGGCTTCTCCAATCATTGGGGGTATCCACCACCATCCGGGTGGTATTACCCCGAGACTCCCTGGAGCAATCAAGGAGGAGAAGACTATGGATTCGGGTTCCAGTACCAACCCCCTTTCTACGGAGAACAACCAGACCCCTGGGCATATCAAGAACAATCTCCTTATCAAGAAGAATTCCTCCCACAACAAGAAGGGCCATCGGAGCTGGAGTTACCCATGGCGGCCTTCACGGGCCATTCTGCAGAGCCATGCTACACTCCACAGCCAGATCCAAACTATGAATTGAGGCTTCTCGTGGAGCAGATTGCTCGAGTACCTGAGAGATCTTTTCCCGAGATGGATCCTCATATCCAGGCCATTGCCCAAACTGACTTTTCATTCCCCCGTGAAACAGAGGATACCATCCGGAGCATAAAGAAGCACTTAGAGGTCATTGAGAAAGCTTGTTCACAGTTTTCTCAAGACAACCTTTATGCTGCCATACAAGTAGAGGAGGAGGAAGAAAGAGGCAATCATGAGGATGTTGAGGAGCATACAGAAGTTGTCACAGAAAGCTCCCATGATAATCATGATCAAGTGTATCCTCTGGTGGTAGATCATAACTTTCACCATTTCCGCTCTGACATGCTGGGCTCGAGTGAGGAGATGCAAGAAAATCTCATGAAAGAAATTGCTTGGCAACTTGCTCTCCAATCCGTGCTAGAAGAAGAAGAGCGAGAAAGGGTGCAGAAAGAAGTTGTGGAGGATGAAGAAAGTGAAGCAGGAGGAGTTCTTGATCTTTTCCCAGGGGTGATACCACATGAAGAAGAAAGGGAGGTTGAAGAAGCAATTGGCGTCCAGGCTGAGGACGGAGTTAAGATGGAAGAGGCCTGCACCGGCCATGAGTTGCAAGTAATATCCCCACCAAACTTTGAGGAACTGCTTGGCAAGGACCCATTTGCAGTGTCTCTTTGCCAGACCAAGGCCACATCGACATCGGTCCCTCTTGGTGGACGCGATGGTGGCCAATCGATGCTTTCTTATCTGGTTTGGGGCAATGAGACGAGAGAAGAGAAGAAGAGGTCTCGAGGGTGGAGACTTCATCTGCATCAAGTACATGAGCCTTCATCACCTGCCACACCACAGGCTCGTGACTTGAGACTCCACCTCATCGACGAGAACCTCAACTTCAAGGAGGTTCTAGCATGGACCGAAACTTAGGAGCCATCGTCCGGCTCACGACGTGAAAGAAGCGCTTGTTGGGAGGCAACCCAACCAGTCGGTTTGCATTTCTTTCTTTTTTTCTCCTCGGTTGAGTCAGTTTTGTTATTTGATTTTAGAGTCAATAACTCAACCTTTGTGAGATTTTGTGTGGTGTTTGTGTTCTGATTACTCTCTCTTTCTGGGATGCACCGCCTGACCCGTTCATCATCATTCACCCTTGATCTGGTAACTTCGTTCTACCCTCCTTATCTTTCCTCCATTGAGGACAATGTCGTGCTTAAGTGTGGGGGGGTGTTCGATTATTTATGCGGGTGAATGTTTGGTTGTTTGTGTGCTTGGAGCCTAGTCCATTGTCCAAATTTTGAAATTTGAGGGCTCCAAGTACGTGTTCCTTGCAATTGCCTGCTCAGTATGCTTTGAATTGACAGTCTTTATAGTAATATGCAACCTAGGGAGGTAGTGCAGCACTATGGAGGATGTTGATGCATTTAAGAAGTCTCATTGCTTCTTCATATTGTGTTGGTTGATTGAGTGAATTAGTGATCTTAGGACCCTTGAATTGTGTGGTGTTGTGGATTCTCTACCTGTCATGGACTCTTGTATCATGTTTTGAGTTTAACAGGTGCTCGAAAATGTGCTTCAAAATAACGTCTCCCGTGCGAATAGGGCGAAAGTGTGTAAGGGGAGACGGGAATTCGTTCCCAATTTCCACCTACTACCTCCAGCCCCCTTACGTGTCTTTCCCCCGCACGAGGCTCGAGACATCCGCTCCTGGCATGGCCGGTAAGAGCAGGTTGGGACCCTTGAAAAAAAAAAAAAATAAAATAACAGAAAACATGCAAAACAGGAAAGAAAAGGGGTTCCAACCATCTTCAAGAAGAAAATAGAGCACCTTGAAAAATGTGAGTCCATGATCTTTTGTTTTTGAGAATCTCTTCATCCACAATTCATTTGTCCTCTGTTCACTATTTGCCATGATGCCGACTCGATACTAGTGCTCTCGCCGAAGAAGTTATGAGATGACTTGTGCGTCGGTTGACCTCGTAAGCTGCTAATTGATCTAGGAAGTCCTCTACCTACGATCTGGGTTGTTTGTTGCTATAGAGGTCTGGAGAGTTGCATTGGTTTGAGTTAGGTTTGCTTGGGGACAAGCAAACAGTTAAGTGTGGGGGGATTTGATGACTCGGTATTTGCACATGTTTTCCCCTTTGTTTCTTGATTGTTTGAGCTTGAATTATTGCGTCTTTGGCCTATTTTATGCTAGGTTGTGTTCCTTTGTCCCATTTCAGGTCCTAGCACATAAAGTGAAGCATAGGCGCAAGTTTCAAGTCAATCAGAGATCAATTGACGATTCGAGAGAAGAAACTCGGGCATGACCTGAAGAAGAATGGATTTCTACCTCACTTTATGGACAAAGAATCATGCAAGCTTGTTATGAAACGAAAGAGGACGAGACTACGAGCGTCTGGGATCAAACGGCGATTGATTCGGAGTCCGGACGAGGGAGAAACGAAGCATTAAACAGAGGCTGAGCAAGCTGCACGGGCAGACCAGCGTGGCCACGCACGGCCGTGCAAGTAACCAGTTTGGCCGTGCGGGATTGTGCGTGGGCACGCACGGGATTGTGCGTGGCCACGCACGGCCGTGCAACATACAATTCTGGCCGTGCGAGTTGGCTGAGGTTCAACTAATTGATACGCCGCGTTTTGAGGTGCACGGCCAGAATGGTGATGTGCACGGCCGTGCACCCTGGCCGTGCGAGTCGGGATTTCCTGGTTTTAAGCCAAATTCCGAACCAAAGAAGAGGGAGAGCTGGGTTTTGGATCCCAAACACCCAAGGGACGAACCCTAGAGAGAGAGAGCGACTTGGGAACATTCTTGGAGCTATTTTGGAGGATTTCTTCGCCATTGAAGCTCGGGAATCAAGCTTGGAGATGGAGATTGAAAATCTAGATCAGATTTCTGCAGTCTCTCTCTTCTCTATGGAGTAACTTCTCTTCACTTAGGTTTTGAGGAACCCTAGTTCCATGAGTTAGGATCTTTCTTGTATAAAGTTTTGGATGCTATATTGTTTGATTATAATCGAATGATGCATGTTTATTGAGTCAATTGAAGTCTGATCAACTTTTCCTGATTTCTGCTGCAATCTGAGATAGATAGAATCTGATTAGGTTGCTAGAGTCTCATCATTCGGTAGTAGGAGATTGGCTATACGAGAGTTAGCCAGTTTACTGCTTTGTACTGGAATCCAATTCCAGTAGTGGAGTTCTGTGCTTATTGCTTCAGCTTTCTATCCCGGTGAAGACTAGTCGTCTGCCGGATAGTTAGACTGAGAGGGCTTGGTCACTATACTGCAGTCCCTTTCATTGGTTACACTTGGCCATTGTTAGGTGTTGTGTTTTGGAGCATCAAATTTTTGGCGCCGTTGCCGGGGACTTTCTAGATTATTAGGAAAGGCAGAAGTTTGTTACTTTAGCGTTTTTCTTTTCTTTTCCACCCTTGCTTTTCACTTGGGTGTTTTTTGTTTTTGTTGGTGCAGATCTGAATCATGGATCCTAATGGCTTCTCCAATCATTGGGGGTATCCACCACCATCCGGGTGGTATTACCCCGAGACTCCCTGGAGCAATCAAGGAGGAGAAGACTATGGATTCGGGTTCCAGTACCAACCCCCTTTCTACGGAGAACAACCAGACCCCTGGGCATATCAAGAACAATCTCCTTATCAAGAAGAATTCCTCCCACAACAAGAAGGGCCATCGGAGCTGGAGTTACCCATGGCGGCCTTCACGGGCCATTCTGCAGAGCCATGCTACACTCCACAGCCAGATCCAAACTATGAATTGAGGCTTCTCGTGGAGCAGATTGCTCGAGTACCTGAGAGATCTTTTCCCGAGATGGATCCTCATATCCAGGCCATTGCCCAAACTGACTTTTCATTCCCCCGTGAAACAGAGGATACCATCCGGAGCATAAAGAAGCACTTAGAGGTCATTGAGAAAGCTTGTTCACAGTTTTCTCAAGACAACCTTTATGCTGCCATACAAGTAGAGGAGGAGGAAGAAAGAGGCAATCATGAGGATGTTGAGGAGCATACAGAAGTTGTCACAGAAAGCTCCCATGATAATCATGATCAAGTGTATCCTCTGGTGGTAGATCATAACTTTCACCATTTCCGCTCTGACATGCTGGGCTCGAGTGAGGAGATGCAAGAAAATCTCATGAAAGAAATTGCTTGGCAACTTGCTCTCCAATCCGTGCTAGAAGAAGAAGAGCGAGAAAGGGTGCAGAAAGAAGTTGTGGAGGATGAAGAAAGTGAAGCAGGAGGAGTTCTTGATCTTTTCCCAGGGGTGATACCACATGAAGAAGAAAGGGAGGTTGAAGAAGCAATTGGCGTCCAGGCTGAGGACGGAGTTAAGATGGAAGAGGCCTGCACCGGCCATGAGTTGCAAGTAATATCCCCACCAAACTTTGAGGAACTTCTTGGCAAGGACCCATTTGCAGTGTCTCTTTGCCAGACCAAGGCCACATCGACATCGGTCCCTCTTGGTGGACGCGATGGTGGCCAATCGATGCTTTCTTATCTGGTTTGGGGCAATGAGACGAGAGAAGAGAAGAAGAGGTCTCGAGGGTGGAGACTTCATCTGCATCAAGTACATGAGCCTTCATCACCTGCCACACCACAGGCTCGTGACTTGAGACTCCACCTCATCGACGAGAACCTCAACTTCAAGGAGGTTCTAGCATGGACCGAAACTTAGGAGCCATCGTCCGGCTCACGACGTGAAAGAAGCGCTTGTTGGGAGGCAACCCAACCAGTCGGTTTGCATTTCTTTCTTTTTTTCTCCTCGGTTGAGTCAGTTTTGTTATTTGATTTTAGAGTCAATAACTCAACCTTTGTGAGATTTTGTGTGGTGTTTGTGTTCTGATTACTCTCTCTTTCTGGGATGCACCGCCTGACCCGTTCATCATCATTCACCCTTGATCTGGTAACTTCGTTCTACCCTCCTTATCTTTCCTCCATTGAGGACAATGTCGTGCTTAAGTGTGGGGGGGTGTTCGATTATTTATGCGGGTGAATGTTTGGTTGTTTGTGTGCTTGGAGCCTAGTCCATTGTCCAAATTTTGAAATTTGAGGGCTCCAAGTACGTGTTCCTTGCAATTGCCTGCTCAGTATGCTTTGAATTGACAGTCTTTATAGTAATATGCAACCTAGGGAGGTAGTGCAGCACTATGGAGGATGTTGATGCATTTAAGAAGTCTCATTGCTTCTTCATATTGTGTTGGTTGATTGAGTGAATTAGTGATCTTAGGACCCTTGAATTGTGTGGTGTTGTGGATTCTCTACCTGTCATGGACTCTTGTATCATGTTTTGAGTTTAACAGGTGCTCGAAAATGTGCTTCAAAATAACGTCTCCCGTGCGAATAGGGCGAAAGTGTGTAAGGGGAGACGGGAATTCGTTCCCAATTTCCACCTACTACCTCCAGCCCCCTTACGTGTCTTTCCCCCGCACGAGGCTCGAGACATCCGCTCCTGGCATGGCCGGTAAGAGCAGGTTGGGACCCTTGAAAAAAAAATAAAATAAAATAACAGAAAACATGCAAAACAGGAAAGAAAAGGGGTTCCAACCATCTTCAAGAAGAAAATAGAGCACCTTGAAAAATGTGAGTCCATGATCTTTTGTTTTTGAGAATCTCTTCATCCACAATTCATTTGTCCTCTGTTCACTATTTGCCATGATGCCGACTCGATACTAGTGCTCTCGCCGAAGAAGTTATGAGATGACTTGTGCGTCGGTTGACCTCGTAAGCTGCTAATTGATCTAGGAAGTCCTCTACCTACGATCTGGGTTGTTTGTTGCTATAGAGGTCTGGAGAGTTGCATTGGTTTGAGTTAGGTTTGCTTGGGGACAAGCAAACAGTTAAGTGTGGGGGGATTTGATGACTCGGTATTTGCACATGTTTTCCCCTTTGTTTCTTGATTGTTTGAGCTTGAATTATTGCGTCTTTGGCCTATTTTATGCTAGGTTGTGTTCCTTTGTCCCATTTCAGGTCCTAGCACATAAAGTGAAGCATAGGCGCAAGTTTCAAGTCAATCAGAGATCAATTGACGATTCGAGAGAAGAAACTCGGGCATGACCTGAAGAAGAATGGATTTCTACCTCACTTTATGGACAAAGAATCATGCAAGCTTGTTATGAAACGAAAGAGGACGAGACTACGAGCGTCTGGGATCAAACGGCGATTGATTCGGAGTCCGGACGAGGGAGAAACGAAGCATTAAACAGAGGCTGAGCAAGCTGCACGGGCAGACCAGCGTGGCCACGCACGGCCGTGCAAGTAACCAGTTTGGCCGTGCGGGATTGTGCGTGGGCACGCACGGGATTGTGCGTGGCCACGCACGGCCGTGCAACATACAATTCTGGCCGTGCGAGTTGGCTGAGGTTCAACTAATTGATACGCCGCGTTTTGAGGTGCACGGCCAGAATGGTGATGTGCACGGCCGTGCACCCTGGCCGTGCGAGTCGGGATTTCCTGGTTTTAAGCCAAATTCCGAACCAAAGAAGAGGGAGAGCTGGGTTTTGGATCCCAAACACCCAAGGGACGAACCCTAGAGAGAGAGAGCGACTTGGGAACATTCTTGGAGCTATTTTGGAGGATTTCTTCGCCATTGAAGCTCGGGAATCAAGCTTGGAGATGGAGATTGAAAATCTAGATCAGATTTCTGCAGTCTCTCTCTTCTCTATGGAGTAACTTCTCTTCACTTAGGTTTTGAGGAACCCTAGTTCCATGAGTTAGGATCTTTCTTGTATAAAGTTTTGGATGCTATATTGTTTGATTATAATCGAATGATGCATGTTTATTGAGTCAATTGAAGTCTGATCAACTTTTCCTGATTTCTGCTGCAATCTGAGATAGATAGAATCTGATTAGGTTGCTAGAGTCTCATCATTCGGTAGTAGGAGATTGGCTATACGAGAGTTAGCCAGTTTACTGCTTTGTACTGGAATCCAATTCCAGTAGTGGAGTTCTGTGCTTATTGCTTCAGCTTTCTATCCCGGTGAAGACTAGTCGTCTGCCGGATAGTTAGACTGAGAGGGCTTGGTCACTATACTGCAGTCCCTTTCATTGGTTACACTTGGCCATTGTTAGGTGTTGTGTTTTGGAGCATCAAATTTTTGGCGCCGTTGCCGGGGACTTTCTAGATTATTAGGAAAGGCAGAAGTTTGTTACTTTAGCGTTTTTCTTTTCTTTTCCACCCTTGCTTTTCACTTGGGTGTTTTTTGTTTTTGTTGGTGCAGATCTGAATCATGGATCCTAATGGCTTCTCCAATCATTGGGGGTATCCACCACCATCCGGGTGGTATTACCCCGAGACTCCCTGGAGCAATCAAGGAGGAGAAGACTATGGATTCGGGTTCCAGTACCAACCCCCTTTCTACGGAGAACAACCAGACCCCTGGGCATATCAAGAACAATCTCCTTATCAAGAAGAATTCCTCCCACAACAAGAAGGGCCATCGGAGCTGGAGTTACCCATGGCGGCCTTCACGGGCCATTCTGCAGAGCCATGCTACACTCCACAGCCAGATCCAAACTATGAATTGAGGCTTCTCGTGGAGCAGATTGCTCGAGTACCTGAGAGATCTTTTCCCGAGATGGATCCTCATATCCAGGCCATTGCCCAAACTGACTTTTCATTCCCCCGTGAAACAGAGGATACCATCCGGAGCATAAAGAAGCACTTAGAGGTCATTGAGAAAGCTTGTTCACAGTTTTCTCAAGACAACCTTTATGCTGCCATACAAGTAGAGGAGGAGGAAGAAAGAGGCAATCATGAGGATGTTGAGGAGCATACAGAAGTTGTCACAGAAAGCTCCCATGATAATCATGATCAAGTGTATCCTCTGGTGGTAGATCATAACTTTCACCATTTCCG